CCCATTTTCATTTTTAGGTATTCCTGACAGGATTTGGGAAGTACAGCTCTTGACGAATGGTCACGAATTCCACATGGCTGGTCACTGGCTGTGAAAGTCTGTGGAGCTGGAAGGCTGAGCACCCTAAAGAGTAGAGATTCTCGATCAGCAGCAAGTCATCCTGCGAAACTCTCTTTCTGACACATCCCAGGCTGCCAGGATGCCTCTGCAACCCTCATGCTTGTTTGGGACGAGGAAGCCACCTCGGCCTTGCTCTTTCAACTCTGCTGTCATCCAGAGTGGGCCTTTTGCTCTGGCATGTTCCCCAGAGAGAAACCCTATTTCCCTCTCTAAGTTCTTAGTAAAAGCTGTTCGGTGACATGTGAGGTGGGGGCTGCGGGGGGAGGACATGTTTGGAGAAGACACGACTTCTGTTTTGACAGCATGGATGCTGAGCTATTTGGGGACTAGCAAAGCAACCATCTCCTATGCAGCCAGACATGGGGTCTGGAGAGAGAGGGACAAAGAGAAGGGATCTCAGGCTGATCCCGGAGCCTTTTAGGACTGTGGAGTAGGTAGGAAGGAAGCAGCCATGAAGGAGGCGGGAGATGACACTTGCTGCTGAGCAGGGAGCCAGGACAGATCCATATGTCTAGCACCTTCCAGTGACTAGCATACAGTGAACAAGAAGATGAAGGGAAACGGCTGTGAGGCAGGGCAGGATCAGCCTGGGGTCTTCCTACATTTTTGCTCACACATTAGGATGACATCAATAAATGTCACCATGACTTTGAATGATAGTCAGAGGCATCATTTCCTGTGGGTGTTAAGGATCAACATTTTAAGATAAGTTCCTTGCAGTCAGGGACCAGTGGTTCATGCCTGTAATGCTAGCTATTCAGGAGGCAGAGATCAGGAAGATTGTGGTTCAAAGCCAGTCTAGGCAAATAGTTCATGAGATCCTATTTCGAAAAAAAAAAAAAAAACTAACACAAAAAAAGGCTGGTAGAGTGGCTAAAGGTGTAGGCCCTGAGTTCAAGCCCCAGTACTGCAAAAAAAAAAAAAAAGGAGGATCGTGGTCCCGGCCAGCCTGGACATATAAGCAAGACCCTATTTGTAAAATAATGAAAGCAAAAAAGGTCTGAGCACATGGGGGTATGTCTCAAATGGAGCAGCTACTGACAAGTGCAAGGCCCTGAGTTCAAATCCCAGTAGTACCAAAAAAAGCATGCCAAGGTGTTTCACAAAATGGGGAAAAAAGGGAAACTCACAAAGTGGAAGTTTAGCAAAGGTTTATTTAGTAAAGCAGGGAGATATAAAAAAGGAGAAAGGGGCACCCTCCCCATACCCAACACCCAAGGTAGGAGCAAAGGCTCAAAATGGCAGCCCTTGCTCAGGTATATTTACAACTTCCAGACTAAGCTGGGGACTCGGTTACACTAGGGAATCAAATAAATTCAAACACAGGGACAATGGCTTTAGAATGGCTCTATGATCCTGTTTCAATGTTATTACCCAAATGTGGAGACAATGAGTTTAGCAACAGGACATCTGCTTTTCTTTTTCTCCTCTTATTTTATCATTTTTACATTTACTTACATGTGTATACATTGTTTGTGCCCCACCCCCCCACACCACCCAGGACATCTGCTTCTTGTGGTCTTGAGCCCCCTTCCTGGTCAGAGAATTAGTTCCATAGGCCCACCAACATCCAAAAGAAAGGGGTGTGATGGATGTATCACACTTTCTTAAAGGACTAACTTCGTTTTGCTGCACTAAAAGATTATTTAGCTGTCAACATCTTAGTCATTCAGGTGTGTTCTCTTTAGAATTTAGAATTCCAGCCAGAGGAAGTGGGAAGCAAAAGTCACTTTGCCAAGGACAACTTCCAACGGAGTGGCCACTGGTACAGTGTGAGATTTTATTCACATATAAAGTACTTCAGTCATTTAGTGATCTCATTTAGTCTTGGTTCCTAACTCTGGCTTATTTTTAGATGTTTTCTGATTTCCCTGTCTTCTTGTTCTATCTGTCCTGCCTCACCTTCGCCTCTGCTCCAGTTCAGACCACAGGCTTCTCACTCTGGGACACTGGTCCAGCCACGGAACTACTCCCTCCACCCATCATAGTCTTGACATCTCCAAGGCCAATACAAAAACATAGTGCTCAGAGCAATCATTGTCTTAGGCCCTGCCATGGCTCCAAAGGCCCTCTCTAGCATAACTCAGAAGGCCTGATGGTTTGGTCCCTGTCTGCCACTCCATTCTCCCCATCCTTGCTCCCACCTCATACTCCAGCAGATAGCCATATGGGACTCCCTCCATGCGCTGCTCTCACTACAGGACCATTGCACACGCTGCCTACTGTCTGGGGCCTTCAGTCTGAGTACCTTCACCTCTCCCCTTTTTCCTTGCCCCAACCAGTTTGGGAATTTTTACTTATTCCTGTCACAACTGAGATTTGGAGGAGAGATCCTTGTTCACTTGCAGGTTGCGTGAGGTGCCTCTTCTGTGCATTCTGCATCACAGACCCAGACATACTGGATTTAAGACGTCCGGTGCTCACCTGACCCCTTCTAGACAGAACTCTGTGGACAGGAACAATGACTATTTTATCCCTTGCTGTACTCCTGGCACTGTGTACAGCACTGGTTCTGACACAGAGTTGGTGTTCATGACATATTTACTGATAGATTGGTTGATAAACTCAACCAATTTTGGCAAAGCCTGGACCCATTTGCCTGGACCACAGTCTCTTCACTGGCCTCTTGCCCTGTCTTTTCCTGGTGAAGCCAGCAGCCAGAATGATGTCTGAGCTGACCACCTTGCTTCCCACTTAAAACTTTCTGTGGCTCCCTATCATAGCAGACACTTTTGCTGAAAGCACCAATTCCTTACTTCGGTCCAGGAATTAACTAAATGAGGGGGAAAAACTTGGCATCCCTGCCTTCATTCTGTATCTGTCTCCTTTACTCTGAGTCTTTTTCTCTCCTGCAGTCACCTTGGGTTCCAGGAAGGACAGGAGTGACTGATAACATTTTACGAATCAGGGATGGAACTCCTCACTGCGCACCATGGTACCCCCCTACACGTGCGCGATGGTAGATACTTCCTCAGCAGTAGTACAGAGGCCTCACTTACGGACAAGCTCACTTCCTCATCCCGTGCCCCCTGCGATCGAGGGACCAATTACCGATGTGATCACAAACAACAGAAGTGGTTGCACTCTGGACTCAAGGACGGACGAGTTATGCAAGCCGTCATATTTGACCAGAGTTGGAGACAACTCAGACCTGTCCCGTCAAGGTTTGATGGACAGCCGCTCTCACTCACATAAAACAATATTCTTCTAGAATGAAAGTCCTCTCACCCGTTAAGAACCAAAACGTTAGACTTACTCCCATGACATTTTGTTCTCTGTATAGAACACTCTAGTTTGCTTGGCTAACTCTTTAGTTTGTACTTGGTTAATTCCTTTAATCTCCAGCTTAGACAAAAAAGCCTTCCCTGCCCCAAGGTCCCTGTACTTTGACCGTTCAGTGTTGGTCCTTGCTCCCTTGCTGCCTCCCCCACAGCCCATAAGCTCGGGAAGGGCCAGGATCAGCTCTGGCTACTCCAGGCTGTCTTCCCAGCATCTGGTCACTGGCCTGACATGTGGCAGGCAGAATGAGTGAACTGGGTTGGACTGTGCAGACCCAGCAGGTCTAGCTTGGGGCCGTTATATCCCTGATCTTCGACCCTGGGCCCAGCACCCAGAGTGTTCAGAAAGAGGGCTGGCAGGTGGGCAGATGTGAGAAGCACTCAGGGAAGTGAAGAAAGGGATGACAAAGCAAAGTTTGGGAGCGTAGAGGCGCTTAAGAAAAACCCCATAGGAACTGGGGCTGTAGCTCTGTGATAGAGCACTTGCCTAGCATGTGCCAGGCCTTGGGTTCTATCCCCAATATTGCAGGAAGGAACAAAAGGAAAAGGGAAGTAGAGAGAGAGGGAGAAGGAAAGGGGGAGAAGAGGGGAGGAGAGAGAGGGAGAGAAAGGAAAGAGAGAGGAAAGAGAAAAGAAGAAAGAAAGAAAAAAGAAACGAAAAGAAAGAAACTACTCCATTCTCATTCTGCTACCAGTCTTCAGCAGGTGAACTACTTAGTCCCTCAAAACGACCTCTGCATATTTTGTTCTCTGTAAGAACACTACTGTTTTGCTTGGTAACTCTTTAGTTTGTACTTGGTTAATTCCTTTAATATCCAGCTTAGACAAAAAGCTTCCTGCCAAGGTCCTGTACTTTGACCGTTTAGTTATGGTCCTTGCTCCCTTGCTCGCCTCCCCCACAGCCCAAAGCTCGGAGGGGCAGGATCAGCTCTGGTACTCCAGGCTGTCTTTCCAGCATCTGGTCACTGGCCTGCCATGTGGCAGGCCAGAATGAGTGAACTGGGTTGGACTGTGCAGACCCAGCAGGTCTAGCTTGGGGCCGTTATATCCATGATCTTCGACCCTGGGCCCAGCACCCAGAGTGTTCAGAAAGAGGGCTGGCAGTGGGCAATCTGAGAAAGCAATCAGGGAAGTGAAGAAAGGGATGACAAAGCAAAGTTTGGGAGCGTAGAGGCGCTTAAGAAAAACCCCATAGGAACTGGGGCTGTAGCTCTGTGATAGAGCACTTGCTAAGCATGTGCCAGGCTTGGGTTCTATCCCCAATATTGCAGGAAGGAACAAAAGGAAAAGGGAAGTAGAGAGAGAGGGAGAAGGAAAGGGGGAGAAGAGGGGAGGAGAGAGAGGGAGAGAAAGGAAAGAGAGAGGAAAGAGAAAAGAAGAAAGAAAGAAAAAAGAAACGAAAAGAAAAGGCAACTGGTAAAGGTTCAGAGTGGAGCTTCTTTGAAGCCCCGTCTCTAGACAGCTTCGTGCCCTTCACAAAGATGGCAGCGCCCGCCCGCCTCCCCACTCCTGACCAACATGGCCGCCCTAAGGAGGTGAGCGGGTCTCACAGCGGAAGTGACGCAACACACCGGAAATCCGGCCTGCTGATCGGCGGGAGGAGGCCCCAGCGCGGCAGCTGCGGGATACGCGCTGGGGAGCTGGTGATGCGGTGCGCTGCGCGGTTCCGGGGCGCCGTGGCCTTGTGGCCACTGCTGGCCGCCCACGTGGTGACGGCATTCGAGCCCCTGAGCGTGGGCATCGCCATCGGAGCCGTGTCTGCCCTCACCGGCTACCTGTCCTACACTGACTTCTTTTGCCGCTTCGCCGAGTGCTGCCGCGAGAAGCCGCTCAACGCCTCGGGTACGTCCCTCGCGGGCGGGTCGCGCGCGGCGTCCCCACGGCGGTCACGCCGGTGGGTGGGCGGGAGTGGTTCTCGGGACGTCCGGCCGGATTCCAGCCTGGAAGCAATACCTACGGAAACAGCCTCCGCACCGTGGGGCTGTGCCCAGGACCTTTACCGCCTTCGCGGGCCTTGAGATCACAGCCAGCAGAGCTAAAAGTAGCAGTGGCCAGCATGTCAGCCCTTCTGTACTTGCCAGATGTGCAGCGTCCGTCCACAAAGCCCACGTGCGTTTGCTTACAAGCCAGCCGGGGTGGCGGGAAAATTAGCGTGCAGCCCAGCCAAGAGGTGGTTCATCTTTGCACGAACCGTTTAGCGTCCCGGTCACTAAGTGTTAAGGGGAACATCCACCTGACACATTTCCTTGGAAGTGACGTTTGAGTCCAACCCGCTGTGGTTCAGCTTCGGCGTTGGCTCTGGGGTGTGGCAGAGACCCCTCTGGATCACTTGCTAAGCTGTGCCTCTCGGGCCAGCTGAAAGTGCTGCTCTTCGGGTGCTTTTTAACGTGTGTTTTTCTCTCTGTTCCGGGGCTGATTCTGCAGCCCTCAGGCTGGATTTGGAGGAGAAGCTGTTTGGACAGCACCTGGCCACCGAAGTGATTCTCAAGGCGCTGACTGGCTTCAGGAACAACAAACATCCCAAGAAACCGCTGACTCTGTCCTTGCACGGCTGGGCTGGCACAGGCAAGAATTTTGTCAGCCAGATTGTGGCTGAAAATCTTCACCCAAAAGGCCTGAGGAGTAACTTTGTCCACCTGTTTGTATCGACTCTGCACTTCCCACATGAGCAGGAGATAAAACTGTACCAGGCAAGAGAATCCACTGTTACCTGTCACAGGCCACTTGGAGGGGCCTGGGGGACCTGCTCACTAACTCTGGCCTCTGCTTCGTTTTTTGCATTGCAGTAGCTCTCAGAGAACTCTGCTGAGTTAAGGCACTTTATTTATTAGAGACAGGGTCTAATTATGGAGCTCAGGCTGGCTACTCAAGATCCCCCTGCCTCAGCCTACCAAGGGCTGGGATTATAGGTAATACCACCAGGCCCAGTTTAAGTTACTTTTAGACCCTTAGTGATTACAAAGTTGAACTACAATTTCTTTCTTGCACTTCCAAAATAGTCTGGTCGGTAAGGGTGATGTTACCAGTAAAGTATGGAGCCAGCCTAGTATGTGTGAGGCCTTAGGTTTAGTCCACAGCACATATTAGAAGAAAAAAAAATGGGGCCAAAAGAGTCAAGGTGACTTTCTCTTTACAGTCTTTGTGACTTTGTGGCAGAGCAGAAACTTGAACTCAAAACTTCCCAACACCCAGTTTATGAGATAGCCACATTGTGCAGTGAATGAAGGCAGTTAGCATTCCCAGTAGGGCACAGGGTGTTAGGTGAGGCAGTCCTGGGTAGTTAGCTTGGGCCTGGCTTCATTTCACACTCCTCACTTCTGTTGCAACCTCAGCTTGCCTCTGCATTTCACAAGGTAGACTAGAGGATTTTTTTTCCTCCTAAATAGCTTTGATCCCTTTGCTCCCCCCATCCTTCGAGAACTTGCTTTCAAGTGCTGTTGCTTTCTTGTAAGAAAACATGGAAGAACTGAACCTCCACACTGCTTCTCCTTCTGAGACTCTTCTCACTTAGTGGGGTGATTCACTGAATGGAATGCTTTCCTGGTCAATGTTAATGGTCCTTCTGTTAGGTGGGGACTGAAATAAGAAATAGAAACTTAAGTGAACAAGGAAGTGAAAGTCTTTGTCACACAAACCGTGAGACAGCGAACAGTACCAAGAGGAAGAAATAATTTTCTTGTTTTGCCAAGTTATCAGAAATCTCTTGAAATACAGTATAGTAGATGAGGGTGCATGGAGCTCGTTCATGGTTATGGCCTTTCATGGTTTGGGGTTGAGTTTGTTGCTTGGGTGTCCTTGTTTTAAGAAAGTAATACAGATGGGATGAATTTGATCAAAGTACATATGCATGTCTGTGAATATCACAGTTTATGCTAATAAAGTTTATTAGCATAATAAACATGTAGCTTGGTGGCAGAGCACTTGCCCAGGGTGCTCAAGAGCCTAGGTTCCATCCCCAGTGCTGTTTAAAAAAAAAAAAAAGAGCTGGATGCTAGTGGTTCACACCTGTAACCCTAGCTACTTAGGAGGCGGGGATCAGAGGATCTCGGTCCGAAGCCAGACCCGGTAAATGTTTTGTGACACCCTATCTTGAAAAAAGGATTTGTGGAATGGCTCAAGAGGTAAGAGCTCCTGCCTTGCTAGTGTGAGGCCCTGAGTTCAAACCTCAGTGCCACCAAAAAAAAAAAAAAAAAAAGAAGCAACAGCAGCAGGAAGCATGGGAGCAGCTGTTCTTCACGAAATGCCACCCATCCAGGTCAACTCCTTTATTCATTGCACCAGTCCAAGGCCCTGGTCTCGGCACTGCACAGGAATAAGGCACAAGGTTCCTCAGTACATCTGGCAACATTAACTGGACATTTCAGTGGTTGACTGTGAATGACAGTCATAACTTTAGAAAGTCAAAGGGTGTCATTTGAGTTAAGACAGGCTCTGCATTTTGGCATTTATCTTTACCAGTGTCCACTTTTGGTAAACTTTGGAAAAACTGTCACCCAGGGAGCAGAGGTAAGGGTGCAGCTCTAGGAGCTCTGGGGCAGACCCCAGGGAGCTCTACCCTTTGTCTTCCAGAGCAGGAGGAACAGTGTGCCACTGGGGCTCCCAGGCACACCCTGAACCTTTCGTCTCTTCTCTTTCATGGCGCTCCAGGACCAGCTGCAGAAATGGATCCGCGGGAATGTGAGTGCGTGTGCCAGCTCTGTCTTCATATTTGATGAGATGGATAAGCTGCACCCTGGGATCATTGACGCCATCAAGCCCTTTCTAGACTACTACGAGCAGGTGGATGGGATTTCTTACCGCAAAGCCATCTTCATCTTTCTCAGGTTAGCAGGAGGTGGCTTCTTGGGGACATACAGCCCTTCATTTTTCCCATGCTAGAATGAGGTACCAGGGACAGAAGTGCCAGCCTGGCAAAGTCACTTGCTCATGCCTGTGACATGCACAGATGTGGGCAGGGAAATGAGCTGGAGAAGTGATGAGTGAGAGGACAACTGCAACCTCGCTTTTGCTTCTGAGGATTGTAAACAGCCAGTGTCATCTCAGCAAGTTCTAACAACACAGATTTCAGTTCCTTGAGGGCAGACACTTGCGTTTGTTTTTTGGGGTTTTTTTTTTTTTTGGTCTGGTAGCACTTAATAAATACTCCATGGTTAAGAATAAGGCTGTCTGTGGGGGGACCATCAGAGGTGTAGCTCAGTGGCAGAGCACTTACCTAGCATATGTAAGGCCCTGGGTTGGATTCCCAGCACGAGGGGGTGGGAATAAAGTTTAGGGCTGGGGTGTAATTCAGCATGCACAGAGCTCTGGGTTCAATTCTCAGCACCAAGAAAAATGAAAGAATAAAGCTCACAGCAAGTCCGTTTCCTTATGACACACGGAAGTCTTAAGATATCTTAGTCTTTGTTTCTCTGCAACTCAGCAATGCAGGTGGGGACCTTATTACTAAGACAGCTCTGGACTTCTGGCGGGCAGGAAGAAAGAGGGAAGAAATCCAGCTGAAGGACCTGGAGCCTGTGCTGTCTGTTGGCGTCTTCAACAATAGGCACAGTGAGTGTGTGTGTGGGTCGGGGTGGGGGGAGGCGTGGGCACCCTGCGCTCTGCCAGCAGGAACCATCTTCTGTCATAGAATCATTCTGGCCTGTGGTTTTGCTGAGGGAGCTTTCTCAGGGCATCACCAGGATGTCCAGCTGAGACTTAAGTTAGGCTTATTGGGCATTTGACAAAAAGAGTCTCCTGATGGGTTGACATGAAGAATGTACCGTGGGCTGGCAGAGTGGCTCAAGTGGTAGAGTGCCTGCCTAGCAAGCATGAGGCCCCAAGTTCAAACAGCAGTACTGCCAAAGAAACAACAAAAAGAATGTACTATGGGCAGTGATCAGATGTGGGACATGATCAAGTGGCAGTGACAGCAGGAAATAGCTGTGTCTTGTCCTGCAGGTGGCCTGTGGCACAGTGGGCTGATAGACAGAAACCTCATTGACTACTTTATCCCCTTCCTGCCACTGGAGTACAGACATGTGAAGATGTGTGTGCGGGCAGAGATGCAGGCCCGAGGGGCTGCCGTTGATGAAGACATTGTCACCAAGGTGGCAGAAGAAATGACGTTTTTCCCCAAAGATGAGAAGATCTACTCTGACAAGGGCTGCAAGACTGTGCAGTCACGGCTGGATTTCCACTGAGCCATGGAGGCTCAGCACACACAGGCCTTGCCTAGTAGAAGCACTTTGAGACCTCTCGAGGTTTTGCACATTTGTACCTGTGAACTTTTGAGACCTAGAAGTTGCTATAAGAGTTGATTTTTAAAAAGATGTAGCATGACAGCAGCCCAACTCTTACCTGAAGCTGTGGGTGAACTTTTAAAATGCCCTCATGCTCACCAATACTAACCTTGACTCAAGTGCCTGGAAGCAGCTGTATACAAGGCCAAGGTTCTTGTGTGAACCATGGCACCCATGCCTTAGGAGCCACCACTGTGACTAAAGGGGCTGAAAGGTTCTGCTGCCATCTGGGGAGTGATGGATTTTTGCCTGCTGAAAGCATGCTGTTCACTTTGCACAGAGCAGTCACTGACTCGAAGTATCTTTAGTTGAAGGTAGCATGGGTAGGTGCTGATGGTGTCTGTATGGAGCATGTGACCCTGTGCTCTGGCACTCTCAGCCTGGGCTGTACTGTCAGCGTGAGGAGTGGCAGCTCCCTCTGAGGCCCCTGCAACAGACCAGGACAGACTGGTCCCTGGGGTCTGTACCTTGCTCTGGCCATGGAGTTCCTTTGTCCATCCCCCACTTTGTATTATTGGTCCCAGCCTTCGTTGTATGGCTCTTGAGCACCAGTCACTACCAGATTTTCCCCAACCCTGTCCTGACTGGGTTTGAGTTTAAATTTTCTGTTCCCATGGTAACACATTTGCCTGTTAAACTTGATGCAAGGGTCAAATACTACCTGCAGAACCACTTGGAATCCACAGGACGGGGTCCTTCCCCACTTCTGACGTGCTCAAAGTGAGTGTCAGCCTGCAGAGTGCATTGCCACAAGGTGGGCCTGCTGCACAGAGCTGCTGTGTTTGCAAGCATGAAATCATGCTTTTACTTCTGACTCAGGTGAGAAAGGGTAAGACATTTTAAAACCTAGGAAAGACACAAAATGGAATCATGGTTTCTTTTCTCAGGCTCCCTTAAACAGTATAGACTTTATTGTTAAACTCGTGGCAAAGTGTGCTCACAATTAGACACAAAACAAGGCCTCCTGAAACACGGCTGGTCCTGGGTGTCATCTTACTGTGACACCTGCATGGCAGCATCAGGCTGGAGTGCCCTTACCACTGGGGAACGAGACTTAGATTCCAGCCCTCGGGGATCGTTCTGATCGTTCTGAGACACGAACAGCGTGCAGCGTTTTTTATACATGTACACATGGAAATGTCTGATGGGGCAGCACCTTTGTCTTTAAAATGCCAAGGAGAGACTTGAACGTCTCAGAATGTATTCTCCCACTGGAGCTGTTACCTTTCTTCCGTAACCTTTTGGGTGTCTAGTCAAGACGAGACCGAATTTTCTGTTTACAGTGATGAATAAACTGAACTCCTGTCGGCCACCTTTGGACTGCTGTTACTGATTTGTAATTTGAGAAGGCCTCAGTTGGCCCTGACCCAGCCTCCTCCCCCTGAGGAGATGTAGATAAGAGCTTGAATTGACCTGTTGAATATAAACCAATAAAGCCCATGTGTTATGCTGCAAAAGGCCACTTTTTGGCTTCCTTCTAGTTTACTTGGCAAGTTTGAGCTCAGACAAAATGAAGGTGTTTAACAGCTCAGGTGCTCACTTCCTGCACCCTGGATGTGCCAGCTGACTGGCTTTGTCACGTATAATCAGTATTTGCTTTAAGGTTGTTATTCCCAAACAGATAGGGAGAAGTTCAGTTGCATGGAGTGATGGACATTGTCATGGGGTAGAGATGTACAATGCATCTTCCAAAAAGCAGTGTAAGAGGGAAAACTGAAGCACTGGGAATAAGACAACTGCCATGCCAAGCCCAGCTTGGATGAGGAAACCGATGCTGGCTCTTCCCACCTGGGACTGGTGAATCATGAGATTGCAGTTCTGTTAGTCAGATATCAAACTTGCCTTGCCTTCTCTCGGCAGTGAGTTGATAAGGTGGACTCATCACAGAATGAGAATTGTCGGGCTTTCAGTTCAAACCATCCTCACTATCTCACTGCCCACTCCGTGCCTCCAGGTTTGATTCTTAGCCCAATGCTGTCTTCACTCTCCCCCACCCTGCCTCGTCTACAATGATGGAACCTTCCTAAACTAACTGAGGGCCCTGTGTTCCCTGGTTAGGGTCCCCAGGGATGTCATCTTCAGATTAAACCTCACCTGTGACTGCTGGGGACACTGGGAACCATCCTTAGGCCTGGACCACCTTGAAAAGGGACCCCGATGCAGGCTGAGTAACTGAGGCAGTCCAGTAGTTAGAATAATAACCTTTTTGTTCATTTGTTTTTATGAGCCAGGGCCTTGCAAATAGTACTGGTTCTACCACCAAGCTGCTTCCCAGCTTCTAGCCCATCCTCTATGCCTGCTAAAAACTAGCCCTGGTGAGCACTCTGGACAGCAGCCATTCTCATGGGAACCCTGCTTCTTTGTAAGCAGGTGTATGCTACATAAAATAGGATTATAGACAAGAGCCACTAGTGCCCAGCTAAATACATTTTTTAAAGGAGAAAAACATACTGTAAGCCTCATGAGCTTGGGCTGTGAGTTGAGGATCCAGCAGATACAGTCCAGGTTGGAGTGCAATGAAGCCTAACAGAGACCCAAGTCCCCAGGATAGCTTGGACCCCACGCTGACCTGCACAGCATGTTACACTCCATTGTTGGGATTCGTGGAGCTCCTGACACCCAGTTCAAGTCCAGCAGAGATCCCAGGCAGGTGTACAGAGCTGCAGTGTGAAGCCCTGAGTTCAAACCCCAGTCTCACCGAAAAATCAAAAGACAAAATGTATTCACAAATTATGCAAAGTTCTATTATAAAATGCCAGCTATTTACATTCATAGTTAACACTGTTGTAGGTGTTCCAGGAAGGGGTGGCCAAGCTTTCCTAGGTTTGGGGGATTCTGATTAACCTCACAAAATTAGTGATAAATGAGGAAGGTTTGGTAAAAATACAGCAAGATTGGCCACACAATTTACAATCCAGTAGAGCATGTTGGCACATTCAGAAATGGAGTGAAGGGGCCTTTCTTTGCACAGCTCAATGACTGGCAAAGGACAAGCTGGATGCTTCTTTTTTGGTGGTGGTACTAGGGTTTGAACTTGACCTTGAGCCACAGCTCAAGCTGGATTTTTTTTTTTTTTTTTTTTTTTGGTGGAACTGGGGTTTGAACTCAGGCTTCATTCTTGCAAAGCAGGCACTCTACCACTTGAGCCACACCTCCAGTCCTGGATGTTTCTTTCAAGACTTAGTCTCAGCCAGGTGTGCTGAGTTCAAACCCCAGTACTGCCAAAATAAACAAGCCCAGATCCACCTGGCTTGACAAAAAAAAATTGAGTTTGACAAAAGTTCAGTGTTAGTAAGATCACCCCCACAGCTCACACTGTTGCTGAGATTAAAACCTGGGCGGGGTACTGGCAGAGCTGGCTCCCATGCCATTCCATAAAACAAATGCCAAGGACCTGTGTTCGAGCAGTAGAGACACAGGTGTGTGCTATAATGGTGAGAATTTAAAAAACACACAAAGCCGACAACTTAGAGCCTGAAAAGTTACTCACAATGTTAAAAGCCATTTTAAATAAACATCACATTTTCAATAAAACTTACTTGTCCTTCCTTGAAACAGAAACTCTTGAAATTAAAAACATAATTTTTAAAAAATCAAGAGCCCCGGAATGGGTAGGCTAGGAACTGGCTACTTCCCTTTTTGGAGGCTCCAGAAGCTTCAATGTCCATGGTCCCTGATGTGGCTACCTGCAGGCTCTGAGGGATGAACACAAAGGCCAGGAGAATTTGTCACCTCCAGCAGGGAGTGTTCACTGGCTCCTCCTCTCAGGAGAGGAGCTGGGGCGGACTGAGCATTGAGCCTTTCTGTGTGCATGGCCTTGGGCTGTCAGTCATCGAGGTAATAATCTAACTTGGTGAACACAGTTTTGCAGCCCTTGTCAGAGAAGACTCTCTCCTCCTTGGGGAAGAATGTCATCTCATCGGCTACTTTGCTTATAATGTCCTCGTCAATTTCATAGCCTCGGGACTGCATTTCAACTCTGATGCACATTTTCAGGTGTTTGTATTCCAGGGGCAGGAAGGGGACGAAATAATCAATGAGGTTTCGGTCAATTAGGCTGCTGTGCCAGAAGCCACCTGGGGCAAAGAAGAAAGTGCTGTTCATTGTCCATTTGTCCAACCACCCATTCAACACACATCTGCTAGGGGCCCACTGTGAGCCCGGCCAGGAGGTAGAGCTGGACACCTGCCCTCCCAGAAGTCCCAGTCCAGTGAGGGAGGTAGTGGGAGCCAGTGAGCTGGCTACCAACACCTACTTGTCATGATGCTCTGTGCTGGCATGGGCAAGTGTCACTGCAGAAGGATGCCTTCGCATTGTGGACTCAGCGATGTCTCAAGTGTGCATTCTGGAGCCTGCCACCTAGACTCCTTCTGGGTGAAGATGTGTGGAGGCTGGACTCCACCACACATTTCCCCAGAGGAGGCCTGGCTCTGCGCAGCCCAGCCCCTAGAACTCTTGACCTGGCGCACGTTCCCTTTGACTGTTTTTGGCAATATTGGGATTTGAACTCAGGGTCTCACGCTTGCTAGGCAGGTGCTCTGCTACTGGAGCCACTCCTCCAGCCTGTACACCCCAAGCTCAGCCTTGGATGGTTCACAGCTCATTTTTCTTCATGCCTTCTGCTTGGCTGTTAAGTTTTCGTGGCTCTGCTTCTAACACTACCTCCTGAAAGCCCAGAGTCAATGCCCAACAGGACCGCAATAACATGGCTGGCTGGATGGGGTGGAGCCTGTGGCTACCTAGGAGAAAAACTGGCCACTGAGCAGACAAATGGGACAGCTCACTCATCAAGGCCTACTTGTGCCAGGTGTATGCTGTGCCCCAGAGACAGAGCAGAGAGCTAGGCAGTCATGGACTCTGTGGGTTTACCATGCTACATGAGTAGACACCCAACAAACCAGGAAAACACATTTGAGATGGCCCTGGAAACAGTGAACACTACAAACAGAACAGGCAGCTAGGGTGGTCAGGCAAGGCCTGCCTGAACAGGTGAAGGACTAGACAGACCCAGAAAGTGTTCCAGCAGAACCAGGTAGCTTTAAAAACCATCTACTGGAGCCGGGTGTGGTGCTCCATTCCCAGCACTCTGGAGAAGGATCGTGAGTTCCAGGCCAGTCTGAGCTACAGAGCGAGACCCTGTCTCAAAACTACAACAAGCAACGACAAGACCACGGCTCACCACCGTGAACACCCCACGCCAGAGTCTGTTCCCTGTTCTTCAACCACAGGGACCCCCAGCACGGGTCCACATTAGGGTCCCTGTTCATGCTGTTCCCTTTGTCATCCATGTGGCTCAATCTCTAGGTCAGCTCAAATGCCACCCCAGTGCTAGGGGTGTTCTATCTAAAACACAGCTGGGCGCTGACACAGGAGGAGCATGAGTTCCAGGGAGTGACCACCCTGGGCTACGTCTCGAGACTCTCAAAAACAAAACAGCAGGCCTCAGCAGCCCCAAACCCCTTCTTGTATCTTCCCTCTGGGGGGATACATAGGCATTCATATGTGTCATGTATTGTATCCACACACACGTATGTGCATCCCCTACCATGTGACACACTGTCTCCACCTGGGTCTAGGAGGGAAGGAATTGCTGGCTTGCTTGCTGCAGCATCTGCCTGAAGCCGGTCTGCCCAGTGCAGTCTTGGACTTGAGTCGCTCTGCAGCCTCCAAGCACGCAGTTCTGGGTGCTTGGCCTCACCACTGTAGCTGCGGTTTCCATTGTCTGTGTTCAGGTTTTTTTGGTGGACTGAGAGACTTTTTAACATTGTCTTTCCTCAGCAGTATTCCATTTGCATAGTGCTCATAAAATACCCTAAGCTGTTCACACAATTTCAATATGGATTTCTTGACAAGTAAGTTTCAAACGAGGCCTGAGGCCTTTGTTTTGTCACCTCAAGCACCTGTCAGCCTCCACCACGGTTTTCTGCCTCTAGTGTTCAAGGTCAAAGACCTGCATGACATTAGCTAGAGAAGCAATTGAGCTAAAAATTAAAAGCAGGCTGTGTGGCACTGAGCAAGCTGTTACCCCTCTCTAAGTTGCAGTGAGACAGTGATTACAGGCAGGAGCCATCAAGAACCACAGTTCGAGGCCAGCCTGCCTGGGCAAAGAGTTCAGGAGAACTCCATCTCCAAAATAACAAACAAAATGGACTGAAGGTGTGGCTCAAGCAGTAGAGCACCTGCTTTGCTTTCCAAAGCTCTGAGTTCAAACTCCAGTCACACACACACACACACACACACACACACACACACACAAAGACGAGACAATGACACTGTCTACCCACAAGGCAAGTGAAAAGCAAACAAAACATGCAGGTTGAGTGTTTTGCACAGTGTCTGGCAGAAAGCAAGGGCCTGGCCTCAGTTTGGCTGTTATTCTTGAACACAGGACCTCAGAGTTCTAGGGCAAGGCCTAGGGAGGGACCTACTGGGTCACCTACCCAGTCACCTCCTCCCCAGGAGCCACCCACAGTGGCTTTCCTTGCTGAACTACCTGCTTTCCCTCTATCAGGAAAATCACCCAGTGGAGGAAAATGGGGAACTGACTTTCCAGATTTCAAAGATCAACAATTTCTGTTTATAACAGCACTCCCTGAACACTGACCTGAGGGGACTGGTTTTTTTTTTTTGGCAGAACTGGAATTTGATCTCACAGCCTCATGCTTGCTAGGCAGGTGCTCTTACCATTTGAGCCATTTCACGAGCCCTTTTTTGTGATGAGTTTTTTTGAGATAGGATCTCACAAACTATTTGCTTGGGCTAGTTTCAAATCAAGATCCTCCTGATCTCTGCCTCCTGAGTAGCCAGGATTACAGGCGTGGGCACCCGTACCTGGCTCCTACTTACTGTTCTTGTTGTTAAAGACCGACACGGATAAGGCAGGCTCCATGTCTTTGAGCTTGATGTCCTCCCTCTGCTTCCCTCTTCTCCAGAAATCCAAAGCCACGTCTGTGATCCTTTCTGCTCCCGCATTGCTGGAAAACAATTGTGGTGAAGAGGACAGGGCTTTCTGCAGTAGCCCTGGGCTCGGGATCAGGGCTCTTCCATCATGTCCCAGCCCTGGCCTCACCTGAGGAATATGAAGATGGCTTTCTGGTAGGAGACTGTGTCCACCACATCGTAGTAATCTAGGAAAGGCTTGATGGCATCTATGAGGCCAGCGTGCATCTTGTCCATCTCGTCAAAGATGAAGATGGACCTGGCACAGGCACTCACGTTGCCTCGGATCCATGACTGTAACTGATCCTGAGGTGCAAGGGGAAAAGACAATTCAGAGTTCTCAGCAAGCACCATCCAAACCACCTTTTGTTTCCCTGCAGGGCTGGAGATGAACCCAGGGCCTTTAGCACTACCACTGAGCTGCACCCCAGCCCATAGAAACAGCTCTTTGCTAAGATCAGAGGCTGTACTTTAGGAGTACCATGCTAACAGCTGCATACCCACGAGCTCTCGTTCCTCGAAGCCACCCCATCACACCCATGTCACAGATGAGGACACCAAGGAACACAGCTTAGCAAACTTGCCCCAAATGATAAGATTAGCATCTAGGAAGCTGGGATCTGAACCAAGTCCTTTCTGATTCCAAAGCCCCATGCTTTGACTCCTGCGCTGTGAGGTCTCACAGCTGGGTGCTGGTCCTTTGCCCTTAAAATGGTAATGTCATGTTTATCTGTGTATGCTGGTCTTGTTGGCAGAAGGTGGAAACCAAATGCTGCCTGGCCTGGAGAGGCACCCGACTCACAGGTGGAGAGCAGTGTGCCAGGCTTCGGCAGGCAGAACAGCTGAGGCCAAGCCTGGGCACTCAGTGCCTTGGGAGAAGTGTGGTGGGTGACATGTTTTGAGTTTCTGGAACAATGTCTGGGATTCTCTGAAATAAACCTGTCTACCAGAAACATGCCATGAGGACATATTTGGGTCCTTTGGGTTTTTTGGGTAAGGGCTCAAACCCAGGGCTGGTCACCATTGAGCTACCCCTCCAGCCCAGAGTACTTCTAACACCAGACAATCACATAAAGAATAAAGACCTTCTGAATCCTTTTCATCAGAAAATTGAGCCATAATCACTTCTTGGCCTTTTGAATAAAAATCAAGTATAGCCAGGTGCTCCTGGTGGTAATTCTAGCAACTTGGGAGGCAGAGATCAGGACTGTGGTTCAAAGACAGCCCTGGGCAAATAGTTTAGGAGACTATCTCTAAAATATCCAACACAAAGCAGGGCTGACAGAGTGGCTCAAGTGGTAGAGTGCCTGGTTAGCAAGTGTGAGGCCCTAAATTCAAACCCTGGTACCACCAAAAAAATGAGTAAATAAAATCAGGTGTAGAAAATTGAGTCATAGTTCTATTATTTTGGTTTTTTCTATTACAGTGAAGTGGGGAAATTAGCTATTTGCTTTCTAAGGAAGATGCTAGAAGTTACAGTGTATGTTTTCTTGTTCTGGGATTTTTCCTTGGCTACTGCGACTATAGTTATAATGTTCCGTATGTGTATCTAATCTAAATTACAACATTGCTCTAGCCTTTTTTTTTTTTTTTTTTTGGTGGAACTGGGGTTTAAACTCAGGGCCTCTCACTCACAAGGCAGGCACTCTACACTTGAGCCATTCTGCCAGCCCCCACTAGCCTCCATTTACAATGCAACGTTCCCAGACCTGAAGTAGCCATCGGAGGCCAAGAGGTGGGCCATTGTTTAACAAGAATTCACTCAGCTCTGTTAGACCCCAACAGCTGAGGTTTTCCCACTCTGCTACCCCAACCTACACGGAATGACAGGGCACGTGTGCCGAGTGCTCACTACAGGAAGACACTATACTCACTGCCGTTCACGAAACATTTTACTGTTCCTCCCTAAAGTCAGAGGGATTTTTTTTTTTTTGGGGGGGTACAGTACTAGGGTTTGAAGTCAGGGCCTCACACTTGCTAGGCAGCTCGCCACTTGAGTCAAGCCCCCAGCCTCTTTTGCTGTGTTTTGAGATAGGGTCTTGCCTTATACCTAGGCTGACCTGGACCTCAATCTTCCTATTTATACCTCCTGGGTGGCTGGGATGACAGGTGTGTACTAGCACACCCAGCTTTTATTGGCTGGTGAACTTTTTTGCCTGGACTGTGATCCTTCCAATCTCTACCCTCTAGAGTAGCTAGGATTATCGGCATGAGCCATGGTGCCCAGCTGAGGGAATGGCCTTCTTCCCTCCCTCCCTCCTTTTTTAAGAAAAACTTTTAGACAGGATCTAGCCATATAGCCCAGACTGGCTTCAAAACTGTAATCATCCTGTGCTGGGATTATAGGTATGGGACACCATGGTGGGCTATGTTCCCTTTCTGACATGAGAAAATTCAGGCATGGAGAGATGAAGCAACCTGCCTAAAATCAGTTAAGTTGACGGAGCCTCAATCCCAACTAAGATGACCAGCTCATTGTGATTTGCCTAGAACTTTTCAGGTATCAATGCATCCTGGGAACCCCTGGACAACTTTTGTGGCCCTGATGCTTAACCAAACAGAAGGGGAAATGTTCAGTGAGTGAGGGGTGAGTATTTGGCTGTTCTGCGCACAAACATAATTTTGTGACCTGCTTCTCAGAACGGTCAGGCAACATTCCCAACGCTACACGGCTGGAGGGAGGGAAAGCTAGGACTCAAATTCAGGTGTGCCTGCAGCCAGAGCCTGGGCTGGTCATTCATGAGTTCAACTGTGAAAGCAGCCTGCAACAGTTAAGTCAAAGTAAACTTAGACCTCTCTAGAATGTCTCTCCTCTTCCACAAAATGAAACCCGAAGATCTTTAAGTTGAATTTGATTTGACAGTGTCCATCCCTCCACTGGGGTTTGAACCCACTGAGCTAAACCCCCAGCCTTCTTTACTTTGAGACAGTCTCATTATGTAGCTCGGTCCGGCCTCAACCTTCCCATCCGTCTGCCTTAGTCTCCCGAGTGCTGGGATTACAGATGGGCACCATCATCAAGCCCAGCTTTCCCTACTTTTCAGAGCGGAACTGACACAAGGAGCCAAGATCAGGCTCACTCATTGAGACATGCAATTCCCCAGTCCTATCCCACAACAAAGAAACCCCAAGCCCAGCGTCATCAGGAAGGATTCCAAACTCCTGCCCTTGCCTTATACAGGGTGATGTTGGAGGCATGGGGGAAGTGCAGCGTGGCCACAAACAGGTGGACATAGTCACTGTTCAGACCGCCCTCGTAAATATTTTCCGCGATGATCTTGCTGACGAAATTTTTGCCCGTGCCGGTCCACCCGTGTAGGGAAAGGGTAAGGGGTTTCTTGGGCTTCGGGTTACTTAGGAAACCAGACACAGCGTTTAAGATGACTTTCTTTGCAAGATGCTGTCCAAAGAGCTTGCTGTCCAGATCCTTCTGCAGCACTGGGAAAGACAAAGCCGGTCAGGAGACGGAGAAACGGCTGGCAAAACTTCTTCCCCCGTGCAGGCCCGGAAAGGAGCCTGCAGAGCCGGCTGCGCCCTCGCCCGGCCGGCGGAGAGGGGCTGGGCCGTGCGCATCTGGCCGCGGGCGGGCGTCTGCACCCCGGCCGTGCTCTGCTCCTCCCATCCGGGCAAAGCGGAAGCCGCGCTCCGCGGAGCGCTGACAGCCGTCCTCCTCCGTCGGCTCTCTGCTCGGGCCTCCGATCAAAGTCCAGCCCCGGCCCCGCCGCCACCCATTCCCCGCAGCCCCGGCCCCGGCCCCGCCACCGCCACCGCCCACTCCCCGCAGCCCCCGCCCGGGCCCCACCACCGCCCACTCCCCGCAGCCCCGGCCCCGGCCGCCTACCCTCCCGGCTGAGGCTCCGCTTCTGGCCGCAGCACTCGGCGAAGAGGCAGTAGAGGCGCGGGTAGGAGATGGAGATGTAGCCGGTGAGCACGCCCGCCAGGGCCAGCCCCAGGCTGATGGGCTCCACCGCCCGCACCACCGACGGCGCCAGCAGCAGCAGGGCCACCACGGCCCGGCCCAGCTTCATGCCCGACCCGCGCCGCCCTGCGCGCACCTGCGCCGACCGCGGACCCGCGCGGCCTCCTGACGCACACTTCCGGTTCCTGCCTCCCTTTTTGTTCCGGGCAGGCCTCCGCCTGACGCCAGCGTTAGCCATCTTTGTTAGGGGCAGAGCCCTTCTCCGCCACTGAAATGTTGGTTATGGGAATCCGTTGTTTGTGTGTCTGTGTTTTGTTTTCAAATACTTTATGTTTTAGAACAGTCTGAGATTTACAGAAAAATTGAGAAGATATATAGTGGGTTCTCATGTTATTAAAAGCTTACGTTCATATGTAGCAGGGCCACCCGGCCCGGCCCAGCGTCATGCCCGACCCGCGCCGCCTGCCGCGCGCACCTGCGCCGACCGCGGACCCGCGCGGCCTCCTGACGCATACTTCCGGGTTCCTGCCTCCTTTTGTTCCGGGCGGGCCTCCGCCTGACGCCAGCGTTAGCCATCTTTGTTAGGGGCAGAGCCCTTCTCCGCCACTGAAATGTTGGTTATGGGAATCCGTTGATGAGCACGTTGTTTGTGTGTCTGTGTTTTGTTTTCAAATACTTTATGTTTTAGAACAGTCTGAGATTTACAGAAAAATTGAGAAGATATATAGTGGGTTCTCATGTTATTAAAAGCTTACGTTCATATGTACATGCTACAATTAATGAACCACTACTGCATTATTAAAGTTCAGTTTATTCACATTTTCTTACTTCCAGCTAATGCTTTTTTCTGCTTAAGGACCCCATCCAGCACAACCCAGTGTGTGTGTGTGTGTGTGTATTTTTGGTGGGATTGGGGTATGAACTTAAGAGCTTTGTGCTTGCAAAGCAGGCACTCTACCATTTGAGCCATGCCTCCAGTCCACTTTGCTCTGGTTATTTGGAGGTGGGCTCTCCCAAACTATTTGTCTGGGCTGACCTCGAACCTAGATCCTCCTGATCTCAGCCTCCCAAGTAGCTGAGATTACAGGTTACAGGTGTGAACCACCAGTGTCCCGCACATCCCATTATATTTGTCATGTCTCAGATTCTCAGCCTTTTCATTATTATTTTTATGGTGCAGGGGATGAACTCCAGGGCCTCATGCATACTGGGCAAATGCTCTACCTCTGAAGTCACACCCAGCTAAACATGAGTTCACACTGACATCTCCAACCCTAATTCATTACATGGATCAACTGAGCCTCTTTCCCTTGTTTATCTGCAAATTTCCAGTCAACAGTAAGAAATATGGCTCCTACTATCTGATGACCACTTTTAAGTTGGGCAAAGGGAACTCCAGCAAGCAGGAACTTGCCCATCCATCCTATATTTGCTGGGTGCCTGTGTTCCAGGCCGTCAGTATTTATCTCCATTCCTTGATGTCCCCCTGCACACCATGGAGATCTAATGTTTGCTCAAATACTCAGGAAAGATTTTGAAGCTTCAACTTTTTCGAGCTTTATTAAAAATGATGTATAGTATTGATCACATATTATAAACCAAACACTACACATTACCTCATACTTGTAATACTGGGGGTAGGGATCATTCATAGTTTTTTTTAATCCAGTAAGAGACTGAACCCAGGGCCTTACAATTATCAGGCAAGCACTCTACCACTTGAGCCATGCCCCAGACCTCTTTTGTAGATTTTTTTTTGTGTGTGTGTGTGGCACTGGGGCTTGAATTCAGGGCCTTCACCTTGAGCCACTCCACCAGCCCAATTTTTTGTGATGGGTTTTTCAAAGTCTCTCAAACTATTTGCCTGGGCTGGCTTTGAACTGCATTCCTCCTGATGTCTGCCTCCTGAGTAGCTAGGATAACAGGCATGAGCCACTGGCACCTGGCTTCTTTCAGAGTTTTGAGAATTGCTTATGTGTGATGTTATGGGTTAGGCCCTGGTGATTCAAATTAAAAAAGAGGCATACATGGTTCCTGCCTTCAATGACTTTGCATCTTACTGAAGGAGGAAAGTGAGTCTCCATTTTATAGATGAGAAAACTGAGGCTCAGAGGGAAAGGGATTTGTCCAAGGACACAATTAGTAAACTGTGCTCAGATCTGACTGAACTAGGCAGGTACTCCTACCACTTGAGCCACTCCACAGGCCCCAGTCCTTTGAACTAAATGAGAAAATCTATAGCAGTAATTCAGTTTCACATTTGAGTTACTAATGTGGTATTTGATGTTGTTGTAAGGAAACACAATACAAACAATAAGGTTGAAATTGGTTTGTCTTTAATAATTAACTTCTAAAAACCATAAGAAACCCAGTTTTTCCTTTTCTTTTTCAATCAAAAGAAACAGGTAACTTTGTAAAAGTCAGAAAATAAAATACGAGTTATCACTTTGATCCCATGTTCAACTTTTCTGCTGCCCACTGGACCCACTCAAAACAATGAAGGATGCATTATTTATTTATTTAGTGGAACTGGGGTTTGAACGCTGGGCCTCACACTTTCTAGTCAGGTACTCTACCCCCTGAACCATTCTGCCAGCCCAAAAGATGCATTTTTTAACCCCACTCCAAATACTTGAAAGTAGAGGGCATGATTGAATATATAATCACAAAAACATGATCTAAAGGATATTATTGCACCATTAACAAATCAGCTATTTCCTCCTGACCCAGAACAAACATTAAGTTCAACTGGCCAAGCACGGTGGCTCATGCCTGTAATCCTAGCTACCCAGGAGGTGATCAGGAGGATAGTGGTTCAAGGCCAGCCTTGGCAAAAAGTTAGGACTCATGTCAATCAATAAAAGCTGGGTGTGGTGGCGTGTATGCCTGCAATCCCAGCTATGCAGGAAGTACAAATAGGAGGATCAAGGTCCAGGTTGGCCTGAACATGAACACAAGACCCAATTTTAGAAATACCTAAAAGAAAAATAGGGGGAGGAGAAATGACCCAAGCCTTATATGCACATATGAATAATAAAACAATAAAAAAAAATAGGGGTAAATAGGGGAATAAAAAAGAAAGGAAAAAGGGCAGGGGTGTGGCTCAAATGGTATATAGCACCTGCCTAGCAAGCACAAGGTCCTGAGTTCAAACCCCAGTATAAGCAAAAAAAAAAGTGTCAACAAATTTATAAACAAGATTTAATAACGCTCTTAAGAATAGTTTGTCCCAAATAGGAAAACCACACATTGTTTTGTTCCAAAAGTTTACAAATCTAGTACTGGAGAAATCCAGTGAGAAGCCAGATGTGGCAGTGCCATCTGTAATTCCACCACTCAGGAGGCAGAGGCAGGAGGATCTCAAATTGTTCAAGGCCAGCCTGGGCTACAAAGGGAGACATGATCTTCAGCAGGTAAGCAGCAGTGCCATCACAGTCTGTTTGGGGACCGTCTGCCAGTTATGCAGCAGGTTCTGCCCAGGAGGCCTTCTGCACTGGGACATGCATGCGCTATTTATATGGCCTTGCGTATTTCAGTACCGCCTGTTCATCTTCTTGAACTTCTCATAGTGATAGTCATCTGTGGCCTTCTCATTGGCAGGACGCTTTCGGTTAGGAGGGGACCCTGAGAACGACAGAGAGGATGTCTGTCATGCTGGAACCCACAGGAGACTCTATACTTCAGAGGACTAACTATGCTCATTTTGTTCGCACAGGAACCTAAGCACCTAGGCCAGGGTGTGACAGCATGTGTAGGATGTCCTGGGGAAATATCTTGTATCTATGAGTGCCTTTAATTTGCTTTTGCATACTGAAGGTTTCTAATTTGAACCTGTACTATGACTGCCAGCACAGTGAATCCAAAGAGCAACTGCAAGAGGTAGGTTCTAATAATATCCCCATTTTATAGACGAGGAAGCCAAGGTTTGGAAAGGGGAAGGCATGTGGCCATGGTCTGGAGCAGGATGCTCTGACCCAAAGCCCAGCCACACCCTGCCTCCACGCGCCATCTGAGTGCTGACCAATCCACTGGCCCTGCTGCCCCTGCTGTACTCACGCTCAGGCTCCGGCTTCTCTGTGTCGCCCACTCGCAGGGGCCGGGCTTTGGGCTCCTCTTTGTTTCTCCGTATGGGGGCACTGAGCTCCTCGTGATAAACTGGACCAAGAGAGACCAGTGGACACATCAGACACAACACAGGCTCCTGGACCTCATCCCCTATCCCAGCTGGAGGGAGGGGCAGGGTCGCTCTCCCAGGGATGCTTACATCGATTGTGCTGCACATAATTCACAGCCATGTTTGTGGGCACGAAGGATGTCTCACTGTCCTTCTTCTTGTTTTGCTGTTCTGCCAGCAGGCGAGCCTTGGCATCCTCCGTGGAAATGATGTTTTTTATTTTAGCACTGTCAGGAGAAAGCAACCACACTCCGTATTAGATCATCACACCTTTGAATGCAGATGGAATGGACTGGTGAGGCTGGCAGCTCACCACTACATAGTTCTCTCTAGTTTACTGAACTCCTTTATGATTACTTTTTTTTTTTTTTTTTTTCCTGAGACAGGATCTCACTATGTAGTCCAGGTTGGCCTGGAAGGTGCTATCCTTCTGCCTGAGCCTCCTGAGTTCTGGGATTACAGGCTTGTGCCACCACACCCAGTTCCACAGCCATATTCTTGATTTTGTTTTTGGTGGTACTGGGGTTTGAACTCAGGGCCTCACATTTGCTAGGCAGGTGCTCTACCATTCGAGCACTCTTACAGAAAGCTCACAGCCAGGGAGAACAGGAGTTTTTCTTTTTGGTAAAAGGAAGTTACAGCTTCAGAGTGCAGTTTAGTGGTAGAGCAAATTGCCTAGCATGTGTGAGGCCCTGAGTTGAACTCCCAAAACTGCAGGGGGAAAATAAAAAGAAATCAAGTCCCAAGGGAGTAATGTGGACTGCCTGAGGCTCAAAGCTAGTGAGGGCAGAAAAGAGGCAAGAATCCAGCCTCCCAACTGCCTACTACACCCACTGGTGCTGACAATCCTGGCTCCTCTACAACAGCCCCTCTCTAAAGCTCTTTTTTTATAGGTAAAGTGAGAGGACACTCATGGGGTGGGGGTGGAGTTAATCATAGGCTCCTGCTGGAAGAAAACAAATTAGAACAGCTGGGCAGCTTGAACAAAGAATAAGGAGCACTTCTGCATTCAGCAGCCAGGATCCCTTACTTCTTTTTAACCATTGCACCAAGCCCCCTAAAAAACACTTGGCAACAATGTGCTAGACAGAACAGAATTCACATCTGTTTTTTTTAAAGGTGCTGAGGATGGAACCCAGGACTTTTGAATGCCAGGCAAGTGCTTTTTCACTTAAGCCACACCCCAGCCCGGTCCCTGCAACTTTTAACTGGAAAGCAGACGGAGCTTGCTCAGGCAGAGGCAGGCCGAGGGGTGGAACGTACTCAATGCCCAGGTCCACCTCGGGGATGCCGCTCAGCATCTGGTTGGAAAGCATCTCCTCAGTCTTCTTAGCCGAGGAGACCCGGATGTTTTCTGGAAGCTCATAAAGACAGTCCTCCGCATTCTTTGGCTTCACTTTCTGTTCCTCATGCTCCACAATCCCTTTCCTCTTCTTTAGCTCTGTCTCAATGTACTTCATCCTGAGAAGAAAAACCCACAGGCTCAGGGAGGGGCAGGAAACCCACCACAGGTGTCTTGTAAATGAGTGGTCCCCCAGCACTGACCACAGACCTGTGGCGTTCCCTAAAGAAATTTTTCATTTCGTAGAGAGTTAAGAAAAATAACAATAACTTCAGGGTTTTTTTTTGGTTTTTGACACAGGGTCTCACAAGGTAGCCCAGCTTCCTAACTGCAGGGACTACAGAGGTGCACCACCACACCCTGAGGTAGTCATTTTTTTTAAAGGACTTGTTGGCAAAACAAAAAACAGGCAAGTCCATGTTTATTCCTGAAATGTTTTGGGAACCACCACTAGTTAAGAAATCGAAATGCTGGGGTATGGATCAGTGGTAGAATGAACACGTTCCACGTGTGAAGCCTTGGATTCAATCCCCCTACAAAAGAGAAATCTAAAATCCTGAGAACCCCAGTTTTAATGAACTTTAAAGAGGTTTTCAAATTTCTCAAGCCTGAGAGGTGGGGAGAGTGGGTCAACTTTTATATCTTCCTGAAAATTCTGGAAATGTCATCTGTGACTAAATATCTTAATGGAGCCCAGCCCCAATTGCTCACAGCCACATAGACTGGTACCTACATGTCTGCATCCTCGTCCCTCCGGTTGGTCTCTGCAGAAAATGATGTCCCCAGGTGCAGGTCCTCCTCTTCACTGACTCTGAAAGGAGAGAGCAATGAGGCAGAGCTTACAAGTCATAACTCAGGCCAAGTTTTGTGATTTAAGAATGAAATAAGGGCTGGCAGCAGAGTGGCTCAAGTGGTATAGCAACTGCCTAGGAAGTGTGAGACCCTGAATTCAAACGTCAGTTCCATCAAAAAAGTAGATAAATAAAAATGAAATAAGCACATAACAGAAAGTATAACATCCTGTTTATGGTTGGGCAATAATGATGTGGTATTAGATATAAAGAGAAAAAACTCTAGAAAAACACATGAGCAAACAGGAGGCCTCTGGTGATACCTCTGGAGAAGGAGTGCATACTTTTCTTCTGTAAGCTTTTGTAACACTGTAATGTGTTGCTTTTGTAATTGTTTTTATACAGAACTTCTCCATGGCCTTGAAAGTCAGCGAACAGGGCACTGTGGCAAAAGGAGACCCCACTTAGCCCGCAGCCAGCCATCAGAGCTCTGGTTTCAAACACAGCCTTTGCAGAGCAGAGGCTACTGGTGGATGTTGTGTGGAAGGTGCTGGTGCCACCCCCTCTCCGAGAGCTGCGTCTCTGCCCCTCCTGCACTTACTTGTCTTTGCCTCTTTCCTTCAGTTTCTTCATGTCCACCATGCCACCTGTCTTCATTTGGAAGGGGTCATCCTGCAGAAAGCAAACAGCTTAGGAGAAGCATCATAGCAGTGGCACTGGAATTGCCACAATATTGCTAAAGAAAACCCAACTGCCCACAGAAGAGCAGTCCCAGGGAGGACCGCTCACTTACCACTAGCGTAGTCTCTTCTTGTACCTTCTCTCCCACCAGCAGGGCGGCAGCACTGGGCAAAACCAAAACAAGAGAATGACCCAATTCAGAGCTCACTCAGGGGGCTTGGAAGGTGCACCATCAATGCAAGGGCTATATTTGAGGGATGGGTAGGAAAGTCAGCTGGAAAATCCATAAGAATAAAACAGGGCTCAAGAAGCCCTGTCAATGCTGACAGTGAGGGGTAGTGGTAAGTGAACTGGTCCACTTTCCTGCAAAGCCATTTGACATTATCTTGGCCTGAAAATCTGATTTCTAAGATTTTGCCAGTCAAGGAAAATGCAACAAAAGACAAATGTAAGAATATAGGTAGTGCAGCCTTACTTGATGGTGAACATTTAGAAAACAACATACACAGGAGACTTATTAACTTATGCTACATTCATCTGGTAGATATTATGCAGCCACTAAAAAGGCTTTCTGGAAAGTACTGCACAATATGGATGAAGGCTCACAGTGTCACCAGTTGAAAAAAATCAGGAAATAAAAATGTGTATAAAATTGCTTACCATCTTTAAAAAGAGATCTAAGATAGGTTGGAAAGAACACTAAATGTTAACACTGGTGACCGCTGGATAAAAGAATTATGGATGCTGTTTACTTCCATGATTACACTTTCCTAAATTCTCCAAACTCTTAGTGATCAATGTTATTTCACAATTAATTTCGTGCACTACAAACAAGAGTTAGTGACCTGTTAGTGACCTAAGTTCACTAGGCTCAGGGCACAGGCACGACATGGTTAAGCGTTTGCAAAGGACGCTCGCTGGTCCAGTCTCCTCTTTGGGCAGCGGAAGATGTACAGTGTAAGGAGAAAATTGTGGGGGCTGGCAGAGTGGCTTAAGAGGTAGAGCACCTGCCTAGCAAGCGTGAGTCCCAGTGCCACAAAAAAAAAAAAAAAAAAAAGAAGAAGAAGAAGAAAAAGAAATTTGTGACCGAGACCCTAGCTGGGGCGTGTCTCTGTCATTACCCTTCCTTCTACCCCTCCCCCCATAGCACCCACCTCACCCCATTGGGCCTCTTCCTCAAATTCTGCACCTCTCGGGTCTCTTCCAGTTTTAATCTGAAAAAAAGAAAAAAATGCAGGGGCTCAGCGATCCTCCGTAGAGCCCAGCGTCAACTCGCAGATTCAAGGGCCCCCTGCTCAACAGGGGGTTTCCTGTTGGGTCGCGGGCACAGAGGTCCAGAGCGCGACCCTGCGCCTTAGCATCCATCACCGGCAGTAAACCCACGCATCCCGGAGCCCTTCTCCCACTGTGCGGCCTGGCGGCGCCGGCCTCATCCCCACAAGCCTCAATTTCTTCGTCCTCCGAAGAGACAACAACCCCAACTTACAGTTTTCAGCGAGGCACCCGCCGGTGGTCAGTCCCCCAAGCGGGTCTCTCTCATCCAGGCCCATGGAAGTCCCTCCCTAAACGCACCGAACCTCCTCTGAATCCTGCTCATCTTCCTCCGACTCCGAGTCGACCCGACGCCGTCGGAAAGTCTTCCCGGTGACCGGCATAGTACCGTCGGCTCCGCGGTCCAGCCGCTACGCCGCTGCGCAGTGCCCTGCGCCGCTTCCGACGCTCAGTAATGCCGTCAGAGCGTCTGCCCGGCCCCGCCCCCAGCCCGACTGGTCCCGCCCCCGGCATGCACCGCCTTGTAGCCACGCCCTCACCCTGGCGTGAGCCTCTCCGGATTGGACAGCTGAGCGGGAGGAGGCGGGGCGCGGCCAGCTGGCCCTCACGACCCTGAGCATCGCAGCGGAAGGACGCATCGTGACTGACAGGCGGCGCTGACAGGCGGCGGCGACGGCGCCGGCGCGGAGGAGACGGCAGGTGAGTTCCGGCCCGCCGCCTGCTGTCTTGAGGGGCCGGGCCTGTCGGAGCAGGGACTACCCCTGCCCCGCTGCGGGCCGGTGAGGCTTGACTCTGCCAGGTGCGCAGAAGGCCGCAGCCAGGTGAGCCGAGTCTGGGACGCTCTGGTCGCCGCCGCCCCTCTCCCGTCCTCTGCTCGGCGCTCGGGGGACCAGCGGGCTCCCATGCCCGCTTCGAGACCCCTGGCGTCTCGGGGCTTCTCCGGAGCCGGGGCGGCCCATCTTCTTTCATTTCTGCCAGGGCCTGACCCAGCGTTGAAAGCGTGCGCGTGGCGTCTCCCGGCGCTGACTTTTTTTTATTGTTTTCCCTACCTTGGGCTTCGGGGCCCTGACGTGCATTTTTTTTTCTTTAGGGACAAAGATGACCGATTCCTAGCGGTGGTGAATTTCAGTCCAGCACTGACTGCCCAGCAAGTAGTGGCCTCCAGCCACTTGTCCCCGAGGAGAGGCGCGCCTGATGTTTTGAAGTCATTGGGAGGGTTTTAGGCCAGGGGGGTCCCAGTCAGGGTCTTGTCGCCGCCTTCCCTGGACGTTCAGGGCCTTGTTTTCCTCCTTTTGCTAAGAGTACTGGTCTTCTGCCCTCCGCATCTTCCACCCTGAAGATGCTGTAAGGATGTTTATTTGAAAAACTGGCATCAGCAAACGCTTAGGAGTAGATAATTGCACAAAAAAATGGCCCATGAGACTTTTCGGAACCGCCTAAGTAATACTTTTCCTCTCCTCATTGGGGACCGATCCTTACCTTTGGAGGGAAAGAAGTACCTTGTATTAAGCACTCACTAGGTGGCCACATGGGCTGTGCATTCTCCTTGAATTCTCTCACCAGTCCTGTGAAGTGGATTCAATTGTTTTTCATTTTACAGATGAGGATACCGAGGCTCAGCGAGGCAATGTGTGCCTCAGGTTACCCAGCTGGAAGGTGCAGCAGAGGCCAGTGACACACCTACTGTCCTACTGCAGGGTTTGCACAGTCCCTGGCACAATAGGCTTCTGTCTGCTGCAGCAGCCTTTGTCATTCCAGATCACCGATGGGGGAGGGGCTGATGGAGACTGTTTTTCTCGAAGACCATTCTAAAGCAGGGCAACATTTCTGGAATGCCTGGCTTTTCTCTGAACAGTCTCCTCTGAGATTGTTGTTCTCTTTCTTGGACTGGCCCAAAGAGTAGACTTAGGACTTGTAACAGCTTTTGTCTTTGATCAAAAATCATACGTGAAAAGTCTCAAATTTTGCCTTCTGCAAAGTGCTTCAGCTAAACCCACATGCACTTGGTACTCACTGGACACTGTGTCCCTGTTGGCTGGAGGAGAGGCTCCTTGGGAATTGCTCATCCACAGCTCTCAAAGGCAGTGCTGAATTTGCTAGCTCAGCAGCACTCCTACCTGGTGGTACTGGATATCTTTAAGGATGGGGCAGAAGGCCACGGGCATTCTGAACTATCCTCATCCGATTCCCAGGGAGGAGCCTCTGGTGAAAATAAGTTGCCCCCATCCTGCTCCCTCCATGAGGCCAGAGTGCCCACTGATACCCACCCCCCTGGCTGTGGCAGATCGAATTGAGTCTTGTTTAGCAAAACTCATACTGAGGGGCTGGCAGAGTGGTTCAAGTGTTAAGAGGGCCTGCCTTGCAAGCATGAGGCTCTGAATTCAAATCCCTGTGCTACCTATATGTATACATATATACATAAAATTCAAATATATGTCATGCTGAAAAAATAGCAGCTGGGGATTTGGCAGTGAATGGCTGTACCCAGGGGCGTTAGCCCCTCTAGTGTCACTGGGCCTTTTTGAGGGATGAGACTGCTTTGTGGAGGTAACCTCCAGGAAATGTAGCTTCAGTTGCAAAATGAGCCTTATGTTTTAATTTTGCTTGGGAGTCTGGAGGTTTATGAACCTGGGTTTGGAAAGGTGGCTTGGTTCAGGGGGCGTTAAGGTCCGTATGGATCTGGGAGCCAGCAAGTCGATGCAGTTCACAGCCTAGTCATAGCAAATATTCAATAAATGCTTGTTGGAACAACTTACTTAGTTAAGAGAACTTTGCTGGCATTTACTATATGAATTGGGCACTGTGTATAAAATGTCAGTGAGCAAGAGACAAAGATCCCTATTCTAGTGAAGTTTATATTCTAATAACTTAGTAAATGAAGTATATAGAGCATATTAGAAGGTGACAGGTGCTTTGGAAAAGAGAAAAGATAGAGTGCTGCAGGTGAGTTGGCCAAAGAAGGATGGAGCTGGAAGTTTAAGTTAGTGTCTTCCACTTTGTGGTCTAGTTGGTGCTGTGATGGACAATGGGGTGGACCGATTTATAGACTTGGGTCCCAGTTCTGGACAGGAGCCCTGTTCTGAGCATCTTTTTGTTCCTGAGCAACTGCTTTGCCATCTACTGGCCCTGTGATCTTTGATGCTAACCTCTCTGACCCTCAGCTGCTTGGTGGTTTTAGGGGGTCTTTAGGTCTGAGCTTCTTTTTTAAAGTTTTGCTTTACAGAAGCATTTCTATTACTGGGGTTATACCTCAGTGGTAGAGGGTACTTTTTCCAGTCCCAGATTCCATTGCAAGCACTGTGGGGTGAAGGTTTGAGGGGGTGATGGAAGTGCTTTTCACACTGTACAGTATGTCCAAAGCTCCGGTTCTGGTGGTGTGGTATGTAACAGTGATGGAAGAGCCAAGCCTTCCTTGTTTTGTTTGTTTTTGTTAAATGTGTTTCCAAATGCCTTACTCCTAGCAGTTCTGGGGCTTGAATTTAGGGCTGCCTGCTTTCTAGGCAGGCACTCCACCGCCTGCGCCATTCCTCCAGCCCTCGTTCTTGTTTTGCAAGTTAGCAGGACGGCAACCGGAATAAATCTAACTGCCTCACATTAGCATGGAAAGAGGACACCTGGAGAAGGTATCAGAGTGGACAACAAACACTTAAAGACATAAAAGAGTGACATTTGACTGGCAGAGCACATCTGCCTAGGAGGCCTGAGGTCCTGTGTTTAAAAAAAGAAAAAAAAGAAGAGTGACAGTTGTCTTTGGCTGCAGCCAGCAGAAACGGATCAATACACAGAAACTTCAGGAAAACCAGTTTGTATTTCTTTTAATTTTTTTAAATTTAAAATAGCCCTTTAGACTAGACAGTTCATTTATTATAGAGACTAAAACATCCTGAGTTTTCCTTTGGGGAACAGGGTGATGCTATCCACAATGACTATGCTCAAAGTAAGCCTGGACCACCAATCAACAGAGGTTTCATGGAGTAGCATCCTACCTTAAGAAGAAGATTAGGGCTGGGAACCTAAAAAAAAAAAAAAAAGATCCTAAGACCCTTTAAATCCCAGGGTTACATGGCAGAATCTACTGAATAGAGAGGTTATGATTCAGGTCCTAGGAGTCAGGATTTTCCTGGCCCTTAGTTTCCATTGTGCTTTCTGGAAGTTTGGCTTAGTGATTTCTGAAGTTTCTAGGTTGGAATCTTATTTGTTTTCCTATTTTTTTAAGTTGGGGGGTCTCACTCTGTTGCCTAGGGGTCTTGAACTCATGAGCCGCAGTGAGCCTTCTGAATGCTGGGACTACAGGTGTGCACTACTATGTCCAGCATCTCTAGGGCTGAGTGTCAGAGTCCAAGTTTTTGCTGATACTTACACTTATACTCCAGGACTTGAGACTTCTCATGGCCTGGACCAGTCACAGTCCCTAGTCCTATAATCCCCAGGGACTGACAGCCTGGAGTGGTCCCCAATCCATGCCTTCTCCACTTAAGTGACTCTTATGGAGCCCCAGGCTTTGGGCTGTACAGAAATAACAGCTCTAGACTCATGCAAGTTAAGGTGAGCAGAAAAATGTTCCAGGAGGATGACTCAGAGGGGGCTTGGGGAAGAGGCTTCCTTGGAAGCAGGGGCTTGGCTCTGGGGAGGTGAAGATGTCCGTGCCAGACTGGCCGGGCAATTGGGATATTGTGGAGCAATACTTTAGAGCACTGGCTGCAGGGCAGGTAGTCTTGGCTCCACAGCTCAGTAGCTGTGTGATTCAGCCAGTTATTCTGCTTCTCTGAGCCTCATGTTTAGTGAGGGAGATGGATTTAGCTTGTGTCTTGGCCCCTCCCTATGGGAGAGCTCAAGATATGGAACGGTTAGTGTCAGTCCCAGGACTGGAGCCATCAGGGCAGAGTAAGATGGCTCAGGCTGGAAGGCACTCTGGAGGTGGAGAGCAGGGCTGGTCAGGCAGATGATGCCAGAAGGTTCTGCCAGTGGATTCTTAGCGGGGAGGATGGCTGGGTTGGGGTGGTGGGCTGTGTTTGTATTTAAAGATCAGAAAAGAGAGCAGTCGGGAGGGAAAGGGCAGCTGTTCTAAGGGGCAGAAGTGAGCCTGGAGGCCTGTGGTCATGCTGTGCTGTAGGGAAGGGGCTATGGATGGCTGATACAAGGATCAGTGAGCAAGGGCTGGTGGGCACCTTGTGTGGAGGGAGGCTCAGCTGCCTCACCTTCCCAGTTCCAAGCCAGTATCAGAAGAGGAAGACGTTGTCAGAACCTCTGGAGAAAATGATGAGTAATGGGCACCTGGGGCAGCCAGCCCTGGAAGTGCTATACTGAGCGCCTGCCCTGCCCCTCACAGGCCCCGCTTCCAGCCTTGCCCCTGGTGGGGGCAAGGTGCCCTCCCCATCCTCTGCTGCCTGGGAGGTGGAGTACTTGCCTCTTGAGCAGGTGAAGCTTCTGGGAAATCTCACCCAGGGCTAGGAGAGGGGGTCTCTGCCAGGTGTACCATCCTTGCCTGTCTCCCCTCCTCCTATGCTCTCCTGTCCCAAGAGATGGGGGTCTGGGGTCTACACAGTGTGACCAGCTGTCCTCAAGGGGGTCCATACTTGAGATCTTGTTCTTTCATCAGAGAGCTGTCTTTCCTTTCAGCCTTTATTAAATGCCAGCTATATGCACTTTTTCCCCCATTTTTTTTTTATTTTTTTGTTTTTCTTTATTCATTTATTCATATGTGCATATATTGTTTGGACCATTTCTCCCCCTTGCCCCCTCCCTCTCCCCCTATCCCTTTCCCCAATTTTTCCCTATTAGCATGTATTCATGGTAGGAGGGAATTCGTTGTGACAATTCATGCTCACTTTTTATTTGCACAGAGGCACAGGTGGGAAGGGTGATGAAGCATACAAAACCTGCTTGTCCCTTGTTGTGTGACCTCAGGCAAGTGCCTTTGTTCTTCCTCTATCAGATGAGAAGCAGACTCCAGAGGGATGCAGGAGCTCCTGGGAAGGTGCAGGTGAGGCGCAGGACACTGGATGTGCAGGGATCCCCTGCATCTTGGCTTCTGTGACCCACTTACTTTTTCCAGAAGACCCCTTCTCTGCTCCCCCTCAACTGAGAGAAAGGGAATCTTTTTTTTTGTGGTACTGGGGTTTGAACTCAGGGCCTACACCTTGAGCCACTCCAGTCCTTTTTTGTGATGGTTTTTTTTTCAGAGATAGGGACTGGGTTGGAACCATGATCCTCCTGATTTCCGCCTCCTGGGTAGCTGGGATTATGGATGTGAGCCACCGGTGCCCTGCTGAGAAAGGGACTTTTTAAAAATACTTTCTATTTTGAAAAAGTCAAGCTGCCAGGAAAGTTACAAGAATAATACAGTGAACTCCTATTTACCCTTCACCTGGGTTATTAACATTTTTGCCTTAGTTACTGCAGCTGCAACTGCATTCTTAGTGCCATAATCATTCTTGCGATTCAAGTAACAGTAAAGCACAGACATCCTGGCCCTTTACTCCTCTGTAGCTTAGGGGAGTCAGCTGAGATAAGACTCTTAGCAGATGTAGCCAGAAGAGGATTTTCCTCTTTAGAGGAAACACATTAATGTTGTTAATGTCTTAATGTAACATTTGAAATCATTTGCCAGGGTTTCTGTGGCAAAGTACCACAGGCTGGGTGACTTAAACAACAGAAATTTATTGTCTTTCATTCTGGAGGATGGAAGTCTGAGGTGTTGGGCAAGGTGAGACCTTACTCTCCTTGGCTTGTAGATAGCTACCTTCTCACCGTGTCCTCACCTGGTGTTTTTCTGCATATGTGTCCCTGCTGCTTCATTGTCTCAGTGTTCTCAGCTCAAAATCATGGCAGTCAGACTAGGGCCTAGCCTAGAGATCATTTTAACTTCATTACTTCTTCTTTTTTTTTTGGTACTGAGGTTTGAACTCAGGGCCTCACACTTTCTAGGCAGGCATTCTACCAGTTGAGACACTCTGCTCATACCTGTAATCCTAGCTACTCAGGAGGCAGAGATCAGGAGGATTGCTGTTCAAGGCCAGTCTGGGCAAATAGTTCAAGGAGCCTATCTCGAAAATACCCTTCAAAAAAAAAGGGCTGGTGGAGTGGCTCAAGGTGTAGGCCCTGAGTTCAAGACCCAGTACCACCAAAAAAAAAAAAAAAAAAAGAAAAATGCCATTGCATTCTAGGTTAGTGGTGGTTAGAACTTCAGCATATGAATTTGGAATGGGAGATAAGTCCATAACAACCACTGTTATCTGATATGTAGTCCGTATTCAAATTTGCCAATTGTTCTTTGTGGGGGAAACACCGCAAAAAATCACCACCCAATCGTGGGTGTAGCAGCTGACCTGTGGTAAGAGCATGGTAAAACATGACTGCCATTAGTGATCATTATGTGATGTTCTTTGTGGTGTTTCCCTCTTGATCCATGGCTCAATTTTGTCATGCCTCAGCTGTGTCCTCTATCAGGGACAGTTTCTCAGCCTTGTTGAGAAAGAATTTTCCAGGTGCCAGGAACCTGAGTTGCACGGCCAGGGTAGGGTTCAGAAGTGCTGGCAGCTTCAGGACATTCCAGAAAGCTGTTAGAAAATTTTTTCTGGTCCAGGCGGTTCCTTTCCTGGCTTTTTCTTTGATGTGAAAAGCACAGGGAGGTGAGCTTAGGTCTTAAAAAATAACACTGAGAATCAGAGCTCTCCTGTGTTGGTCACCTGTGGTATGTCCAACTTTACCCGCATTGTACCTTTTCTTTGCTGGTAGGGATAGCCTTCAGAACCCTGAGTGATAAGTCTGATGAAGGGGGCCCTTCTGTGTCACTGTTGGTCTGTGACTTCCACTCCTACCAGTTTCAGTATCCTGATCGCTGAAACACAGTTAGTAATGCAAATTACAGTCTAAACAGTTTTTGACCATTCCTGCCATGAAAATCAATTGAAAATATGAGCCACCTTGAAGTCCATGTGACCAAAAATCATTATGGTAAATGGTTCCTATGTAATTGTTCACTTTGTCCTCTTAGTAAACCCAGTGCTGCCATTGTCCCCATTTTATGGATGAGAAAACCAAGGATTTTGCAACTTAGATAAAGCCACAGACTTGCAAGTGATAGTGAGGTGCCAAACCCAGGGCTAGCTGTCTCTGTTGTTGCCTTCCTTCCACAGTTACAATCACTGCCTGATCGTGGCTGTGAAGCATCTGGCCTGTGGCAAGAGCACTGTAGAAAGGTGGCTGCCATTAGTGATCATTGCATGCAGGCTTGTGGGCACCTTGGAATTTTAACATGGTACTCTGCTTATGCCTGGCAGGCACCGAGGGAAGCAAAGTGGTGACTCAGACAGCCGAGATGCATCTCTCGTAGGCACGTGTGCTACTGGTGGTGCTGTCCATGTGTGAAATACTGAGCACCCAAAGTTTCTACTACTACTGCTCTGTTCTTCCCTTCATTTAAACTGAGTTTAAGCATTAACTTAAAAAAAAATGTTAGTAAGCCTTACATTTTCCATGTTGGGCCTCGCAGAGACTAGAGAGCATGTTCTCCCTGGTCCCACGGCCGGGTTCTCAGGATGAATGATGAAAGGAGAACCTCAGTTTGGTTTTTCTGTTTGTTTTGTTTTTGTGTGACCAGGATTTGAACTCAGTCACTTTGCTTTTTAAGTGGGGACCCACAGCAGAATTTGTCCAGATGCCAGTCTGGGGAGATTTAGGAATTCATTGGTTTGCAAGACTGGCTTACAAAATCTGTGCCTGCATTGAGAATAATAACCAATAGGTACCCCAAACCAAATCCACAAGAGTCAGAAGTTGTGTGTGTGTGTGTGTGTGTGTGTGTGTGTGTGTGTGTGTTGCTAGGGTTTGAACTCAGGGCCTGTACCTCGAGTCACTCTGCCTGGGCTGGCTTCGAACCTCGATCCTCCCCATCGCTGCCTCCTGAGTAGCTAGGATTACAGGTGTAATCCACACCAGTGCCCCAAGGAGTCACACATTCTAAGAAGAACAATTTTTACAAATGGGTTTCTCCTGCCAACCTGAGTTTGGAAAGGAAGGAGGAAGGGGAAAAATATCTAGATTTTCCTCTCTTCCAGGCACTTCAGATAGAGATTTGGGAGAGCTACTTTTGTATGAATTCTTGCCTTTTTCTGCTGGCTTCTGCCAGTTCCTAGGATCCCATCTGCAGGCTACAGAGTGAGTGGAATGTCCCCAAAACTCCTTGGTGGCTCACTAAAAAACTGTAAGGGAGGAAATACAGTTTTTCCTCAGTGAGTTCATTGTTGGGATAGAGCCCTGGAACAAAATACATTAACAAGAGAAAAACAAGCAAGTTTATTAATGGGTGCAGAGCACATCATGAGGGAGAAAGCCCCAGGAGAGGTAACTCAAAACAGTTACCTCTGGCTTATCTAGTATCGTTAACAAGGAAAAGATAAAGTTCAGTGAAGTGACAAGTGACACGAAAACAGCTTTAGACTTTCATTTTGTTGCAGTGCTGGAGATCAAACCCAGGGCCTGATGCTTTGATACTTGCTAGGCCCTAATACTTGAAATACACCCCAGCACCACTTTGGACTTTGAGAGGAAGGAAATGGAAGGGAAGTCAGGAAGACACTAATGGAGTGAGGTTTTCTGTCTGTAAGCTGGTGGGGTTGTCTCCGGTGATTAACCTCAGTTCTCCTAGCAGAAAGAGTGGGGTAGAGGGAGTTCAGATGCCTTTACAAATATGTCTTGCTTTTATGCAAATAGGAGGAGGGCAGAGAGCTTTTCTGCATCTTTTTTTTTTTTTTTTTTGATGAGAGGGTTTTGCTATATTCCAAGCTGGCCTAGGACTCTCACTCTCACTTCCTCTTTCTTTTTTTGAGACAGGTTCTCGCTATACAAGCCAAGGCTGGCCTGTTATTCCCTCTGTAGCCCAGGCCAGCCTCGAATTTGTGGCCGTTCTACCTCACGCTACCAAGTGCTGGGATTATAGTGTGGACCACCACACTCAGCTCATGCATCTTCTTTCTATATAAAAGAGGTATATCTGAGGTGACATTGTGTTTTATTTTAGCTCTTATATAAAAACTATTCTGAATGTGTACAAGAGCTTTGTGTAGATAAATGTTTTCATTTCTCCCAGGCAAATATCTAACAGTAGAATTCCAAGGTCATAAGCAGGTGTATGTTTAACCGTTTTGTGAAGCTTGCTGTACTGTTCATGTTCCCTTCAGAGTATATGACACACCCATCGTGTCTTCAGCATTTGGCATTGTGAGTCCTTTTAGTTATAGATCTTTTGGAGGTGAGACATTATCTTGTGGTTTTAAACTTGGAATTCTGTGTTTCTCTGATGGTTAATGAAGCTAGGCATGTTCTCATGGGCCTCCTTTTTTTTTTTTCTTTTAAGATGGGGTTTCTCTGTGTTGCTTAAGCTGGCCTCACAGCACTGGCCTCAAGTGATCCTCTTACCTCAGTCTCTTAAGTAGCTGGGTCTATAAGTGTGTGCCACTGTTCCCAACTTAATGTTTTTTGTTTTGTTTTGTTTTGTTTTGGTGGCACTGGGGTTTGAACTCAGGACTTCAAACTTGCAAAGCAAGTGCTCTACCTCTTGAACCATGCCTCTTGTCCGTTTTGTTCTGATTATTTTGGAGATGGGGATCTTGAACTATTTTCCTGAGCTGGCCTCGAACTGTAATCCTCCCTATCTGTTTCCCAAGTAACTAGGATTACAGGTGTGAGCCACAGCGCCCATCTTCATCATTGTTTTTAATGGCTATATAGTACAACATGTGTCTGGCATTATTCATCCAGTTGCCTATTGTTCACTCAGATGACATCCAGCTCCCCCATTATGAAGTCTTACAGCAACTATGTCTGTTGTCCTTTGCTCACTCCATTGATCATTTACTTAGAGTCAATCTGGATCCAAGTTAGCCTTCCTGACTCTTTCCTCCTGTTTGTCTTATTTAAACCATTGGTGATTTGTGTGCAGTTGGATGTGGAATGCCAACACTCCTGGCTTGCCTTCAGGAGTCCCAATAGTATAGTGACTTGCAACAGGTGTTGGCAGACTGCAGCAGTGGGCCGGTGTTGTCTTATTTGGCACTTGAACTAAGAATTGTTTTTAAAGGATTGAGAAGGAAAAAAAAGAACATACCAAGTGACAAAGATTGATGTGGTCTATGAAGCCCAAGATATTTCCTATCTGGTCTTTTGAAAAGTTTGCCAACTCCTGATTTCAAACAGGGCTCTGTAGTGGAAAGGCCCAGCTGTGTTGATTGACTTGGCTAGATTCCTTAGTCACTTAGGCTCACCCTTTTTCTTCATGTGTGAAATGGGGGTAGCGAGAGTGCACTGAGAGCTGTTAGCACAGGACTTTTTTTCTTTCTCTGAAGTTGCAGAAACTTGAGTCTGCTCCTGTGAATTAAGAGTGGGTCTGTCACTGTCATTCTGTTCTGGGACCAAGGTCATAACCCATCTCCCACCAACCCCTGCCCCCACTGGCCCTCCAGCTAGAGAGGTGGGACATATACCAAAGACACTAAAAAAGCCCATTTCCTCTGTAAGAGCACAGGCACAGTGCCAGCCCAAGGCACGTGGCCTCAGCAAAAATAATGAGAAAAACGAAAAACTTAACTTCAAGTGAAGTTTGGAATTTAGAACCTTAAACTCTGTCATTGTCATGTGACTATTTTAAGTGTTGCCTTCTAACTGCCCCTCCCTCTTTGAACTGCCCACCAAGAAAGGGGAACAGTGGCAAATATGGGTGAACCTGATTGTGCCATAGTCCAGGGTTGTGAAGACTTGGAGTTTGGGGTTTTGAAGCAGCACAGGGTCCTGGAGAGGCTTGAAGGATGATCTGAGGGACTCCGTGGCATGCGTGAAAGGGGCCTGGCCTTCCTGTCCAGTGTCACAGGCTGTGGCAGTCTAGGGGGACAGGAGAGGGCGTAGCCCCATGCCCTCCCACACCTTGAGGGTCTCCTCTCTAGGGGATGACAAAGGTAATGCTCCAGCCAATGCGCACGCGCACACACACACACACCCCTCCCTCTGGAGGAGCTGGCCCTATGTGTCCAAGCCTTCTGTAGTTGTCCTTGGAGTGGTGTGTTTTTACTGTTGCTGTGGACTATCTAGCCTGGGGATGTTCCAAATATCCAAAAATACACCTGCTCCTGTTAGAAGGAATTCCGTACTATTTTTTTGCTTCTATTGGTGTTAAGAGTGGTTTTAAAATAACGGAACTGTATAAAATATGCTCGTTCACCCCCAGGTTCCTTGCCAGAAGCTCTGCTCCCTACAGACCACCATAGCAGCCTGTCACCATCAGCTGTCAGTGGAGAATGAGAGTTCTGGCTGTCTCCTGTGAGCCACTTTGAGTCAGAGGTAGGTGCTGCCTTCTCCCCTCAAGCACACCTCTTACATGTGAGCTGAGGAGGAAGCTGGTTTTTTTATTCCTTTGGGTAAAGCAGTAATGGAATTGTGGTTGTGGGTCTTTTTTTGCCAAGTCCTCATCTCTTAGAAAAACGTGTGTGGGTGAGATGGGGTTTTATGTGTGCCTGGCATCTGGTGCAAAGCAGGAGAAAGCAGTTAGTAGGTGGTGATGCAGCAGGATTGGCCCTGGGATGTTACTTGATGGAATGAATTACACAGGAGTGTGTGGTGCACTTCAGCCTACTTTTGCTGTTTACTGTTTTTTTGGGGGGCAGTACTCGGGTTTGAACTCAGGGCCTTGAGTTTATAAGGCAGGTGCTCTACCACTTTACCAGACTTACATTTTTTCTAAGTTAAGGAGTGAGCACGTGAGCTAAAGCCTGGGTTTTAGCACTACTATGCCCATCTATGAGACCAGAGACGAGAAGGACCTGGTTTGTCTGTTAAATAAGGCTGGTCACAGCTGTTCAAGGAATGCTGGGAGGACTTTTAGTGGAACTGTGCAGGACAGCACTGAGCCTGGTAACTGTCACCTCTTTGGCACAGTATCTCGTTTTCTGGCTGGAAGTCTGGATCAGGCCACCCCTGGGGATGGAGAGGGAATTCAGGAGGAGCCTGGGGATGGAGAGGGGATTCAGGAGGAGCCTGGGGGTGGAGAGGGGATTCAGGAGGATCCTGGGGGTGGAGAGGGGATTCAGGAGGAGCCTGAGGGTGGAGAGGGGATTCAGGAGGAGCCTGAGGTCCACATCTAAGATCAGGAGGGCACAGCCTTTGATGACTCTACTGACATCTTTGGTTGGTTTGGACCTTTCTTGACAGCAGTTTGGAGCTAGAATCAGCTTTGGGTGCCTGGATATGATTATCAGGTAGCTGAAGCATTATTTTTTAGTTACTTTCTTTTGAAATAATTATGAATTCCCAATAATTTGCAAAAAACAAACAAAAATATGCCAGGAATCCCATGTGCCCTCCACCTGCCTCTGTAGTGGTAGCACGTCTTGGTTTTGTCCGCAGTGTAGCTGGGACGTGACACCAGTGCAGCCCCGAGCTTGCTCAGATTTCATTAGCTCTATAGGCTTTCATGGGTATGAGCTGTGCAGGTGTGTTTGGTTCTGTGCAGTTATAACACACTGTAGGGCAAATGTAACCACTGCCCCCCTCAGGACACAGCTGTTCATTCACCATCACCACCGAGTCCCTCAAGTAAAGCATTTATTTTCAGCAACAGAAATTTTTTTTTTTCTGATTTAAAAAGAAAGAAATGACGTACACAAAAATGTTGGGAGAGCTGTTTGCCACAATGTCATAGCAACTTACTGTGCTTCATATTTACACTTACATCATCTGAGTTTCTTTTTATCATGAGTGGGTATCACTTAAACAAAGATGGTTTTTCCCCATCATTTGACTTCAGTCACTTAGATACACCACTGGAGATGTTTTGGCAAATGCTCTTTCACCCACTTCCTAGGTGGGTCACTGCCTGGCTCTCTGCCACTCTCCTTGTCTTCAGATGACAGTCTTGGAGGCGGTGGAGTTTTACTGCCCCTCTGTTGTTCAGGTGTTACTGCAGCCTCCAGGTGGGCTTCTTCCAGAAGGGTGGAGGTGACCTGTGGATACTTGGCCCCCCACTGGCTCTTGAGGAAGCAGGGTCTGCTTGCTGAGAGAAAGCCAGAATCAGCCTGTGCCACTTGTCCTTTTGAAAACCAGCCTTTCCTCTGCCTGCCCCCTGGGCACAGTGGCTTCCCAGGCACAGATTCGGATTCTGTGGTGTGTAGCTCCTGAACACAGGCGGGACTGCCCTCCCAGCCAGTAGTTGCAAGCATTACACCCAGAACTACTAGGTGCAGTATCTGTTGGGTCCTGGGCCAGGCTTTGGTGTACTTCATCTCTGTGACTTCTCAGAGAAACCCACTAAAGAAGCTGTCATTTTCTCAGACAAGGAGAAGGAGACTCAGAGAGGTTGAGTAGCCTCCCTGTGTCTCCAGCTGGTATGTGCTCCTCCAGCCTGCCCTGCCTCCCCCCGTACTCCCAACAAGGGCTGTGGTAACACAGAGTGCTGTGTCTTCTTGCAGGTGAGACTAGGCCAGAATGGGGGACTCCAGGGACCTCTGCCCTCACTTGGACTCCATAGGGGAGGTGACGAAAGAGGACTTGCTGCTGAAATCCAAGGTAAAGGGGCAGTCCTTAGGGGCTGGGGTCCACAGCAGGGCCACTGTGTTCCTGGGGTATGGATGTTTCTGGAGCAATGAAAGCACTGTGTCCAATCCTTCCTCTCTTCACTCAGTCCTCCGTATAAATGGCACTAGTGTCATCTGTCAGCGGTCTTCTTCCAGGGGCTATATTCTAATGCCATTAATTATAGCTAGAGAAGCCATTTGTCAGCACTAATGCTCTGCCCATTATGGCTGGCTGGGTGCACAGCCTTCCACAGCAGGGAATGGGTGTTCAGGGTGTTTATTTTTTTCTTTTGGCATTCTGAGGATGGAACCCAGTGCTTTGTGTATGCTAGGCAGGCGCTGTATGGCTGAGCTACCTACCAGGTCTCCACCTACAATTTTACAGCTATGGTCTGAGCTGGATGCAGAAACCTGAAGTGGGAGGTGGCCTCTTCTCTGAGTGTGAGGATATGCTGTTATGTCCTCTTGTGGAGGTTTTTTGAAAAGCTGGGCTGGTGGAGTGGCTTAGTCATAGAGCACCTGCCTTATAAGCCTGAAGTCCTGAGTTCAAAGCCCAGTACCACCAAAAAAAAAATGTTTTTTGAAAAACCAGCATTTGGGCTGGGTGTGGCTCAGTGATAAAGCACTTATCTTGCATTTGCAAGGCTCTGGGTTCCATGCCAGCACTGCACAAAACTAAATAAATTAAATTTTAAAAAAAGGTAGCATTATTTGTATGGTTCAAGAATGAAACTATATGAGAAAGCAAATGTCAGAAAGCTCCTGCCCTCCCCACAACATACATACTTCTGCCAGCCTCAGGTTACCTCTTTCCTCAGTTTCTGTCTCTTGTCAGTTTCTTATGCAGATATGAGTAGATACACCAAACCTTCCTTTTGCCTTCCTTATGTAAAAGGCAGCAGCCTCCAGCCACTGCCCTGTGACTTGTTTTCGCAGAACAGCCTGTCTTGGAGCTTTTCCGAATGAGCCCATAGAGAGCCCTCTTACTCCAGTGTGGAAGCTACGCTGTGTGTTTGTGTGGCCTCCACATTGACCCTCTCTGAGGGACACCGCACTGTGTCTCCTCACCAGCACAGCATTGCTGCAGCTGCAGAAAGGCCTGGCTCAGAGGACAGTTGTGTCTGTGGGCAGAGCCATGCCCAGGGCTAGCAACTCCTTTCCAGGTGCCTGGTGCCTCACTCCACCTCGCTGCACAGCAGGGACTGTGGCATTGGCCTGTGCTGCTGCACTCATAGGCTCTGGGTGGGACTGTTCTTCAGTATCTGGAGCTGCCTTTGAAGTGATTTTGCCTCTCTCTTGGCTGAGGAGCTGAGTGAGGCTTGGCTGTGAATATTTGCTGGGTTTCTTTCCAAGTCTGTGCCAAGGAAAAAGGGAGATAAACCAAGAGGATTCCTCTCAAAGGAGGTAGGGCTTAGGAGAATCTGAGCACAGGGAGGGGATAGGCTAAAAGGGTGGATGGAGGAAGGTGGGCCCAGAAGATGGACTGAGCCATCTCCAGCACCTCTGTGGGCATCCAGAAAGTTCCCAAATAAGCCCAGCATTGTAAAATACTCAGAGGGTTCAGGAAGCTGAAGCAAGGGGATTGTGAGTTCGAGGCCAGCCAGGGCTGCATAGTGAGACCCTGTCTCAAAAAAAAAAAAAAACCCACAGGACAAATAATCAAAACCTCAGAAGGGCAAGGGCCCTAGCAAATAGCTCATAATGAAGGAAATACAAATTTCCAAGAAATGTTCAGGAAAAGATGCTGCGCCTTGCTAGTGGCGCAGGTTGTTGCTGATATGAACAGACAAAACCAGAGACTAGTTCCACTCAGAGCTAACTGTTACAGAGGAAAAGGTACTGCTGCTGCTGGTGGGATGGGAATTGCTGAAACTAAGGAAGCATTTCCACTTCTGGGAAGTTATCCAGTCCGGATGGCAGCAGCATTGTGAAGCTCAGGCACAGCCACGTTTGTTGAGTGTGTTCGTGAAGGGAAACACTGGTGGTGAGGTGGGTACTCATCATCAGGGAGAGGCCAGTGAGTAATTTAGAATGTCGTTAGTGCAGGAAACCCATTAGTGCTAGGAATGGAGGCGAGGTCTCTGTGTACAGACTTAGAAAGACAACCTTGATAGGTGGCAAAATCATTTGCAGAGCAATATGTATTGTATCACCTGTTTTGTTTTTTTTGATGGTACAGGGGTTTGAACTCAGGACCTCACACTTGCTAAGCAGGTGCTCTACCACTTGAGCCACTCTGCCAGCCCTTTTTTGTGTTTGGTATTTTCAAGATAGGGTCTCTCGAACTATTTGTCTGGGCTGCTTCAAACTGTGATCTTCCTGATCTCTGCCTCCGAGTAGCTAAGATTATAGTTGTGAGCCACTGGTGCCTGACCATGTCATCTAGTTTTTGTTTTGTGTTGTCTTTTTTTTTTTCTTTGAGATCTGGTCTCACTAAGCAGCCCAGGCTGGCTTGGAACTTGCTGTGTAGCCCACACTGGCCTCGAACTCGAGACCCTCTTGCCTCAGCCTCTCAAATGCTGGGATTCCAGATGTGCACCACCATAACTGACTTGCGTGATCTTAACTAAAAATCACCCTGAGGTCTATGTATATGTTTGTATAAGAAGAATGTGGAGTCTTTGCTCCCATTTCCTGTGTGGGTAATAGGAAATATTTTTCTCTCTCTTCCCCCCCCCACTGTTGTCTGTATTTTATCCTGTTATACTAAAATAAATCCTTGCTAAAACTTCAAAAAAAAACAAAAAGAGAGAGAATGTGTAGGTTGATGGTATAGATAAGTGGTAAAATGCTTGCCTTGCATGCACAAGGTCTTGGTTCCATCTCCAGCACTGCAAAGGAAAAAGAAGAATGTAAGGAGGGATATACTTCAAATTATTGCCACATGTACATATAATACTGTAGTTCTAATCATATACATCGTGTATGTGTCATTTGAATTGTTATAGCAAACAGAATTTTTTTTTTTTTTTGGTGGTACTAGGGCTTGAATTCAAGGCCTACACCTTGAGCCACTCCACCAGCCCTTTTTTGTGAAGAGGTTTTTTTTGAGATAGGGTCTTGTGAACTGTTTGCCTGGATCGGCTTCGAACCTCGATCTTCCTGATTTCTGCCTCCCGAGTAGCTAGGATTACGGGCATGAGCCACCTGCGCCTGGCTAAAACAGAATACTTTTCTAATTCATATGACTGAAATGAAAAAATAAAAACCTGGTAAGATGAGGGTGGATTGAGAAATCAGAAGAAACTCACAAGAGGGATGTAGACTCAGAAAGGTCAGGCTCAGCAGACCCTTTGCTGTCTTGTCACCCCGTTCCCACAGCAACAGAGCCCAGATCACCACTTGCAGATCTCAGCTCCATTGACTGGAACGAACCAGTTTACTCAACCCTGTCGAGGGTCCTGTGTCCAGGCTCACAACAAACCAGGGTCTGGACTAGTGAGAGCGAGGAGTCCTTCCGTGGCTTGGAGCTGACTGGCTACCCTTGGGGGAGGTCAGGCTTTCCTGGTGGAAGGTTCAGTAACCTTCTTCTCTGTGCCAGGCTCCTCAGCTTCACCTTCTGACTGGCTCTGTGCAAGGTGCATCCCCTCTGAGCCCCAGTGTCTCATCCACGGAGAGGGGATCTTGGTGGGGCCCATGGTACTAGTAGTAAAAGAGGTCTTGGGCAACAGGCAGAAAACTGAGCTGGGTGTCTGGTTCTCTGTGGTCTCTCTTTTTTTTTTTTCCTTTGGTGGGATTAGGATTTGAACTCAGGGCTTCATGCTTCCAAAGCCAGTGCTTGAGGCATACCGCCAGACCCCCTGCAGTCCCTCATTAGGTATTAGCGCTCACTGTTACTGGGCCTGATGTTCTAACTGCTGTCAGAGACTCAGTTAGGATCTTCTCACAGCCTATGAAATTCATCAGGTGTAAGGTCTCAGTTGGGACTCGCACAGATAATTATTTAGGGCACAGTTTAATTGCTGTGACAAAGAGACACTGAAGTACAGTGGCTTAAATGAGAGAGAAGTTTATTTTTCTCTCATAGAGCAACCAGAGGGTAGATAGGGCTGATAGAGTGATTCTGCCATTCTCAATATGTGACTTCTAGCTTTGAGTTCAAGGTAGTTGCAGTAGCTCCTTTCCAGCTAATGGACAAGAGAAAAAGTAAAGGTAACACACAGCTCAGTAGAGATATCCATCTCTTTCGCTGTCATCTCGTTGACTAGAACTGAGCTGCATGAGCTTAGCAGAGGCTGGAAACAGTCTGTAGCTGTCTGACTGTGCTTAGCTAAGTCTCACACCCTCTATTACTAAAGCAAGAAGAGGAGAAAATATACTAGCAGTCAAGGAGCAGTCTTTGTCACCTGAAACCATCAGAAACCTGGCTGTTTTCTATAGTCGACAGATAACGTTGATCTCATTTGTATCAGACCTGTGAGGTCTCAGGGAAGACAAACCAGATCATCTCTCTCTTCCCTAGAGTTCCAAATGTAAGCAGGGAGAAAGCCTTAAGTGACTTAGTGGGGTAAAATAGAGTGGAGGGGTGATGAAAGTATATGGGAAGGACCCTGGGCATTTAAGGTTTAAATGATTTCATTTGAAATATTTTTATGAGCATATGATTAAAAAGAAAAAAAAAAATCCCAAACACTAGGGTGAGTGTACCCTTGGATCCCTGTTTAGGTGAGCAGGCTGGTGGAGGCCTGTCTGAGGCTGGGCCTTGAAGCTGGGGCCTTCAAGGTGAGTGAGGGCAGCTGGGCTGAGCCAGTATGCCTGCCCCAGGTCAACTGCCACTCACGCCACTCTCTCCCACAGGGCACCTGCCAGTCATGTGGTGTTGCTGGACCCAACCTGTGGGCCTGTCTCCAGGTAAAGGATTCTTACAGTTCCGTCTGGACTCTGGCCTGGGAATGCCTGGTCCCATGGGCACTTCTTGGGCTCCAGGGTCAGTGAGTCCCAGGCTGGCTGCTCTGACAGCCATGGAGATTGTCGGGAAAACAGCAGGCTGGGGAGGACACTGGGCTGAGTGATCCCATCTCCATAAAGACAAAGCTACTTGCATGTGTTCAGGAGTTGGTGTGGGCCCCTTGGCTTGAGTACTAGTCTCTTCCCAGCCTCTTTCCTCATCTGTAAAGTGATGGCTGGTCCTACCAGTTGGGGAAGGGTAGAATTTGCCGTAGCATAGTGTGTGGTCCCAAGTCAATAGACAGGGAAATCTGGTGGTGGTGTGCCAATTGTTGCTGATTAAAAAAGTGAAAGCAGAGGCTAGACGTGGTGGTGCCACCTGCAATCCCAGCACTGAGGTGGCTGAGGCAGGAGGATGGTGAGCCCGGGCCATCCTGGGCTAGGTAGCAAGACCCTGTCTGAAAACAGAAAAGAACACAAGTAGATTTCTCTGTGTAGTGGGATTACAAGTAATTTTTTTTTCCTGTGCTACCTTGTATTTTTCAAATTTTATTTAAGAATGTATTATATTTTATAATCATACTAAAAGTGTTACTTAAAGTTTCTTTTAAAAATCTACCAGTAGAAACAAAAAAGCCAGGACTAGAGCTAAGACAGTCTGCAGGAGACATGGGACTCCCAGGGGACTCTGGCCTCTTCAGTGTAAGCCTGTCACTAAGGTGGACTCAGGACACTGGGTGCCTGGGGGACAGCAGGAAGGGCAGAACACGGTGGTACCAGGAGAACATATATGGGAACCTGATGTGGAAAATGACAAGCTTCAACCATGACTTTATGGTCTCAGCTGAAAGGTCATTTCCTGGACTTCAGGTACCCCTGGCAGCTGTTGGCTGCAGCTGGGTAGAGAGGTGCTGGAGCTGGGCTTGAGAGGAGGGTAATTCTGGGAAAGGAGAGTGCAGGGCCAATGACAGGGCCTCAGAGGTGGGTAAGTGCACAGAGGTGCTATTTATGGTGACTTTCCCTACCTCATGTGAAACCTGTGTTCCTCTGGCATTACATAACCTCAGTCTTTGTGGGTCCTGTTGGGTAGAGATGGGTCACACTGGTTTTGGGATGGAGTTAGGAGCTCACTGCTGCTGGTCCCAGTCTGCTTTCACCTCCTCTCTCCCCAGGTCACCTGCCCCTACGTTGGCTGCGGAGAATCCTTTGCTGACCACAGCACCATTCATGCACAGGTAGGTGTGGTGGCAGGGGCATGTTCTATGCAGTGAGGTGCCTGGGGGGGTATGACCTGCCTTCCAGCTCCTGTCTGCTTTGGGCCTCTGTGACTGGGGCAGAAAGCTGGGACAGTCATGGCAAGGTTACTGCAGAGGAGAAGCAGGAGCAAAAGCAGATGAAAGTTCTGTGCACTGTCCCACCTGGCTGATGGCAGCCCTTGGCTTCTGCACATTTGACCTGGCAGGGCTCTTCTGAAGGCTGGAGAGCAGAGGCAGCCCCCTTGAGGACTTGGAGCACCTGCTAGGCCAGAGTATCCTCCACTTATTTTGGATCTTACCCTTCAGGCAAAAAAGCACCACCTGACTGTGAACCTGACCACATTCAGAGTGTGGTGCTATGCCTGTGAGCGGGAGGTGTTCCTGGAGCAGCGGCTGGCAGCCCACACACCCGGCTCCTCACCCAAGTTCTCAGAGCAGGTACAGAGCCATGGGCCAGTTTGGTTGTTGGTGATGCTGTCCAGGATGGGGGCAGTGCGACCCCAGCTGGTCATGCTTCCCATGGTAGGTCCATGGGTCCCTGGCCCCGGCCCTCTCCCTCTTACCCACCCCCTCCACCCTTTCCTAGCTCTGGTCTTTAATGCAGGACTCCCCACCACCATCCCACCCTCTGAAAGCTGTTCCTATTGCTGTGGCTGATGAAGGAGAGTCTGAGTCAGAAGATGATGACCTGAAGCCTCGAGGTAATGGCTCCAGAACAAATGTTGCTGTTAGGCCAGGCTGGGGTCTCAGCTGGCACTAGTATGCTGCCATGGGCACAGGAGGGCAGAGTGACAGGCCTTCCTTCCATACAGCTGTGGCTTCCCTTGGCCCACCAGCCCAGCTGAGGTCCTAGAGTTCTGGCTGTCCTTGTTTCCCTCTCATCTTTGGGGCCTCTAGCATGTGACCTCCTCAGCTGTGTGGCTAGGAAGTTGGTGTTGCAGTGAAGCCAAGTACCTCATTACTTGACCCACACAGCTGTTGGGAGCAGGAACCACTCCCACATGGTTCCCTGGGGTGGAGAGCCTGAGTTTGGTGGAAGGAGACTTAAGAGAGCACTCATCTTCCCCGTGTCCTTCCCAGGTCTCACAGGCATGAAGAACCTCGGGAACTCCTGCTATATGAATGCCGCCCTGCAGGCTCTGTCCAACTGGTAGGTTGCTTCCTCCTGAGCAGGGGCTGGAGCTGTCCCATGTGATAGGTAGGATACACCTTACCATCCCCTCAACTTGCCCATGGGTCGGAATGCATCCTCAGGAGATGACCAGAGAGTGATACGTGAAGGGCACTCCTCATTGTGGGCCATCAGGAGCCTTTTAAAGGCCTACCTGGGGCCAGGTGTGGCTCAGTGCCACAGCATTTGTCTAGTATATGCAAGGAGGCCCTGGGTTCCATCTCAGCACCTCATATAAACCAAACACCCATCTGCAGGGGAGTGTAAATTTGCTGTAGCCTAGCCTTACAGGGAACACAGGACAGCATTTACTGGAACAGGGTGGGGTGCAGAACCTGGTGAGTGGGTTACCCAGCTTTGTGTGGTGCAGGCCTGTTTTGGGAAAATATTTTCCTTGAAGGATGGGATGCCAATTCCACGGTTGGGGTGGGGGTGTCCTATGCCTGACACAGGCTCTCTTACCTGGTAGGGATTCAGTATATATGAGGGAGAAAGGGAACAGATCTGCATGCATAGAAAAGTTTGGAAGGCTAATCCCCCAAATGTTCAGAGTAGCTATCCTCATGTGGCAGGATGGTCAGTTATTATTGTTTATGCTTTCTAATTTATTTTATAATATATGTTTTTATGTAATAAGATAACTTTTTTTTTTTTGGCAGTACTGGGGATTGAACTCAGGTCCTCATGATTGCTAGGCAAGCCCTCTACCACTTGAGCCACACCCCAGTCCTACCATAAAATAACTTTTCGGGCATGCAAAATTCTGCAGACAGGCCTTGGCAGAGCCAGAGCTGCTCTCCCCCTCGTTCATGCCGTGGTAACCCTGGCCTCTGGGCCTCCAGCAGGAAGCTCACATGTGACCCAGGAGAGGGGGTGCTTTTGTTTATCAGGGTCACCATGACATAGTACCACAAACCAGGGGCTTTACAGCCAGTGACTTACTTTTTCAGTTCTAGAGACCCAAAGGCCAAGACCAAGGTGGTGCAGGTTTGGTTTCTTCTTAGGCCTCTCTCCTTGGCTTTCAGATGGCAGTCTTCCCACCATGTCCTCATGAGGTCTTTTGAGTGCACGTGTATTCCTTTCTCTCTCTGTGCTTATTTCCTCCTATGAGTTCAACAGTCAGATTGGGTTGGGGGCTGTCCTAACACCTCATTTTAACTTCACTCCCTCTTCACAAGCCCTTCTCTAAGTAGTCACAGCCTGAAAGACTGGGAGTTTGGACCTCATCATATAAATTTGGGGGCCCCAATCCAGCCCTAATAGGTGGGTCCTTCTAGTCATCTGCGGGCATTTGTGGGTACGGGACTTCTGTGTATTCCACAGGACTACTTTGGGTATTTGCTTTCTCATCCAGCTCTTTCTGAGTGATGCCACTTTTTCCTCTTTCTCTCTTCTGACCTGACTTCTGCCCTCCAGTCCCCCACTGACCCAGTTCTTCCTGGAGTGTGGAGGCCTGGTACGCACAGACAAGAAGCCAGCCCTGTGCAAAAGCTATCAGAAACTGGTCTCTGAGGTCTGGCACAAGAAACGGTGAGTGATTGATTCCCTGAATGAGGCCAGGACTTTTCTGTCCGCCTCCCAATGGAGCCTGTGCTCTGAATTTAGCCCCGCATGAGCCCTTGTCTCCCATGACCCCTGTGAGGCTCACAGTGAACCTGCATTATGTAGTTTACAGATGGGAAAACTGAGGTGCAGAGAGCTTTAGGTCTCTTGCTTATGGCCATGTGGCTCTTGAAAGATGGAGCTAGGATTTGAACTGGTGTTGAGCCCAGCTGTCATCTGCTCTGTGATATCTGTGCCGGGTCCAAGACAGTCTGGCTAGTGATCAGTATGGGATGACTGCATGTGTGGGAGGGTACTCATAAGGGGGTGGTGGACACTGGGGGTTTGTGGCTCAGATTGGATCTTTCTCCAGGCACAGTGAAAGCTGGGACTAATTCAAAGTGAGTGCATAGGCATGTGTTAAGTGCAGGAGTGGAGAAAGACCATGTGATTCGATATTCCGATTGTGAAAAAGCCAGCCTTGTGCAAGTGTGTGCCTGTGTGTGCTTTTGTATGTGTATTTTTGCAAACTCTGGAAATCTTAATGTGGTTCTCCCTGGGTGGTACTGTTAATAAAGTTTCTTTGCACTTTTCTGAAATTTTAGATTTTTTCAGTATTGCTCTTAAGTGAGAAAACCCATAATAAATGTTTGACAACGAAACACATGTTCTAAGTGGGCTTGTCCTGGCCTAGTGAGAAGTAATGCCACTGTGGAGTGCTCTGCCCGGTGATATAGCAGCCAGGGCTTGGCGTTTTCCTTCTCCACTGTGGAAGAGTGAGGGCCCCTCCATGGGGCTCTTTCTCTTTTTCTGTTCCTTTTTTGGTGGGACTGGGGTTTAAATGCAAGGTCTCATGCGTCTAGGTAGATTCTCTACAACTTGAGCCACTCCACTAGCCTTTCTTGTGTTGGTAATTTTTTAAATAGGGTCTTGCTTTCCCCTACCCCCCAACCTGGGCTGGCTTCGAACTTCAATCGTCCTGTTCTCTGTCTCCCAGGTAACTAGGATTATAGGCATGAACCACTGGTGCCTGTCCCCTCTGTGTGACTCTAATCCAACCTTACCTCTGCCTGTGCCTCCACACCGAGTAGCTCAAGGCTGACTAAAACACTGGGTTTGCTTTCCCCACAGGCCGAGCTATGTGGTTCCCACCAGCCTGTCTCACGGGATCAAGTTGGTTAACCCAATGTTTCGAGGCTATGCTCAGCAGGTAAGCCACGGCACTGCCCTGGCACACCCAGTACTTTCCCAGTAGGCTGACTGTGAGCCAAGGTCGAATGGACAAGTGAGTAGTGGCAACAGGGCCTGTTGCTAGGCAGGGCTCCTAGGTAGGTGCTCACTGCCAAAGCCCTTCACATGTGTAAGGCTTGGGGCTTCCTGGCAACTTGCTGCTGTTTAATCTCACTTCACAGATGGGAGGCTGAGGCTTAAGGGCAGTCACCTGTCCCAGCCATACAGCCAATACATAGTAGTAAGAGGGAGTCCAGGCAGCTGGCCTGCAGCCCTGTGCTCAGAGCAGCACCAAACCATAAGCAGACTTTCACTTAAAGTTAAAAAAAAATTTTTTTTGGCAGTACTGGAGTTTGAATTCAGGGCTTTGCACTTGCTAGGCAGGTGCTCTACTGCTTGAGCCACACGCCTCCAGCCCTAAAGCAAAATTTTTTGTTAAACTTTTTTAATATAAAGAATTCCTTTGAAGCCAACTGTATCTTTCTATTTTATAAAATCATGAAGGCTGGCAGAGTGGCTCAAGTGGTAGAGGATCTGACTAGCAAGCATGAGGTCCTGAGTTCAAACCACAGTACCACAAAAAATAAAACAAATTGATAAAAATCACGAGACCAAGACGAAGCAGTCAGCTATGCATGTCCCTCAGTCCCAAGCTGAACCAGTGGGTCCTGGGTCCAGGTCCCCAGGGCCTCTGACTGCCACGTGACTTCAGGGTTCCTGGCTGGACCTGCAGCCTGAGCTGGGCCTATATAGGTCACCTCTTCTGCCACTTGGATGTATGGCCCTTGGGTAGTGTGGTGGGCAGTAGTCCCAATCATACAGCCACTAGTGTGCTGCCTTCGTTCCCCTGCCCCATCAGCCAGCCTGCCACCCAATGGACACTCTGCCCATACTCTTGGTGGAGTGAGGTCCAGCACTGCCTCAGCACCCTTTTTTGGGGAGTGACGCCCTCCACAGTGATCAGTACTCACTGTTGTCCCACTATGTCAAAGGTTGTTGAGGCTCAGAGAGGTGGCACACCTCCCTAAGCTCACACAGCACACAGAGGCAGGATGAGTCAGCACAGTACACCCTTGCCCTGGACAAAGCACCCTGTTACTCTCAGCCAAGGCGGGACACCATCAAGAGGGCTTCGTGGCTGCTGATAACCCCGTCTGGGCTATAGGAGAAGCCTGTCTTTCTTTGGTTTTGGACACAGGCAGGAGCCGTGGGCCTCTTTTGGTGACCAAAGATGCTTTTGTGCTTCTACATGGGCTACAAAAGAGCACATAGCACTTTTGTAGAAGGAAGCAGCAGGAGGAGCAGTGGTTGGTGACTGAAGACCTATTCCTTAAATGACCTTTCCGTGTGCCTGGCGTGGGACATGGGTCAGCCTCCCCAGCATGACAGGCCAGTGGCCTGATCCCACCTAAGGAAGTCCATCCTGAGAGCTGGAGCATATATTGTAGCTGTTCAGAATGAGCCCTGCCAGCCTGGGGAGGCAGCTTAGTTCGCATTGTGCCCAGCTCTGCAGGAAGGTGGACACAGCTGCTAGATACTAGGTGGGAGCCAGCAGGTCTGGTGGAAAGACAGGACAGCATAAGGAACCAGAGAAAGGGCCAAGCATAGAGGTGGCCTCACTTGCTGGGTGGTCTGATTGGTGTGGACTCTGCCAGTTCTCATCTTCGGTGTCCTGCTCCTTGCCCTTTCTAGGGAGCAGGAGGCTTCTGCAGCAGGGTGTGGTGCCTCCTCTCTCCTCCCTCCCATACCATGCTGGGAGTGAGAGGCTGCATCCAGTGTCCCTCTAGCTCTACCACTGCATAGCTGTGTAACTTGGGAGGAATCCCTTAGCCTCTTAAGTGGGGGTTAGAGCAGAACTGCCCTGGAGGCTGCTATGAGAGTGAGAAGCTCACCTGAACTAGTGAGTAGCTCTGCCAGGACCTGCTGAGGCAGCCATCAGCCCCCTAGCTGAGGCAGCAGGTGTTGTGGTCCCCTTTTCCGGGTCCCTGGGAAAGCTCTGTGATGCAGCTCCTGGTTCCAGGACACTCAGGAGTTCCTGCGCTGCTTGATGGACCAGCTGCATGAGGAGCTCAAGGAGCCGGCCGTGGCAGCTGTGGCAGCATTAACAGAGGCACGGGACTCAGATTCCAGTGACACAGATGAGAAGCGGGAGGGTGACCGGAGCCCATCGGAGGATGAGTTTCTGTCCTGTGACTCGAGTAGTGACCGGGGTGAGGGTGATGGGCAGGGGCGTGGTGGGAGCAGCTCACCAGCGGAGACAGAGCTGCTAATTCCAGAAGAGGCAGGCCGTGCCATTTCTGAGAAGGAGCGCATGAAGGACCGCAAGTTCTCCTGGGGCCAGCAACGCACTAACTCAGAGCAAGTGGATGAGGACGCTGATGTGGACACCGCCATGGCTGTCCTTGACCAGCCCTCTGAGGCCCAGCCACCATCGCCACGGTCCACCAGCCCCTGCCAGACCCCAGGTATCAGTCAGCCAGGGTCTGCAGGGCTGTTAGGGGAGTCACAGTCCTGTGGGCACCTGCCTTGTGCCAAGCACCAACACGCAGCAGACCCCAGTGTGGTGGATCCTACCACTCGCTCCACCTCACAGGTTAGAGGCAGCCTGGGCCAGGCTCATGGGCTCACAAATCCCAAGCCCCATGCAAGATTCTGCCCCAGCCCCAGGCCTCAGTTGGAATGGACCCCCACGTTCCAGTATGTGGGATGGGCTCAGGACAGAGGAGACACAATGAATTCAGGCCTTTGTCCTATTGGGAGGTGCTGGCAGGTCCTGTTCCTGCTCAGGCCCTGGAGCTGGCATGGGAGACCTCTGCTCAGCTGCCCTGGCTCAATACTGTCCTCTCTCTGCCCCCAGAGCCAGACAACGATGCTCATATCCGCAGCTCCTCTCGCCCCTGCAGCCCTGTCCACCACCATGAGGGCCATGTCAAGCTGTCCAGCAGCCCTCCTCGTGCAAGCCCTGTGAGGATGGGGCCATCGTATGTGCTCAAGAAAGGTTCGAGGGCATCAGGGAGGGCCATGAGCTTGGGCTGGGCAAAGACATGTTGCCCATGTGGCCGGATTTGAACACTTGCTGCCTGGGTCCAGGCTGTGCAATACTCACCTAGCCTCTGAGTGGGGGAGCCCAAATCTATAGAGAGTGACACTGGAGTGCCAGGAGAAGGACATACCTGTTCACTTGATTCATGAAGATGTGACTCCTCCACACATTGGCCAAGGAAGCCCCACCCTGTGACTTGCACCAGCAGGCAGGGGAGGGTAGCCCAGCCCTGTGCTGTGTCTCCAGCCCAGATGCTGAGTGCTGGCGGCCGGAGACGGAAGGAGCAGCGCTACCGCAGTGTCATCTCAGACATCTTTAATGGCTCTGTCCTCAGCCTTGTGCAGTGTCTCACCTGTGACCGGGTGGGTGCCAGGAAAGGGGGAGGGCTGCTGGCAGCATCTTTGCTTGGCTAAGGCAGGGTGGGCTCTCCCTGCTGCTGCCCTGGGGAGCAGGCTCGGTCTCACCTGTCAGCTGGGACTGGGTTTGGGGTACAGATATTGCCAGAGCTGGGAACCAGACTGATCTTGAACCCCACAGGTATCCACCACAGTGGAGACATTCCAGGACCTGTCATTGCCCATCCCTGGAAAGGAAGACCTGGCCAAGCTCCACTCAGCCATCTACCAAAATGTTCCAGCCAAGCCAGGGGCCTGTGGGGACAGCTATGCCACCCAGGGCTGGCTGGCCTTCATTGTGGAGTACATCCGACGGTAAGTCCCCTTCCCTCCAGTTTAGGCTGCCAGCCAGGTGTGGCCTGGCTTCTCTGGCAGGAGACAGACTGTGAGACAGCAAGCAAACTAGTGAGCAGCATTGGTAGGGAACTGGAGGTTGCAGGGTAGTGGTGCAGGAGTTTCCTGGGGATTTGGGGTGGGGAAGTCCCTGGCCACATTGGGATAGCCCAGATTGGATGGTCCCATGAAGGCAAGTGACAACCCAGAGTTCAGGCAGCAGCCTGAAGGGAGGGCAGCTGTTGGGTGCAGGCGTGGTCCTGGCAGGAGTGGCAAGTGACTTTCTTGAGCCCTGCTGCATACCACACTGACTCTGAACCTGCCTGACACCAGGAACTGTCCGGCTGCCTAGAGGAGAGGCACCATGACTTGGCCCTCAGCAGGCGAGGAGGACAGGATTCAGGGAGCGGTGATGTGACTGGCCTCAGGACAGTGCATCTGGTCTATGCTTCTGTCCTCCCCGTGCCAGGCTGCCTGATGAGGCTTCAGCCAACCCCTGTCCCCAGCTCTTATTCTTGCCCAGGCCCTGCAGCATCTGGCACCCCTTTTATGTCTCCAGGTTTGTGGTGTCTTGCACCCCCAGCTGGTTCTGGGGGCCTGTTGTCACGCTGGAAGACTGCCTTACTGCCTTCTTTGCTGCTGATGAACTGAAGGGTGAGTGGCGGGGAAGCTGCAGGGGAGGAGCCATGTGCAGCCCCTGCCGCCATGCCTCAGTGTATGCCCAGGGCTTGTAGGCTTCCACAATCAAACTGCCACCTGCCCAGCTGGGCTTTGATGCATCTTCTTCCTAACCTGTTAACCTGTTTTTACCAAAGTGCTGGGCAGAAATGACACTCCATCTAATTTTGTATTTTTTTGGTTACTGATGAGTTTGGATATATTTTTTGGTGACTGTATTGACTGTTTTTATTTCTTTTGAAATTTCCCATTTCTTCCTCCCCCTATGGTTCTACAGGCATCTTACCAACCTTTGGGAAAACTTTTTTTCCTAATTCTCAATTGTGGTAAGATATGAGTAACACAGAATTTGCCGCCACAACCATTTTTAATGTTATTGTAACATAAAATATACAGTTCGGTAGTAAGTACACACACATTACCATGCAACCACCATCACCATCCATTTCCAGAACAGTTTCATCTTGTAAAATTAAACCTCTGTATCCATTAAGGAGCTCCCATTTCCTTTCCCCAGTCTCTGCTGGCCACCATTCTACTTTCTCTTTTTACTTCTTTGTTTTCCGATGCTGGGGATACAACCAGGGCCTTGCATAAGCTGGGCAAATGCCATACCACTGAGCTACCTCTCCAGCCCCTCCATCTACTTTCTGAGTCTATGAATTTGAGCTCTCTAGGTACTTCAAAAAAGTTGAATCATACAGTACTTGCCTTTCTGTGACAGACTTTTTTTTTTCTGTATTAGGGCTTGAACTGAGGGCCTCACACTTCCTAGGCAGGCATTCTACCACTTGAGCTTCTCCACCAGCCCTGTTTTGTGTTGTTTTTTTTTCAAGATAGGATGGAGTGGCTCAGGTTGTTGAGCACCTGCCTAGCAAGTGAGAGGGTCTGAGTTCAAACCTCAGAGCCACCATAAATAAATAAATAAATACATACATACATACATACATACATACATACATACATACGGAAAGATAGGGTCTCGTGAACTATTTGCCCAGGCTGGCTTCAAACCAAGCCCCTCCTGACCTCTGCCTCCTGTAGTGGTGACAGATGTGAGCCCTGGCGCCCAGCAATGAACTTCTTTTGTGAGCATAGCATCCTTGACGTTCACTGATGTTGCATCAGGATTTCCTTCCTTTAAATAAAGGCTGAATAGCACTCCATTCTGTGGATAGACTGTGCTTTTTGTGTCCTTTCACCCTCTGGTGCACACTGCTGCGTGCATTTTAACTGTTGTGAATACTGTGAACATGGGCGCACAGTAGCTCTTCTTTCAGCTCTTCTGCAGTTAAGCTCAGACTGGAAGTGCCAGACAGTATGGAGATTATATTTTTGACTTTTTGTTGAAGAGAGAATATAAGCAATAATAGGAAGGAGCAAGTGTTTTTGCTGGTTGAGATAAGGATAGCCAAACAGGGAGTTGACTCACATTAATTTCCTGTGCGTGTGTGTTACCTTCTAGGTTAATTCTTTTTGATCTAACCTTTTCTCTAGTTCCTGGTCCCCTTTTCCTATTGGCCTCAGTTGCTTTTAAGGTATCTGCTTTAGTTTCTCTGCGTTAAGAGCAACAAATGCTAGCTAATTTTTTAGGTGTCTTACCTATCCTCACCCCTCCCTTGTGTGCTCTCGCTTTTATCATGTGCCCAAAGTCCAATCCCCTTGTTGTGTTTGCCCTTGATCTAATGTCCGCATATGAGGGAGTACATACGATTTTTGGTCTTTTGGGCCAGGCTAACCTCATTCAGAATGATGTTCTCCTATTTTTGACTTTTTGAGGCTCTTTTTCCACAGTGGCTGCACCATTTTACATTCTCATACTAGGAAGTTCTACGGGATCCAAGTTTCTCCACACCCTCACCAATGCTGTTTTTTTCTGGGTGCTCTGTTTTCTAATTGGGCGTGAGGACCTGTCTCATTGTGGTTTTGACTTGCACTCCCTATTGGTTAGTGATGTCAAGCACCTTTTCATGTTCATTGGCCATTTTATGTCTTCTTGTCCTTTGTCTGTTTTGTAATTGGATTGTTTTATTGTTGAGTTGTAAGAGTTCTTTTTATGTTCTAGATGTTAGTCCCTTATTAGATATATGATTTGTAAATATTTTCTTCTATCCTGTTGGATTATCTTTGATTCACAGTGTTTTTTTTCTTTTCTTCCTTTTTTTTGTGCTAATGGGGTTTGAACCCAAGGCCTTGTGCTTGTTAGGCAAGCATTCTATCATGTAAGCTGCCCCCAGCCCTTTTTGCTTTAGTTTATTTTTCAGACAGAGTCTCATGCTTTTGCTCAGGCTGGCCTCAGACCTCGATCCTCCTATTTCCACCTCTTGAGTAGCTGGGATCACAGGTGTGCACCAGCACCCCTGGCCCAGGACCTTACTGTGTAGCCCAGGCTTACTTTGAATTCATGATCCTCCTGCCTCAACCTGGTCTAAGTAGCGAGATCCCATCTCCAAAAAAAAATGAAAATTTGTATGAATCCCAAGAGCTGGTGTTGTACACATGTATCACCACGCTTGGCAGAGGCTTTATATTTTGATGTGCTCCAGTTCCTGTTCCTACTTCTGTTGCCTGTGCCTTTGATGTTGTGTCCAAGAAGTTCTTTGGATCCAGTGTCTTCAAACCTCCTCCCTGTGTTCTGTCCTGAGAGCTTTATAGCTTCAGCTTTTACACGAGATCTTTGATCATTTTGAGTTTATTTTTGTAAATGATGTAAGGTAAGGCAAAACTACTTATACATTAAGGGTCTTAAATACATCTTCTGTCTTTAATGTTCTGTTTCCATTCCATCTTGCCTTTTGCCTTTTAATTTTGTTTCAGTAGTGTTCATACAGAAGTTTCAGTGTTCCTAGAGATAAATATGTCCATTTTTTCTTTCTGGATCCATCTCAGATCCAGCCAGAGCCTCCCCTCCCTTTGTCCTCTTAGTTTTTTTCCTAAGCATGAATCATATTTTGCTTTTCTCCTTCCCATTTCCTGTCCCTGCTAACCTTTGACCCTTTGTTTTTCTGCTCTAGGTGACAACATGTACAGCTGTGAGCGGTGTAAGAAGTAAGTGTGTGCGTTCTTGGGGGCTTTTCCCTAACATTCCATTTCTAACATCCTCCCATTTCCACTTTTCCCCTGGGGTCCCCCAGGGCGCCCAGTGCTGGCCTCTAACATGACTATGATGGGGAAACTGCTGACTTCTCCCTGTGGGACACAGCTGTCACTCACAAACACCTCTTCCCCAGGCTTCGGAATGGTGTGAAGTACTGCAAAGTCCTGCGGCTGCCTGAGGTGAGCAGCGCCTCAGCCCCTTGGACTCCTCCTGTGCACAGGTAGTGGGCAGTGCCTCATCATGGCCCCTCATTAGGGAGCTCCTGCACCCAGGGGGCCACAGAGATTGCCCCACTTTGAGAGCTGTCTGCACCAGGCTGGCACAGGGTGGTGTTCAGTTTGTGCCTGTGCCCTCTATCTTTGTGGCCTCAGCTCACTCATCACCTGGCAGGTTTGGTGAGAGCCCCAAGGTACCCACTTGAGGAGGACAATTGGGGCTCATCAGTAGGCATGACAGGGAGGGGATGTGCCCAGTAGGGCTGGCAGGGACAGCCTTTCTGAGGAATGATATTGAGTGGGGCCTGAGGAGTGGAGGCTGCTGTTAGCCTCATGGAAAGAGTGGAGAGGCAGAGATGGGCAAACCCTTAGGAGTGGTCTGGCAAACCTATGCAGCCTTGCAGGTAGAGAAAAGAGGAGAGGGTTGCTGAGGAAGCTGGAGCAAAGAGAAGAGGGCCCCCGAGGAAGCCAGGGTGTTGATCAGGCATGGGAGCCTCTGTGGAGAACCTCTGGGCAGCGGTGCTGACAGACTGCTTGTTGGTATTCTTGCACAGAAAACTTGGCAGGCCAGTGACAGAGTCAGCTTCTCATAGGGACCAGTCCAGCTCATGGCCAGGCCCTCCCTGGTGCCCATCCCTGTGACATAAAGAGAGCCTGCCTGGCTCCCATGTGAACTTTTCTGACTTGGGAGCCATGGGCCAATCCCATCAGCTGGCTCGGGTCTATGCATGAGGCCTTAGCTGAGAGCTCTCCTGTCTTTTCTGCCAAGATAGCCCTGGGGTGACTGCACCCACTGTCCCCACAGATCCTGTGCATCCACCTGAAGCGCTTCCGGCATGAGGTGACGTACTCCTTCAAGATCAACAGCCATGTCTCCTTCCCCCTCGAGGGTCTCGACCTGCGCCCCTTCCTGGCCAAGGAGTGCACATCTCAGATCACCACCTACGACCTTCTCTCTGTCATTTGCCACCATGGCACAGCAGGCAGTGAGTCTGCTCCCCACCCCTTGTGACCAGGCCTGTCCCTATCTCTTATGTCCCCTTGACCTGCTGCTCTCCCACCCAGGTGGCCATTACATTGCCTACTGCCAGAATGTGATCAATGGGCAATGGTACGAATTTGACGACCAGTATGTCACCGAGGTCCATGAGACAGTGGTGCAGAATGCCGAGGCCTACGTATTGTTCTACAGGTGGGCCCAGATGGCATTGGGGGCTGTGCTGCTGCTGGCCTCTGTGGAAGGCCCAGGGGTCAGGCACCCTGGTACACTATAGGGTGGCCCTGTGGTTCTGCCCACCTGGTGCCCCTGCACAGCCTGAGTCCAGGCTCATACTTATCCCTCCCCCACCCACCCCAGGAAGAGCAGTGAGGAGGCCGTGCGTGAGCGGCAGCAGGTGGTGTCCCTGGCTGCCATGCGGGAGCCCAGCTTGCTCCGGTTCTACGTGTCCCGAGAATGGCTCAATAAGTTCAACACCTTCGCAGAGCCAGGGCCTGTCACCAACCACACCTTCCTGTGCTCCCATGGAGGTGAGGCCCCCACGCACAGTAGGTAGGATGGTGGGAAGATGGCCAGGCACCAGCATTCCCTTCCTCTGCCTCCCTCCACAGGAATCCCACCCAACAAATACCACTACATCGATGACCTGGTGGTTATCCTGCCCCAGAATGTCTGGGAGCACCTCTATAACAGGTGAGGAGTTCAGGAGGCCACCACTGGCCTGGCTTGGGTGGGCTTGCAGGACAGGGCCAGGAGGAGGCCAGCAGGGCCCCTGTTCTTGCCGCCTGTCTGCTGTGGGTCTTGATGAAAAAGACACAGTGGTTTGTGGGACTCCAGTTGTCCTAATCACGGGGACATGAATGGGAAACTGGTTCCCGTGGGAACAAGGTGTTGTCTGCAGGGCCCAGCCTCTGTCCTCTGTCCTCTACACCTCAGTCTCAGGTGGTTTTGGGCAGGGCTGGTAAGATGGAGGCAGCTGCTCTAGCTAGGGGTTTCTAGGGTCACATGCACCAAGACCGAGAACAGGAGCTCTCCCTGCTCTACAAGCACAGGCCCCGGCCTCTGTCAGTGGGCAGGCTGTGTAGTTGCCAGTGGGGTCCCCAGGCCAGGGACACCTACTCTCCTACCTGCAGCCTCCCTGTGACATTTGTCCTCAGGCTCTGGTCAGAGCAGCTCTTGGCCACACAGCACCTGCCCAGGGTGAGGAGAGGAAGCAGGGCATTCAACTGCCCTTGGCCAGTGAAGCAGCTGCTCTGCTGGGCCTGTGCCAGCCCCATTTTGCTCACAGAGAGGTGGGGAAGATGGCTGTGGAAGGTGGCCATCTCTCTCTGCCCATGCCACTGCCTCCTTTCTTGCCCCTCAGGTCTGTGTTCCTTTCTCCCCACTTCTGTGCAGGTTTGGGGGTGGCCCTGCTGTGAACCATCTGTACGTGTGCTCCATCTGCCAGGTGGAGATTGAGGCACTGGCCAAGCGCAGGAGGGTTGAGATCGACACCTTCATCAAGGTGTGTGCACAGGTGGCTTGAGGAGCTGCTCCTCCAGCCTCAGCTTACAACACAGGCCTTGGGCAAAAGCCATGAGCACTGAGGCTCTGCTGGGAGAAGTGCTCTGTGGGATAGGTGAGGGCTCAGGGCAGAGGCTTCTACCAGCAAGAGGTGTTGAGTTTAGTGAGGAGCCATGTGCTCTTCCTCAGCCGTGGCTCTGTGATTTGGCCTGAGTAGTTCTTTATCATGAGGCCTGCGCTGTGCTGCCTCGGATGCCTAGCATATATCCTTTACCCACTGGACACCAGTGACAGTCAGAATTGCTTCCATACATTGCCAAGGTCCCCTAGGGAGCAGCCCCCTAATTGCGGACCCCTGGGCTTGCACGTTGACATAGAAGGGGACTGAGCCAAGTGGATGGCACAGCAGGACCCAGCCTGAGCTGGTTACACCAGGGGCTTCTGCCATGGCAGCAGCTTGAGTGTAAGGCTGATTCTTTCCTGCAGTGCTGCTCAGGACAGGTCTTTGCAGACCTCAAGTCACTTAATGTGAGGAAGCCGTTAAGGGACTCCGCTTTGTGGTCATTGAAAGGTGATGCTGTAGGGGCTAGGGTGTGGTCAGTGGTAGACTCAGCTTAGTGAAGCTCTGGCTCCATCCAGAAGGCTGTGGCAGTGTGAGTAAGTACAAACGTAGGTGGAGAGGCAGCATCCATGTGACCTCAGCTGGGTTAATGTTACTGAAAGGAGATTTCACAGCCTGGCAGCTGTCCAGTGGTGGCGGTGTTGTCTGTTTTCTTTGAACTTACTGGGAGTCCTGGATTTTCTGCCTTGGGGGCAGGACTGGGGTGGGGATCCATGTAGACTGGGGAGGAGGCTGACCTGGCCCTCTACCACGCAGCTGAACAAGGCATTCCAGGCTGAGGAGTCGCCCGGAGTCATCTACTGCATCAGCATGCAGTGGTTCCGTGAATGGGAGGCCTTCGTCAAGGGGAAGGACAACGGTGAGTGGGCACTGACACCGTGCGGAGTTCTGCTACCAGAAGGCACGAGCCTCCCAGAAGTGGTGGCACTGACAAGAGGCCTGATGCCAGATCTGGGCCTGCCTGGCAGGTCTTCTGTGCCCTCTGCAGGGGCCAAGCTGGTACTACTGCACCTAGGGCTGGTCATACCTCCCTCCTACAAGACCCTGTCCCTGGGAGTTCCATTGTCCTCCCTGATAGACGGTTTTCTAGACCCTCAGGAAAGGCTCTGATATTCCCAGGGTCCCTAGAGTCCCCAGCAAAGAGCAGCAGAGCCAGACCTTGGCCACTCTCAAGCCCACATGTGGCTCCTGGTTCAGGCTAGGGTCCTGGTGGTGTCAACAGGAACAGTGGGTGCCGGGTGCTGGACATTGGCCTCTGATTGGAGTGTGAGCACCAACCAGAACTGGGGAGGGGGCAGTGCCTGACTGCCCTCCAGCCTCACTCCTGGCTGGGGAGGGTGCTGGGGATGCCACGAGCTTCTCTCACACTGGTGGAGAGATTCAGATTTGGCTCTGGATGGGAGCCCAGCCCTGGGGCTGGCCTTGGCTTTTGTCAGCTCTGCCCTGGGCAGGCCACTTCACCAGCCCATATGTCAGTTTCTGTGTGAACAGTTGTCATCTCGCATGGTGGCTGAGGGTTACATGAGACAGTGGGTTGTATGGGAAGGAGGTTTAATTGCCACCAGAGAAGAGGGCTTTGCCCACCACCACTGACTTCCACTGCCAGCATGCTGGAGTCTCAAGTGATCCTGTGCCTAGAAATGTCCTGTGCTGGGTTGGAGCGGGGGAGCCCCTGACTTGGATTCAGGAGAGGAGCTCCTGGTGCCCCAAGTACCTCCTGTTGGACTCAGCACTGCCCCAGGGCTGGGACAGCTGCTGCGAAGCCCAGAATCTGGAAGCGCTGAGCCCAGCCCATCTGTTCCAGAGCCTCCCGGGCCCATCGATAACAGCAGAATTGTGCAGGTCAGAGGCAGTGGCCACATCCAGCTGAAGCAGGGTGAGTTTCAGGCTCTAGCCCCAGCTATCAGACTCATCCAGGCTGTTCTCAGCTCCTCTACCTGCACGTTGCTGCCCTGTCCCAATCCTTCCAGGACCCCCTTGCCATGTGTCTCAGACTTGAGCTGAGATGTCCCACCTGAGTCCAGACCCAGGGCCCAGGTGCTTGCCCTCTGCAAGGATCCTCCAGACCCTTACCTCATCCTGCCCACTCTTGGCCTAGCCTAGCCTGCCCTGCCCAGTATGTCAACCCGTGGAAGCAAGGAACAGTACAGAGATGTGCTCTCTGGAGCCCTTAGTGGATGGTGTTTACCTGGACATTCCTTCCATCTCTGTGTGACAGCTTTGCACACAAGTCTGTGATTGCCTGCCCTCCCCTCTAGGGCCTGCACCACCCAGCAAGGTGGCTTTCCTCAGGCCCAAGCAGGCCTCTTGTGCCCTACAGGGGCTGACTACGGGCAGATTTCTGAGGAGACCTGGACCTACCTGAACAACCTATACGGGGGCGGCCCAGAGATTGCCATCCGGCAGAGTGTGGCCCAGCTCCCGGATGCAGAGAGCTTACATGGAGAGCAGAAGATCGAAGCTGAGACCCGTGCCGTGTGACTTGGTGGGACAGGTTGTGAGTCTTTGTGGCCAGGCCCTTCCTCCTTTTCCGGACAGCCCCTCTCGTTCTTCTGAAGACCCGCCCTGCTGACTGCCCACTGTCCCTGCAGGCCCCCAGGGGAGCACAGACTTGCAGAGGCAGCATGGGGGGCCAGCTCGCAGTGAGCGACACTGCTGTAGGAAATACACCCTCTGCAGGCTTGTTTCCACCACCAGGACTCTGTGACATGAATTGAATCTTCATCCTAGCTGTGCCCACTCAGTCACTGTCATCCTTGTGTTCCCTAGACCTGCCCTCTTGCTAGCTCAGGCCTAGCTTTTGTCCTTGGAGCCCCTTGCCACCCTCAGTCAGGCCTACGACAGAGGGTTGGGAGTGGCTGCTGCCTCACAGGGGCCCCAAGACCCACAGAAGAAGATGACCACAGCTGGTGAGCAGAGGGGCTCCTGTCTGGCCTTGTTGGTGGCCCCCTCACCCCTGTATCTCCTGGTGTCACCAGGAGGCTCCTGGAGGCCCAGGCTGCTCTGTTTGTGGACCACAGACGCTGGACTCGCTGTGGTTGGGATGGGGAGGGTAGATTTCTGCAGTAGGGGATGTCTCAAGGCAGTGGTCCTCCCACGGCCATGTCCTGCTGAGCCTGCCCGAGGACTGCCTCACACTTAGTTTATCAGTCTGCCTCACCGATGGAAGCCGGATGGTGAAACAAAATACCTCGTGTGTCATTTGCTGCTAGCACAGCTTCCCATGGCCTAGAGCACTGCATCCTTCCCCAGCCTGCTGTCTGTGGCCCTCCAGGGAGGGGTGGGCTGCGGCCACTGCCCAAGCTCTGGGACCTACTGAGCCTAGCAAGACCAAGTCTTGTTTCTGGAGACAGGGCCCCAGGACAGAACAGCTGGGGTGAGGTGTTCCCTGCATCTGGCTCAAGGCAAAGGGCTGGAGTCAGAGGGGTCCTGGAACAAAGCCCCAAACGTCTGTGGCCTTCATTCTCAGCAGAGTGGTGTGTGTGGAAGTTCCAAAGCCTCACTCACTGCTGGGGCGTCTGGTCCCAGGTCTGCTCCTTCCTGCTGACCACCAAGAGGCCCCATGTGGGTAGAAGAACAGCTGCTGCTGGGACTTGTCACAGGGGCCATGGTCTTTTGGAAGCTGCTGTTGCAACCATTGTGACCCTGCCACAGAGCCTGCAGGCCAGTGTTGCACTTTTGGAAGTAGGATCCATTGTTGAGGTTGTAATCTGACCCCGTGTCCCTCTGTGCAGTCTGGTTTGTGTTCAGGATACCTTAATAAACACAGTGTGTCCCCCACAGCCCACACTGTTACCTCTGCCTTGGCTATAGTCCTGTTAACTGCTCTCTACCGTCATGGGGGCGGGGCCCGTAGAGCCATGGTGATTGACTGACAGGTGACCAGGCCCTGGAGGGGCTATATCCTCACGTGGCCTTCTGAGACCAGACACTGCGGAAGTGGAGACCATGCCTTTTGAAATTCTATCACCTTATCTTTCCTGGAAGCAGCCCTGGCCCCAGAGCCCGGGCAGATGTGGTTAGGGACTGAGGCCAGCATATCCCACAGGCTGGATCCCCCTCCCCTGGCATCCAACTATTGCTGTAGCATAGCCACTGAGCAGAAGCTGCCTCCCCCAAGACCCCAGCCCCAGGCATGGGGCCTTTCCACAGCCCAAGCTGGAGGCTCCCCTGGCCACCCAGGAGCTTCCCAGCAGCAAGGGTGCTGGTGCTTTTATTGTCCCTGTGGGTTCTGTTTGTTTTGGCCTGTTAGGATTGGGGTGGGGGAAGAAGAATTTGAGATTTTTATACATTGCTTTAAAGCATTTACTCGTGGACTGCCTGCCGTGGCTCAGTGAGCACAGGGACTTGGGTTCAATCCCCAGCAGCAAATAAAACCGTTTACTTGTGGCATTTAGTCACAAAGGCATTTCACAGGGGTGAACCTGGTGGCAGAGGACCGTCTCCCAGGTATGTAGCAGCACCAGTTACCTGGGCCCCACCTCAGCGTTACCTGCTGGCCTGCACTTCTCTCAGCCCTCCTTTTCTTCTCTGTTTTGAGATGGGTCTTGCAGTGTTGTCTGGCCGACCTGGAACTCCTGGGCTCAAGGAATCCTCATGCCTCAGCCTCCTGAGTAGTCTTGACACAGGTGCTGCCTGTAGTCATACTGCGTTATGTGAGCGTCTGTGTATTTCTCAGCAGGATTGTTAACCTTGCTCACCTTTGAGGGTTTCTACGTGAAATCCCATAGTCCTTATTTTGTGGCTGACTTTTCTTGTTTAACATGGAGGATGAGAATGAAAAAGGTTTTTGTATTGCGGCACTATTCACAATAGCCAAGTTATGGAAACAGCCAAGATGCCCCACCACTGACGAATGGTCAAGAAAATGTGGTATCTATACACAATGGAATTTTATGCAGCCATGAAGAAGAACGAAATGTTATCATTCGCTGGTAAATGGATGGAATTGGAGAACATAATTCTGAGTGAGGTTAGCCTGGCCCAAAAGACCAAAAATCGTATGTTCTCCCTCATATGTGGACATTAGATCAAGGGCAAACACAACAATGGGATTGGACTTTGAGCACATGATAAAAGCGAGAGCACACAGGGAGGGGTAAGGATAAGTAAGACACCTAAAAAATTAGCTAGCATTTGTTGCCCTCAACGCAGAGAAACTAAAGCAGATACCTTAAAAGCAGCTGAGGCCAATAGGAAAAGGGGATCAGGAACTAGAGAAAATGTTAGTTTAAAAAGAATTAACCTAGAAGGTAACACACACGCACAGGAAATTAATGTGAGTCAATGCCCTGTATAGCTATCCTTATCTCAACCAGCAAAAACACTTGTTCCTTCCTATTATTGTTTATACTCTCTCTACAACAAAATTAGAGATAAGGGCAAAGTAGTTTCTACTGGGTATCGAGGGGGTGGGGGAGAGCGGGAGGGGGTGGAGTGGGTGGTAAGGGAGGGGTAGGGGCAGGGGGGAGAAATGACCCAAGCCTTGTATGCACATATGAATAATTTAAAAAAAAATGTGGAAAGGTAATCCAAAAAAAAAAAAAGAAAAAGGTTTTTGGAGGCTTTGTTTATTTCAAACATTCATTTTTCTTTTTTTGGTGGCACTGGTATTTGAACTCAGGGCTTCACGCTTGCTCTTGCCACTTGAACCACTCCACTAGCCCTTTATTGTATTGGGTATTTTTAAGATAGGGTCTTGTGAACTCTTTGCCCGGGTTGGCTTTGAACCATGATCCTCCTGATCTCTGCCTTCTGAGTAGCTAGGTTTACAGGTCTGAGCCATTGCAAACTGCCCCTCCCCATATTCATTTCTTGTACTTTGGGAAGGTGAGACAGAAATAGGTAGGCACTAATTGGCCTTAAAGGGTTTCCTGTATATTTTCCTTTGAAGTTTTCAGGGCTCAGTGGGCAGGAGGTGGGAAGACCAGGCCTGGATGTTTACCCCAGCAAGACAGGAAGTGCTGGGGCCCAGGCTTCTCTGCTCCAGGGACACCCTCCTCTAGGCTGAGCCTGGTAGGCTCCAGCAGTGCCTTTTAGGGGATTGGGAAGCCACTTCTGTGGGGTTAGGGTCATCGAAGCAGCTGGCACCTGTGTGCACTGACTGCCTCGGAGGCATCCAAAGGTGCAGCTGTGCTGCTCTCTTAAATCAAGCGCCAACACACAGTACCCTGCAGGTCTTGCCCACCCAGGTTTGACCCCCGGGCTTCTGGTATCTCCTCTGCCTGTAGAGAGAAACAAGTTCACTATGGCTGTGGGGGGCAGGGCAGAGGGACCCTGCCACTCTTGACAGCCATCCAGGCACATGTGTGGCTGTGTCCAGCCCTTCCTTTGACACCAACCACCCGATGAGGAGGGCATCGGGACAGCTGGAATTGAAACAGGGTTCTGAAGGACCTGAACAGGGTGGCCTGGTGCAGTGAATGACTGTGCCCCACACATGGCCGCTGTGCTGTCCTGGGACTCTGCCCCAGCAGGATGCTGTGGGAGTGAAGAGGTCCTTCCCTGACTGACGGAGAATGAACCCTATGTTCCCCCTCCTTTAGCTCAGAGAACAGTGACACGTGGGGCCCTTTCTGTTTGCACTGCCCTTTTGTGGCCCTGAGATGTCCCCAGCTGATGTCACTAAAACCAACTGGCCAGAGACAGTGTTTAACTCAGAGCCTAACAGGCACTCGATGAAACTCAAGGTACACAGAGACTGTTGGGTGCCAGATGGCTGCCTTCACATGTCACTGTGGACCTCAGAGGAGAGGACAGCACAGCCAGAGAGGAGCAGTTTCATCTAGGCAGCGGGCAGAGCCTGGGGATGTTGTCCTTCTTGGCTAGGCCTCCCATCTTCCACCACGCAGGGCTGTGGTCTTCCCCTCGCTCAAGACGCACACCACATCCACCTCAGTCAACCTAGACTGTGACTTAGAGACTGCCTGGTGGATGTCACAATGTCAGAGTCTTTGGAACTCGGCCTGTGCTTTCAAGGCAGTGTTCTACCACCTGAGCTGCTCTACTAGCCCTTTCTGAGTTGTTGATTTTGGAGATTACCGTCTTGCTCTATGATTTGGCTATGCTGGATTTCGATCCTCCTATTTGTGCTTCCCTGCATAGCTGGGATGACAGGCACACTGTACTACACCCAGCCATTGGTTGAGATGTGGGGGGGGGGTCTCAATTTTTTGCCCAGGCTGGCCTCAAACTGTGATCCTCCCCAATTTCACCTGCTGAGTGGCCAGGATTACATGCTTCAGCTGCCATGCCCAGCTGCTTTAATTTTTAAAATGGGCATAGTGTGACTGCGCACACCTGTAATCCCAATACTTGAGAGGCTGAGCAAAAGGATTAGGAGAGGCCAACCTGGGCTACATGGCCAGAGCAGGTCTCAAAACTGTCAAAAAAAAAAAAAAAAAAGGTGGGGGAGAGGGGTGTTGGAGATGTAGCTCAGAGGTAGAGTGCTCTTGTGTGTGGGGTCTTGTAGACCCCAAGTTCTGTCCCCAGCGTTGCAAAAAGTGTGTGCGGAGGGAGAAGATGGGGCTACTTGACCCCTTTCTCCCCAACTCCATTCCTAGTCACCCATTTAGGGATGCTCCCCACGCTCTGCCTTCTGCTTCCACTAGGGGTCACCCCTGCCCCTGCCGATGCGGTACCTGGGGGCTGAGCACAGCTAGGACAGATGGGGGTGGCTGGGAGTGTCCCAACCGGCTCGTATTTCCAGACCAACCAGAGGAGCCTAACCCACAGACCTGCAGCCTCCCTGGGCTGGCTCAGGAGCTTCCGGGCATCTGGAATCCATGTTTTTAAGACCCAGAACACGAACTGTGCCACAAGCCCACACACTTCCAATCTGCATGAGGAGTGGGGCAGGTGGCCCCTCCCGGCTGTTCAGGGAAGGAGGGCTCTGAGGGGGACTGGGGAGACACCACCCAGACTGCCAGAGACTCCCCGGAGGTAACCAAGTCCAAAAAGAACGCTGCAAATGTATTTCCTTGATCAATCTTTTGCTGACAGCCTAGAAGGGAGGGTTTCAGATAGGTCAGTAACTGTCATGAGAATCCATGGTTTTTGTTGTTTATAGACAGGGTCTCACTATGTGGCCCGGGATGGTCTTGAACTTGAGATCCTCTTGCCTCTGTCTCCTGAGTTATGGGGTTACAGGCATGTGTCAGGGGCACCTTGGAAGCCAGTCCCCCAGACACTTGGGGCAGAGGCTGTGTGTGGCTTACCGATGACTTCCCCTCCCGCCCCTGAGAGCCTGCTGACACTTGGCCTGGGCAGACCTGCCCTTGCGCCTGCTGTGTGTGGCTGTTAATATTTATTTCCTGGACAACCACCCTCACACAGCCCCAGAAACCCTTAGGAAGCAGAGGTGTGGGTACAAACTCGTCACCATCTTGCCTACAAAGGCAGGAGTGATATTTTGAAAGCCGGCTAGGGAGCCAGGGTCTCTCACCACACATGGCCAGTGAGCATAGGGAACAAGGCCCCAGCCTTTTAACCTTTCCCCAAAACAGCCCATGGTGGCTGGCAGCTGCATGGAGAGTGAGTTCCGGCCAGGCCACTGAGCACCTGTAACACCCCATCACCAACACCACGGAACACGGTCCGCCTGCACCCCTCCCTCATGCAGTAAGGTCTCTGGAAGCTGGAGGCCTGCTACCTCCTAAAGTCTCCCCAGATCCCGAGCTGAAGTTCACACTCATGTCTGACGGCCTCTCTGGAGGGTAGAAAGGGGTCTCCAGCTCCCTGGGTCTCAAGCCTGTCCCTGAGCGCACGTGACTTGCCTTGGGCTTATGTGGGCAATCGTGGGAGAAGGCTGGAGGCAGCCCCTCAGCCCTGGGGCTTCTGATGACACCAGACAGCTTCTGTACCTGAGGTCATCCCTTCATACAACAAGAGTCGCGTGAGTCTACGCCAGAAGTTACATTTTATTTAACCTTCAGATGATTAACATATAGTTACAAGGTCAATATGAGCCTCGCAGTGGAAGCACTTCATTTGGTTTAATTCCATCTCCAGAGACAAATGGGCAATTCTAGGACCTTTATGGCAAGGGACCTTTTCGGCACTGTGACACCTCTGAAGTTGAGAATTAGTGCAACACACACACGTGTTTAAAGGTGCTCCATGTTGGGTTAAAACAGTTGGGATCATTACTATTAAACAGGCTTTTCGGTGTTATAAGTACAGGAGGCAGAACTAACAAGAAACATGTAATCAGAATTTCTGGAAAAATACTTGCATTAACATAACCTTTTGATGCTGCGCGAATCCTCTACCATAATGACTGATGTCACCAAAAGGCAATGAAGGCCTCGGTGCTGTGCTGATTAGACAAGCGCCAGTCTGACCCCGAGCTGAGCATGACCGACCTGGAGGGAAGGCCCATCCCGCCTCTGCGAGCCTCTTTATTTTCCTCATCTTGCAGAAGAAACGCTGTGTAAATGCACATCTCCTATTGGATTTAACAGTCATCAAGAACCGAAGTACTGCAACTTACACTCTTTCCCTATGTTGCAAGGAATGAATGTATCCTGACCCATGACCCAAAGATTGCCGAGGCTCTGAGATCAGATTGGAAAAAAATATTTAGCGTTCTTGGACAGTGGACGGTGTGGAGTGTTGAGTGGTGAAGTCCAGAGGTGCCAGCGTGGAGTGGCTGGGACACTGGGACCAACCGTGCCCTGCTTGGTCTTCACGGTCCTATTCCCTGGGCACATGGCTTCAGTCTCATGTGGCAAGGGTCCTTTGTGACTGCCACCTACTGCAGGGAACAGAAGCTGGGGCTCATGGAACAGCCCTGCAGAGGGCTCAACAGGCAGTTTTAGGTGCCCTGGCTGTGCCTCACTTCTGGCCTCATGCTCACTTGCTCTCTCGCTTGCTCATTCTTAGGCCTGCAACCACTTCTTCAACTGCTGACCACATGGTATTTCCTTGCTGAGGTTCTGCTCATAGCCTGTTGACACAGCCGCTCTAAAGGGTAGTTGTGGTCAACCCTTGTGTCCGACGGCTCATTTGCGTGAGCCATGAACAAAGACAGGCCCTTAGGACCTGTCCTTTCCATCTGGTCCCTGTGACTCCCATAAAACTCCCCTCTTCACCTCACCTCACCTCAGATTCCCATACATCAAGAACTGAGGATATGTGAGGTGGCTGCCCAGTTACTGCATGCCACATAACAGAATAAAATGCATACTTGTCACTCTTGTGGACATTGGCCATGTCTTCCTCCTGATTCTTTCTGCACTGTAGGAGGAACCCTCACAGCTCTAAGGTGTGAGCAGCCAAACTGTGTGACCTCTGGTTTCCCTCAGAGATCTGGACAGGGAAGGAAACAGTGGGACTGGCAGAACACACAGAAGCCACCTCAGAGCGGTGGCCACAGGATCACTTAAAGGACCACGAGGCCCCAGGTCTTTGGTGATGCATGTGCTATGATCCTAAAATGCTACTCTTGGGATTTGTGAGAAGCAGAGGCCTGCTTACCCTGAAATAACAAGCCAGTGCCAGGTGGACATGGGTCATAGGGTGCCAGGACCACACTTCTCAAGGATCAGGTGGTGTGAGCCGGGATGTGACCGTGGGGCTGGCCCACAAACTAAACTTCCAGTGTGGACATTCTCAGGCCACTGCAGGCAGGGCTCTGGACCAAAGTGGGAGAGAGGGTGGAGACTGTGCGCCCGGACCCTTTTGCAGAGAAAGCATGGAAGGGGTCTGTGCTGAGGAGGAGGTGTGAGTCCCCAGCCAGGAAAGGCCCCTGGGTCATCAGCAGAACAAGGACAGGAGGAAGCATTTGCTGACCACACCGAGGGACACATGGATGACGGGGGCACTCAGTCCCCACTGGCGCTCCTGGCCCTCCTTGTCCAGATTCTAGGAGTCGCCCAGGAGCCCAGGGACGACGACTTCACCAAAGGCACAGTGTGAAATGTGCAAGGACCAGCTAGGGTGAGCCATGGTGGGCTGGGGGCCAGGGAGGAGAAGGGAGAGGCGGACGCACGTCTAGCTGTCTTCGTGGTCTGCACAGGTGGGTAATGGAGCGATGGATGACCCCTTGTCAGGGGCAGAGTGAGCCACAAGTAGCATGCTATAAAGAGAAGGGGGGAGCGACAGCAGTAGGGACCAGGCTGCAGGCCAGCAGGATGGCGCCCCAGCCAGCCCAGGCAGAGGGGCGGCGCTGGAGGCCTGTGGGGACAAGCAGACCAGACCGATGGTGGCTCCTGGGAAGGCTTGCGGGGCTCTGGCCGTGGGCACCACCTTTAGGAATCTACAATACAAGAAAGAGAAGAAAAACCCTGTGTTAGAGAGAAGGGCAGCTGGAGGCGGGCATCTGCAACTGGCTGCATTTGCTCTGCCGGGAGGGGGTGTTTACAGGAATTGGTTACCAGGGCGCCCCATAAGGAACTTTCACGGTTTTCTCTCCAATCTTTAGCTAGGCCAATAACTTTCCCCATTCCACTCATTTTTTTTTTTTTTTTTTAAAGACGGTCTTGCTATATAGCCCAGTCTGAACTCAAACTTACTATGTTATCCAGGCTGGCCTTGAACTTGAAATCCTCCTGCTTCCGCCTCTCCCCACCCCACAGCTGGGATGACAGATGTGCACCACACACCCAGCATTTACTTTTGAGAGACATAAAGGTTTCTCAGAAAGATGTAAGGGACATAGGGTCCTGTTCACTCTCCCACTGAAACGCTTGGTTTCTTAGTGGGAAAGTTTAAAATCTTTGGTGAAAAGGGGAACTTTTCCTTCTGCTCACTCAGCCAAAACAGTGAAAGTTCTTTGGAGAAGGAAGAAGAAAGGGGTGGCAGACTCTCTGAGCCCAAGGGACACACAGGTAAGAACAGGGAGGACAGCACCACTTAAGGGGGGGAGGCAGAATTTTTTAAAAAGCATTGGCTATTAAATTTCCCATTACTAAAGATGAAAGAGTTAAATATTCATTACAAAGAATGATTTTCTTGGAAAGGAGAAAAATCACTTAAAATACACAACACTGAGAAAAATATCACGTTTATTAGAGAGGCAGATTCAAGGGTACAAGTAGAAAATGCCAGACAGATTCTTTTCTTTTAGGATAAGAATAGAAAGAAACAAGTCATGTGGCCAGATTCAAACAGAACTTACTCAGAACCCAAGTGCTATAATAAAGTCAAGTGTGGAGCCGCCAGCTGGGACCTAGCTCCAAAGCAAGAGTCCTGGGGCCTCCCCAGCAGTTATAAAAACAAACAGGTCATTAGCGGCAGAAGAACCAAACAAACATGTAAAAGAATGAAACGTTAAAACAACTAATTCAAGTCATCCTTTTAGTTTTTAGATTGCAGTATATACAAATATTTCTGTTTAACAGAAAGCAATTTTAAAAACAACAAAAAAAACCAAACAAACCCACTGAAGAAGTCACAATCCAGTTGACCAATCGGAGGTTACTCTAAATATTCTGGCGATTACTAAATAGCACATTGTAGACAGCACATACACACACAGGAAAAAAAGTGCCCTGACTTTATTTAAAAAAAAAAAAAATCAGCTGCTTTGAGTTGTGGGGATGAGGAAGCAGCAGGGTGGGGCGCTGCTGGGAGCTGGGACAGGCGTGTGGCCAGCGTGGGGAGGCTCCTGTGTCCCCACTGCCAAGTTCTAGGTAGATTCCACTAGCTGGACATATCTATCAACAGCTGAGAAACTGCTTTCATTTTAACAGGGAAATGGAGACAAAGTCTCCTGAGTGGAAATGGAAATTCCTGATTCTTTGGCAACTGTTCCAATGTTTTGCAACATTTCAGGGTGGGTGGTGTACTGTAAAGTATCTCTTTCTCCTGTCATCCGTGTAGCAGTGTCCCTCCCTGTCTGTTCTGAGGCTCTCACTTAATAACATAAATTTAAAACTGACCATGAATGTAGGCACCCAAACCAGGCGCCCCACCTTTGCCCTGCCTGCAAGCCAGCTGAGATATTTCCAAATCAAGTTTGCACAACTCCAAGGGCAAAGCCCGCAGTTTCACCAGGCAGGCTTTAGACGGTGCCTGCTGGGCTTGTCAGAGACTTTTTCAGGTTGCTTACTTTATCCAGTTCAGCAGGGGACAGAAAGGGCCGACTTTTGTGTCCCACATTTCCCATTCACCTGGTCACCTGCATCAAGCTGGTACCCTCCGCCTGCTCATTCAAAGGAATTCCTGGGGTCTCAGGGTGAGCAGTGTTCCTGGTGTGGGACCTACAGGGGGCTGACACACAGCCCTGTTGAGGCCCTAGAATAGGTGGCTTTATCCATACTAAACTCATTTGAATGTGTATTTAAATTAGGCTGGGGTGTAACTATAGGTTGTGGCCCCCGGGGCCCTGGGTGAAGGGTACATGGGATTTCTGTACTATCTTTACAACTTTATTCCAGGACTTGGGAGGATTGCAGGTTTGAGGTCAGCCTATCTCAAAAAGAAGAAAAAAAAAAAAGTCTTTAAAAACCACATACTCAAGTAGAGGTTACTCAATTCCATTTGGGTGATCCTTGTGACATTTTAAGTGAAACAGCAACAAGTGCCTGTAACTCCTGCCAGGTTCTGGAGCCCGAATGTACAACTGTTGCTTTTAGAATCAGCTTTGGGGCAGGCTAGTGGGTGGCTCAGTGGTGTAGCACCTTCTCAGCATGCACAGAGCTCTGGGTTCCATCCCCAGCATTGCATTAAAAAACCAAATCAGCTTTAAATTGATTTGTTTATAAAATGAGTCCACAATGAAGAGGTAAGGGCTAATTTTCCTTCTCGAAAGTAGAAAATAAGTAAATAATTTTCAAAGTCAAATAATAAAATCCACGCCCGATGTTTTCATTCCCACCCACTCCTAGCTGGCTCTCTGAGACCTCGGGGTGCACTGTCACAAAGGATTTGGGAACCACCCCATCTGTGCATGTGATCAAGTCATTCCCCATGCCCCCAGCATCAGCACCATGGCCTGTCAAAGTCAACTGCTTCTAAGTCAATCTGCCCAAACTTGGCCAGATTTTGTCTGGTCACTTGGGACCCTACAGACAGAAAAAGCTGACCCAACAAGGCCCTGACAGCAACATGAACCACACGCAAGTGAAAACGCACGCTTCGGGTGCAACAGAACCCGTTCTTTACTACTTCATCCCAGGCTGGGAAGATTTTATTTAGGATCTCCTTCCTCCCATGTGAATGACTGTAAAAACTCAACAAACCAGCACAGTTGAATTTATTAAGTTACAAAATGTAACCTCCTACTGTGTCAAGGTTGGGGAGATACTGGTCAGAAACAAGCCAACAGAAGTCTTTTGCACCCCCATGATGTGTGTGGACATTTAAATTCAGAAGTATTAATTAAAAGCTAGAATACAACTATTTTTTTTTTTTTGTTATCTACAGAGGCCACCAAAAGAAATGTTTGTCAGATCTCACATGACACAGCTGTAAATCGGCAGTTGGCACTTTCCACGTAAAATCAAGTGACAGTGGATTACAGCCAAAGCTAGACCAGCAAACTCGGGTGCGCCAGGCCCCCAAGTCCCCGGCCAGCCGCGGGCAAGTGGGCCACAGCCGGCTCTCCGCGGGCGCTCGGCAGAATGGCCTGTGTCAGTCACACTTGCGGGGAGAAACCAGTCCAAGCTTTTAAAAAGTTTTTTTAAGTGGTATTAAATATAGGTCTTAGCACCTTTGGCATTTTTGTCCAAATAGACTTCGACGTATGAAGTGGGGACGTAGCCCTCTTCGTCTTCGTTTCTCCGGATGCGGGTCCAGCCATCACCTTTGTCTTCCTCTATGACGTACAGCGTTTCTCCTTCTGCCACGGAAATGGTTCCTTCATTCTGACCTGAAAAGGCAACAGGGGACTATTTGAGGTTTCTGGGGAGTCCAGGTAGAGAGCAAACAGGGACCCTTGTGATAAAGAAGTCAAGTGAAAAGTGAGGCTGGTCCAAAGTCTGGTCCCCTTGGACCTCCTGCACGCACTGACCCCTTGCGCACCATCCCTAAGCCTCCTGCTCCCTCATGGAAATGTCTCCATTTCCCTGCAGCTACAGGTCCCCCTCCATGTTGCCCTGCCCCTAGAGAGCACCTCGGACACCCTGGACTCATCCAGCCCTCTTCCTCCTGCTCTTCCAGTCACGGGTACCTCTGCCATCCCAGGGAGGTGACACTGGGGACTGCCTTTGCCTTCCTCTCCTCTTTGTTCCCAACTTCCCATTGGCCCTGAGTCTGAGCAGTTTGTCAACTGCACCATCTCTGTGTCCACCCCTTAACTGAGGTCACCAAGACCCTTGGCTGAGATCATTTCCAAACACCAGCAACCCCTCTGCAATCAGGTTTCAGGACCCCTTAGCTGGGGTAATAGGGCAGGTGTGTGTGTGTTTTGAATGTGAAGTAAAGCTGGGAACATTGAACCTGGAACTTGTGTCCTTGTTTTGTCACAATAATATTTTGTCTGTTAAAGGCACTGAAAAGCCCTGTAGGATCTGTCATGTTCATTTATCCTGGGGCTTCCTAGACTTACTGGAGCTCTAACAACCTCTTTCACATCACCCTTAGTAACACTCCACAGGGCATTGCTTCAAGGTCATAGGTTCGGAGTACACAGCTGCCACTTCAAAGTTCTCCTGTTTTCTAACTGCTCCTTCACATCAGCCCCTGCTCAATACTTCCAGGGGTTTGCCAAATAAAACCCAAATGTTTCTTTCTTCCCTCTCCCTTCTGCCACTTTTTTTTTTTGAGGTGCAGGGATTTGAACTCAGGACCTCACCTTAAGCCACTCCACCAGCCCGTTTTTGTGAAGGGTTTTTTCGAAATGGGTTCTCGAGAACTATTTTGCCCGGGCTGGCTTTGAACTGTGATCCTCCTGATCTCTGCCTCCTGAGTAGCCAGGATTACAGGTGTGAGCCACCAGCACCCAGCCTCTGCCACTTTCTTTCACATATTCCACTGGGACACCAAAGACCCCACAAGTCCTGCTTCCACCCTTCCTATGTGGCCATGCCCCTGGCCCTGGATGCAGAGCTCTCTCTGTGCTCACTGCAGTGGGGGGGACTCACTCTCCCGGCACTGCGACACTGCCAGTGCCCTCTGCCATGGTGTGCTTGTCTGGTTTTCCTAGGTGGGGGCTTCACCCTCCACCTGCACCCACCTCACCTGCAGGCCCACCCCAGGGCTCCTTACCCAGGAACCTAGTTGATGGAACAGTCAGGATCCCACCCCACCCACAGCTCCAAGCTCTCTGAAAGTGGTTCAGTGTTACGAACCCAGTGTCAAGCAGGTGACAATAGGAATCATACTGAGAGGGGCACAAAAGATTAATGAAGATCAGGAGGGTTTCTAGAAAGTTCTGATTGTGGAGGCGGGTTACAGAGGCTGGAGTGGGCTGGCAGCAATGCTACCTTCGAACGTGTAGAGCGCCTTGCAGGTCCCTATGGCCGGAAGGGGCTCCTCGTCATCGAACTCGTCATCGAAATCTGTGGCCAGCACTTTGACCTCACTCTCCTGGCTTTGCTCCTCTGTGTAACTGCCATCTGGGCTGCTCAAGAGAGGAAGACACACAGCAACTATAGCGACTGAGCCAAGGTCACCTGGGGCCACCTGAGGGCTCAGATCACCAGCCCAGGCTGAATGCAGGAAGAATCACACTCTGTCCAGTTCCGCAATGTGGGCATTAGGAATGGATTGGAAGGGAGGCCACCCCTGTGCTGGAGGCGGTGCCACCGGATACTCTACCTCTCGCGGTCCTGGGCGCAGGTGTTGACCGTCGGGGGCGGCTGGCCGTCATACATCCCGCTCTGCCGACGCACCTGCTCATTTCGGGCGGGGAGCCTGCCTTCCACCTCAGCCAGCCAGGCCTGCAGACGAAAGCCAGGAAAGACTGGGACTGTGCCCACAGAGCGCTTGGCTGTGAGCCATAAGGCCCCCAACTTGGGGCCACCTAAACTGAGTGGGGAGGCCCGGGTGGGGACTGAGACCCTGGACCGTACAGATGTGCTCAAAGGTGGCTGCCACCTTCTCCTCCACAGCTGGAGAAGTGGCAGGAAGCTTGTGGTTACCCATTCTGCCACATGTGGCAGAAAACTCACCACCAGGTGGTACTCTTGGGCTTTAGGCAGCCCTATGATCTTGGACAAGTCACTTCTGCTTCCTTCTGGTTCCCAAGGTCACCCTAGGAAACCCGAGGCCTCTTCCTCTTCCTCTCCCTGTCATTCACGGAGCAGTGCCACAGCACACAGAGAGCGCCCCACACCTGCTTCCCGTACCTCAAATTTTTGGACCTCTAGTCGCAGCTTGTCTATGTTCTGGCTGACTTCTGTTAGCTTGTGATCCAGGCTAGCGGGGTCCCCCATCTGAGGGTTCTTTAGGTAGACGTCTTTCATTTTGGTTATGGCGTCTCTGAAAACATGAATGAGCAGAACATGAATGGTGTTTTCCCACCACTCAGAAAACCATGTGCCTGGAACAGGGAAGACAGCATCTGGGTATGGCTGCTTTATTCTAGAACTTCTCCACACAAGTTCTGTATAACCCATTACAGCTAAATGGCTATAATGTCTCCCTACTGTCGTCAGTGAATGAGAAACAGACCTTATCCCACCAGCTTCACCCCATAAAACCCAAGGGTTTCCATGTGCACATTCTTCATGTCAAGCCAAGACACGCTGCCATCTTGGGTCTCGTGGGCTGCAGGCACGTTCACCTCAGGAAGAATGTTTTAACTAAGAAATGGAATCCCCAGTTGGTGTCCATGAAGGGCCAGAAATTAAAGCTAGATTACACGCCCTTCCTGAAATCACATTTTGGAAAGGGCCTGCAGTAGGCTGAGCGCAGCATCCCTGCGGGTAGGCTCAGAACTCATCTTTGGTACCCAAGAGCTGCACTAAGTAACCCTAGCCTCAGTTGTTAACCCTAGCTTTCAGTTGTTAAAAGTTTTGAGCAAATAACTCTTTGCTGAGGGGTAAGAGACAACTATAAGCTTGGCATAGTGGTACATGCCTGTAATCCCAACACTCAGGAGGCTGAGGCAAGAAGATCGTGAGCTCGAGGCCAGCCTGAGCTACATAATTAATGAAGACCTGTCTTTTAAAAAAAATCCAAGCCGGGCACCGGTGGCTCACACCTATAATCCTAGCTACTCAGGAGGCAGAGATCAATCAGGAGGATCACGGTTTGAATCCAGCCCGGCAAACAGTTCATGAGCCCCTATCTCAAAAAAACTCATCACACACACACAAAAAGAATCCAACTTTAGCGACCACCAGCAAAAGAAAATCCAAACCAATTGAACAATATACACCAACAAATCAAAAGCTATACCTTGAGTCATGCTAACAGGCAGAGGACTGCCACACATCCACGCCGCCTTTCTACCTGCCTGCTTCTTCCTGGACCCAGCCCCTTTGCCTTGTTCTACTTCCTTGCTTTTCTCCCATGACAGGATTTACTTTGTATCATGCTTACTGCTTTCAATCTGCCACCAGAACAGTGGCTCGCAGTGTTACTTTTTTTTTTTTTTATTCATATGTGCATACAATGCTTGGGTCATTTCTTCGCAGTGTTACTTTTTTAACTTCGTATATCCCAAGTCAGCAGTCCCTGGCACACAGGATGCCAACAGATACTTGTTAAATGAGCAAGTGTCCTCATATAAATCATATGATGTCCTGCACACAGGGCCTTCTCTACTTCCTGGCCTCTGCCCCAGTGACTGCCCCACTGCTCAGCCAGTTCCCCCAAGGTTATAAGGCTTCCTTGACTTTACTTCCTCTCTTCCCTGTGTCTCTTGATCAATCTCTCCAAAAGTCTATTGACTTCTTTGACCTTTATAAGAAACAAACTTTTGGATTGTTCATCCTTTCTGTTGAATTATTGTATATTTTTCAACCTGATTTGAACTGTTCTCTCTCTCTCTTTCTCTCCCTCTCTCTTGATGGGACAGGTTTGAACTCAGGACTTCATACTTGCAAAGCCACACTCCAGTCTGTGCTTTCTTCATTATTTCCTATCTGTTTTTTGTTGTTATTGTTTTCTTTCTTCTTTTTTTTTGGTGGTACTGGGGTTTGAACTCAGAGCCTCATGCTTGCCAGGCAGGCGCTCTTACCACTTGAGCCACTCTACCAGCCCCCTCTCTCCTAGTTTTGATGAGTTTAGTTAGCTGTTCTTTTACAAACTTCTGGAGAAGCTCATTGGCTCAGGTCTCTTGGTGACATACATTGAAAGCTGCAGATTTCTTTGTCTGAGCCTGCCTTTAATGTCACCCCAGAAGCTGCTGTTCTGTGTCTACTCCACCACCAACTGTGGTTCTTCTTTGGTCTATGATTGCTTAGAGCCAGGTTTCCATTCGCAATGCCTCAAGTGACACCTGCCCTTTGGTGTTTGTTGAGATGTATTTCACGAAACCAGGGTGTGCTCAGTTCTTGGAAAAGTCTGATGTGGCCTTACACAGATGCATATCCTATTGCTGTTAGGTACATATTAGGTGAGCTTTACTAACTGTGTCATTCCAGTCCTCTGCACTGACTTTCTCTGTGTGTGGTGTGTGTGTGTGGGGTGTGTGTGTGTGATATGTGTAGTGTGTGTGTGGTGTGTGTGTGATATGTGTGGTGTGTGTGATATGTGTAGTGTGTGTGTGTGTGTGTGTGTGGTGTGTGTGATGTGTGTGTATGTGTGTGTGAGAGTTGAGACTGGTCTTGCTATATAGCCCAGGCTGACGTTGAACTTTACATCTCCTCCATTCTTTCACTTTTAACCTTTTGTAGATCGCATGCAAGTGGACTCTTCATTTTTTTTTCTTGGTCTATCGCTTAACTAATCTGTTTACATGCAACACACCAGTTCACTGTATTTTACAAACACATTTGAACAAGGCCCTGGGTTTCCTCACCAGCCACAAGAGAAGAAAACAAACCTTGGAATAAATGAATGATTCAGCTAATTCACTCAGTGATAACATATAGCTGAGTGCTTTTCCAATCAGGATCACACCCCTAATTGATGGGACAGCACTGCTGTTATTACTGTGGGAAGGGAAGGCAGGCACAAGTGAGAAGAGACAGCTCTGGCCAGGGGCGCTTGGGGTAGGGCGCCTGCCTAGCATGTTCAAGGCCCTGGGTTCGAACCCCACACTGAAGTGGGGAAAAGAACTCAGCACCCCGGGCACCCACAGTGGGAGGCTGGTACAGAATCTTCTGTGCGGTTGGTGGTGTGCATGCCATGATGCAAGATCATCCAAATACTTACTAAGAAGAGAAGACCTGAGAACCTGCAGGAAGCTGGCCTTTACCTGTGCTCACGTGCAAAGACAAGCAGATATCAATCCCAGATTTAGGAACCGGCAAGGGAGAGGGCGGGAAGCGTGGTACTGCCCTTCATCTGTGCCAACCCCCCACCTAGTCACCCCTGACAAAAGAAATAGCCAGATGTATTTTGCTCCCCAACTCCAAGGAGAACCTGTTTGTGAAAGAGAATCACTGACGTAATAAAGCAACCCAGTAGCCCATGACAAGGCGCGCGGGCGTCACCCCTCTAAATCTACCAGGGGTCTCCGGCCTTTCCACCTGAACCGAAATTTCTTAATAAGTCAGATCGATCACTCTACCTCTGGTCCATCTCCTTCTGAATCTCTTTATTTAGCTCATCGACTTTCTGTTGGAGCTTTTTCCTCCGTTGTTCAGGTGGAAGGTTGCTGAAGTCCTCAGGCGTGGAACCCTGCAGATGCAGATGTAAGTGAGAAGCCAGAAAGCCCCACGCTCCTCCTCGGAAGGCGCCCCTCAGCCAAGCCTGCAGACTCCCGCCGGGGAGGCAGATGCCTGCAGATGGCTTCCCAAAACGCACGCAGCTTGCCCATCCACCAAACCGAGATGCGAGATCACTGCATGCCGAGCACACAGGTCCCACAACCACCATGTGCTGCACGTACGCAGCCTACCTCGGCCTACAAACGTGCCGAGCGAGAGCTACAGGAAGGAGAGAGGGAGAGAAATACTCCTGACTCCAGTGAGAACCCCTGAATAACATATTTACAGACAGATTCATCCATTTCCGCCCACGGCCCCTCTGCCTGCTGCAACACTGAGGCTTTAAGGAAGTTTATGTTCCCTTAATATAAACCAGTGATAACCCCGGGATCTGCTTCACGTCTAAGCCGTTGCATTTTTCCTAGTCTGAGCACTCCTTCCTGTCTCTTCTCGCAAGGCCAAGTTTCCAGCCCTGTGAAGTGACAGATGGGCTGTTGTCTTCCTCAGGGAATGTGGGTGAATGGACATTCAAAAACTGTCATCCCTCCCTCCTCCCACTCATGCACTCCTCCCTCCACTGCCTCTGAAAGTCGGCTTGCTTCTTTTTGTCCCTGTAGGGGAGTTCAGAGAGATGCCTTCCCACACCTCAAAAATCAATCCCCAGCTAGGTGCCAGTGGCTCATGCCTGTAATCCTAGCTACTTGGGAGGCTGAGATCAGTAGGATTGTGATTTGAGGCTAGCCAGGGCAAATAGTTCTTGAAACCCCATCTCCAAAATAACCAGAGCAGCCAGCCTAGGCAAATAGTTCCTAAGACCCTATCTTGAAAACACCCAACAAAAAAGGGATGGCAGAGTGGTAGGGCACCTGCCTACCAAGTGTGAGGTCCTGAGTTCAACCCCCAGTTCCACACCTCTAAAATAAAATAAAAAATAACCAGTGCAAAATGGACTGGAGGTGTGGCTCAAGCAGCAGAGTGCCTGCTTTGCAAAGCACCAAGCCCTGAGTTCAAACCCCAGTCTCACAAAAGAAAAAAAAGACTCTCTACAGCAAGGGAAATGGGCCTCTGTTGTTTTTACTGTGTCCTAAGTGGATTTCCATATCTTGATTCCCTTTCTAGAACCACTGCTGCCTCTCCTCTGGCACAAGCCTTAGGTGGAAAAAGTTCCCAGGTTTGGGTGCTTGCTTCCTTTTTAGAAAGCAGTGGCTAAACTGGTATCGGGTGCTTTTTCTGACATGATGGCTGTTTTCAGAAAGAAAGAGAAACATAGTCAACTAACCAAGGACAAGCCAGGGAGTTTAGAGAGAGGGATTTAACATGAAAAACCTCAATTTTTTTCAAACAAGGATGAGGCTGGCTTGGAGTGGGGGAGGGGAGCGGGACTGGGGTAATTCAATTCCCAGAATCCAGCTGGATTTGCCAAGCCACTCACAAGGGGACTTGTGACCCAAGCTCCCAGGCTGATTAGGATAAAATGCTGGGCTGCTGGGGGGAGCGAGTGACTCAGCAGACAGTGCCACAAAGGCCACACAGAGACCTTTCGCTAACGTGCTCTAAGGCTCACCGGAAAGACACCCAGGTGGCTGGTGTCCCCGTGCTGTGTGGGAGCGGGAAGGGAGAAGATGTGAGTGAAAGCTAGATGAGGTCACCTTGGGCCTGCACAGAAATAAGGCCATGTGTTCTTTTGCACAGTCCATGGTGTCACAATCTTAGAAACCAGTATCATTTGCCTTTGGATCCATTCAACCCAAGCACTGAGCTTGGAAGACTATACTCTGCGCTCGTGCTCCGAGTCCTCAAAGCAGGCCAGAGTGTCTTCTAGAGTGGACATTCTAGGTTTCTTAGAGCTGGAATGCAGCAAAAACACAGGATCACCCAGGCTGCTCACAAGGCAGGAAATGTCCTCAGTAGCCAGTGTGCATTCTGTTGTTTGCTGGCCTCGTTCTCTGCTGAGTCCCGTGGAAATTTCTGCAGGGATGGCAGAGGGAAGAGGCTTACGGTCACACTGTCCAGTGCAGCCGCGTGTGGCTACTGGGCACTTAATGTGAGCTGAGTTCTTAAAATGTTTGTGGGGCAGATGTGAGACGTGCAGGTGTAGAAACGGCAGCCAAGACTCCAGAAAGGACAGTGCGGGTCAGCTATCAAAACCCAGATTGTGAAATAAAAAGCCTATCTCTAATGACAAGTAGAATCTAACTGACCACTTAGGTCTTTTCAGTAGACACCCGAGCTTCCGTGTCATGGTTTAAAAACAAATTCCTGTAACTGCTCCCCTAACATTGGACACGCAGGCCAGCAGCTCCTTGCAGACTGACTCACGGAAACTTGGGAATCATGGAAGCGCCTTAGAACGCCACTCCATTCAGTGAGCCTGTGGAGCCAGAACGCCTTTGAACAACACTCTGACCTGTGATTCATTTTGCCACAAGGGGATTTTTATTGCTGGCTGTGAGTCAGTGGAGATTTCTCTGACATCTTTGGAGTGGCCTGGTTTATTGGGTCATGACACACAGGTAGGTCTCCTTTTATACAGTAGTGGAACCTGATGCTCCTAGGCAAGCCCTCCCAAGGGACATGGCCCCATGTGAAACTGTCCCTGGACATTTTTGGTTTTGTACCTAGGCCATGTCTGTACAACACTGCATGTCTTTATTGGCTTTAAAGACATGGCATAGACTGACAGCTCAGTACCAAGCTGGTAAAATGATTTGTATTTCAAATGGAAAAAGTGCCTTAAAATGTCACCTTTCACTGTTGGTGTCCAGCCAAACAGCAGATAAAGGCTAAGAAGGAAACCCTGGCATCTAAGAAGCTCCAATTCCCACATCCATACTGCTCACCAATGGGCTCGTTTAAGCATACAGACCTTTCCTTGTCAGAGAGACCTTGATCAGCATTCTTGGGATTTTATTTATTGCTAGTCTGAGAAGTGTTTAATGAAATTTCCTTCCTTCCTCCCTTCCTTCCTTCTTCCCTTCCTTCCCACCCTCCCTCCCTCCCTCCTTCTTTCCCTCCTTCTTTCCTGGTAGTACCGGGGTTTGAACTCAGGGCCTCAAACTTGCTATGCAGGTGCTCTACCACTTGAGCCACTCCCCTCTTCCTTTCTGCTTTTCAGATAGGATCTTGTTACTTTTGTCGGGGCTGGCTCAGATTGCAATCCTCCTAACTCCTCCTCCTGATTGGCTGTGATTAACAGCATGTACCACCCTGCTCAGCTTGTTTTGTTTTTGGAGATGGGGTCTTGCTCATTTTTTGAGATAGGTTTTTGCCTGGTCTGGCCTTGGACCACATCCTCTTACCTCTACCTCCCAAGTAGCTGGGATTACAGCTATGACTCAAAATACACAATTTCTTTACCGTTGGGTCAGGTGCCAAATTCAGAGTTGGGTTGGGACAAGGCTGTATAGCCACATATGTGTACATATGTGCACACATACTAACACATGTACTTATGCACACACACTAACGCATGTGCAAGTGTCCCATGTCGTCAGCATAGTATTGTAAGGGCCACTGTTATTCCTGAATTACCGTTAACACTGTCCACTATTTCAGGACATTCTCAGCTATTGTGTATGAGAAGATTGTGCAACTTCTCCCATCACTGGACATAGTTACGGTTACGGTGGTTAGGAGTTTCCTCTGATAAATTTAACGATTAGTCTGACTACTTCTACTGCAATACAATGAGGTAGAAACAAGATGGCACACTGAAGTGAAAAAGGCTTAGGGTTTTCCACTGTCCATAAAACCATCTTGTGGGCTCCTGCATCAGCTATGCACCAGGCACACATCTATCTTTGCAGCACCTGGAAGCTTCCATGGTTTTCCCTCCTCCCCGGTTGCCTCAAACCTGAGCAATCACTGCACGGTGTCACTCTGTGTGACTCCGCCAGGTTCCCAGCCTTTTCCATCTGCTTCTATGGCTCCCAAGAGGAGCGTCTTCTAACCAGTCAAGTTCACTTTTAATTAAATGATCCAATAAGTACTCCCTGATTTTTAATATTTCTGTTTATATTTCTATAGACAGTTTATCAACATTAGTCATCCTCTTAAAGCCCCCATATTAAAGAGAACCAAGTCATGGGTTAAATGTTAATTTTCTTAGCCACCTGAAAAGATTAAGACCGTCACTATCAGATCTAAGCACCTGATAAATGCCAGCGGAAGCACCCACCAGAGAAACACAGGTGAACGGTTAATTTTGAAGCTAGTTTGCGCATGGCACAGCACCACAAAACACACACCACAAGCCTGATTAGACTCAGGACATGCATGGGTCATTGTGCTTACCAGCTTGAGAGAAAGCTTCATGTGAATATTGAAGAAGTAACGGGGAGGGAAAGAGAGAGGGAGAAAGAGAAAAAAACACATCAGAAGGGAGGAACTCCGTGGTTCCATGGCACCAACATGACACATGGATTTACCCGCCGATGTGGGGAATGACCTGCAGCAGATCTGTGCGAGCTCACAGGAAGGGCTGATTGCTTGAGGTGACTTGCTTGGCTGCCTTGGTGGCAGAGCAAAGAAGACAAAAGCATGTCACAGGAGTTTCTGTTACCACTGTGTATTGGTCACCCCAGCCTGGATGCAAATGAAAGTAAGCTTGCAACGGGTGCGGAGCAATGATGATGAAGAAAAATAATCACCTGCCTTGCTTCCCTGAGTTTCCCCCAGAATGTTTTACACAGACTGAAAATTTTTCAACACCAGTCACTTCCATTATGTATGATATTTTTATCTTAAGGAACTCTAATATGCATGAAAAAACCCTGGCAGTTTTTTGAGGGTGTGTGTTTGAAACAGGCTCACCATGTGGCCCAGGCCAGCCCTCAACTCTTCTGTTTGTTTGTTTGCTTTTTTCCCCTTTTGAAGGTGTTGGGGTTTGAACTCAGGGCTTCGTGCTTGCTAACCAGGTGCTCTATCGCCTGAGCCACTCCTCCAGCTCTTTTTGCTCTGGTTGTTTTGGAGATAGGGTCTTGCTTTTTGCCCAAGCTACCCTGGACTGTGATCTTCCTAGTTTCACTCTTCCTGCCATCACTGGGATTAGAGGAGTGTGCCATCACACCCAGCTTTTTTCCATTGAGATAAGGGTCTCATGAACTTTTTTGCCAGTGGTTGGCTGGGAACTGTTATCCTCTCGATCTTAGCCTAATACCTTTGGATGACTGGTGCACATCACTGCGCCCAACTAATTAGAGATGCGGTCTTGTGAACTATCTGCTTGGGCTGGCCTCGAACCTTGATCCTCTAGAGCTCAGCCTCCCTAGGAGCTAGGATTACAGGCATGAGCCACCAGCTCCTGGCTATGGCCTTCAACTCTTAAAACCTCCTGCCTCAGTCTCTCGAGTGCTGGGATTACAGGCGTGAAACACTCCCAGTGAACCTTGGCATTTCTTAAAAACCATTAAGACAAACTCTTAAATTGGTGAGTGAGTAACCAAGGACTGGAAGCTGCTGAGACATGACTGCAGGAGTCAGAAGGGCTCTGGCGCCAGGCTGGAGGCAGAGGGGTGCGGCTCTCTCCCGCCTGCACGCTGGAGGCCACCTCCTGGTGCGGTGAGGGCATCCTCTGAAGCTTGCTATTGAACTCAAGCCCTGTGCACAGGGTCCTTGCAGCATGTGGAAAATGATTAGGAATTGCCACTCTTGAAAGCTACCTTTAGGAAACAGGCAGCCAACTGTCTCTCTACCAAGAGGCTCCAGGCCGTGGATTACCTGGTAATTACCAAGCCACAACAGCTGCATCCTGCCGGGCCCGGGTACCAGGACGGCATAGCAATGGCTGGATTCCAAACACATTGGAAGACACCGCAGAAGTAGAACAAGAAACGTGGTTCTGCCCTGAAGGTGAGACTTGCTCTCGGGCTACACAGCAGCATTTTGAGAGTTTGGAGTGTGATATTCACTTATATGTATATATTGGGGGACAAAATACCAAAGGAAGTGCCCTTTGATTTTAAATTGGGTGGGTGGCTGGGTTAAAACTCCTTAACCAGATTAAAAAATTTTAATTCTTAACATTGACACTTCTTTGTAAGTAGGCAATAACCTTTCAAAGAAATTGTTCCTATGAGGGAAAAAAGTGATTTTAAATAGGAAGGAAACAGCAAGGTAACTTTTGAAAGCAAAGGTGTACACAGGCACATTTGTGTGCTCCAACCTAGGCAGCGGACGTGAACTCTGAGCCTCCTGCGAGCTTCAGCACAGATCGACCCATCACAAGTTGAGTTTGTCGTACAGACAGACAACATTCAAGGTGCAGGGCACCACGCTCCCCGGTACCTTCCCCACAAAGCACACCAGCAAATACAGATCGTGTCTGGCATTGTGGACTAACACTGCTAACTCAAAGAGCCACCTGGACTGTTTGTTCTCTACTCCACTGCTTCTCTTCCTTGAAATGATAAGAATTTGTTTCTTATGTGTTCCAAAACCAAATTTCTAACATCAAAACTATAGCATAGTTCACTTCAAAGAAAATGCACATCATTAGGATTAAACCTAAATCCCAATAGAAATAGGAAATACTGACCCTTCAAATTCAATTTCCTCAAGTGGATAGAGACAGGTCACTTGTAAAAAGTGCCATCATGGTGTACAAAATGCTTTTTACAATTAGAAATCAGTTTTGGGGGGTTTATTTTGTTTTTCTTTTTTCTTTTCTTTTTTTTTTTTGAGGTACCGGGGTTTGAATTCAGGGCCTCATGCTTGCTAGGCAGGTGATCTACCACCAGAGCAATACCCCCAGCCCTTTTTTTTTGCTTTAGTTATTTTTCAGGTAGAGTCTCACGTTTTTGTCCAGGGCTTGCCTTGGACTGTGGCCCTCCTACCTATGCTTCCCACATATCTGGGATCACAGATATGTACCACCAGGCCCTGCTCATTGATTGAGATGAGGTCTTGATAACTTTTTGGCCGGGCTGGCTTCGAACTGTGATCCTCCCTATCTCCACCTCCCGAGTGCGCCGGTTTTTCACCTTAAGTTGTAAGGCAGCCAATCAGATCACTGAGTATTAGAAAGCAAACCTCTGCTAGGAGAATCACCAGTGCATGGCTAGACACAGGAAGAAGCTGTCGGGTTCAGGCGACAATTAAAGAGGTTTGGGAGCCACAAGCGTCAATAACACATGAGGGACAAAGCCAGCGTGTCCATGCGTTATTGGACAGTCACAGGTACTAACCTCGAGTGCAAAGAAAGGGGACGGTGAAAATAAGTGGCTAAGCACGTATTCTGAAGTGGAATGGAGCGCTGCTCTGTTTGGTGGGGTTCACTGTTGTTCTCAGGCGCTAAGGCCTGTGGATCCACTTGTCACCAATGTGGGCGTGGAACCCTCCCACATCCCACCACCATCTGCAAAAGCGTCACTGCCTGTGACTGCGCCTTGCAGCTGTGTTTTATGGGTAGAGTTCTGCCATAAAACGCTCAGTGACATCTCAGATGGCAGTCACAATCCCTTTAAAGATTTTACCAGAACCAGAATGGAAAGGGAGGGAAAACCAAGAAACCTGGTTCACTGATGTTGTTAGGACGTGTGATGCTTTTAGGGAACTTGCTTTCTTTTTTCATGCAAGTTTTTTGGACAAAGTAGCCACCGAATTTACATATTTACAGAGTTGAACTCCCCTCCCTGCTCCCGCCCCCGAGGTCCTGTTCCCTCCACTGGGAACTTCGTTGCATGGGGTGGAAGCATTGCGGCTGCACTGAGTCCCCAGTCTTGGCGCTGTCAATGGGTTAGTGGCTGTGCCGTGACTGTATGACCTGCATCACAGGGAAACTTACAACATAGTCCCTAGCCTCAAAGGCATACGTGGGTTTCCCTATCGTCCTCTTCATGAGTTCTTTGTGAAAACAGAAAGACTGAGTCTGCCAATAACCAGCGAGAGAATAAGATAAAATAAGTACAATTAAAGTGACCGTGAGATTGAAACATCTGACACACATCTGGAATGCATTTCCAAAGTATTCTCATCAACCTGATGGTGTTTTCCATATAATTAACTCTAAAATGTGGGAGAAATATGCTTCTAGAAGGCCAGAAAAGGAAACTTTCATTTCCAACAATGAACTTACACTTGCTAGATTGCAAACTAAAGACATACTATCTCATTTCCATTTTCTTTGACTTATGCAATGATGAAAAAATAAAGGCCTGAGCTACACCAATCTTTAAAGAAGATCTCTTACAAACAATATCTCATCTTGTTTAATTATTCACAAACAAAACCAGTTATGCTAAGAAACATCTGCAGGCTCTCCTCTGATGACTGGAATCTGAACCTGAGAGCTGCAACGCAGGGTGAATTAGAAGACGGACCACAGTTACACTTGTTATTCTCCTAGGATACTTTACAACTCCATTATCTTTGGCCTGACAGTCTCAAGTTAAAAAGTAGAATGAATGAAATGATAACAATGATGAATCATTTTAGTCATGGAGCATGGGAAATACACACCTTCTGTGTTGAGACTGTGTTAAAGTCAGATCTTTTTCCCCAAATTTTATATTTAAATTTGTGGGTTTTTTTTTTTTTTATGGAAACTTCTTAGTATTTCCTTTTTCTTTGCTTCTTCCTCTCTCTCTCTTTCTCTTCCTCTTCTTCTCTTACCTTCTTCCTAGAGAAAAGAACCTCAAATCTGACCCTAAGAACAGATTGACCAAAAATGAAAGAAGCAAAAGTATTTCTCTCTTTCTTTTTAAAAAGGAATTTGCTGAGCACAGATATGAGGAGTAAGAAACAAAACTCGTTTTGCTGATTATGGTTAAAAAGTCACCAGTTCCTTCTTTCAATTTTCATTTGTTTGTAAGTATTCTATTCTTTCTAGCCATCTTCCTCTCACCTGCATTGAATACTGACATCCTTGGGTTCTGACTAAGCACTTAGAACATCAGGGACACATCCAGTGGCCCACAGACTGCATGATGCTGAGGGAAGCAGGGACCAGAGACAAACAAACACTAAACCACTGTGAATGTAACACGCTTCACCATGAGAGTTGAAGACAGATGCAGATGTACTTATTAGAAATAATACATGGATAATTGGCAAAGGCTTTGGAGTTGCAGTGATGTGTAAAACTTTACAGTTTTTAGCCCTGGTCACAGACTGGAAACTGTTTGATGCACAGTGAGTGGAATTCTAAAAGCCTGCAGAGTCGAGCCAGGTTCCTCAGCTAGTCCTAACAGTAGAGCTTGCACATCCATCATTCATTCCTTAAGCTATGCTCTGCCTTCTGACAGTGGCTCTCTTGACATCTTTAGAAAATTAATTTTCTAATTTTTAATCTGCTATTGCTGAGTAGCCTTCAAACAAGCTCATTTCCCCAACTGAAGTCTTTGTATAAAACTTGTTATCCTCATGACTGCACAGAAGGAAATGTTGATTTAGACTCATTAATAGGTAACAAGCCAGTTATCAATTGTGTGTGTGTGTGTGTGTGTATTTGCAACCTTTTTTGCCTAGAATACTTTTTGTAGACGCAAAGGAACGTGATTGGGAGGTTAGCAGTTACTGCTACCATTCTCCTCGTGTAACTGATTCTGAATCTGAGGCCACCCTCATCTAGTTGGTTATGGTTCACACTCTCTTCTTGGAAAAACAGCACTTAGTTTACAACTAACATGTGGCTTCTTTTTCAAGAAGTGGCCCAAGTACCAGTTGCCTGCGGATCCCCAGAGAAGGGATCCAGTTCCAATTTTTCTATAAGCCAAACTGGTATCACGGTCGATTCCTTCAGACTTGACCAAGTGACTTAGGCACTTGGAAGGCTTAAAAACAGTCACAGAGGGAAGGGGAGAGTAATGACCAATCATTGTATGCACATATGAATAAAGGAAATTAAAAAAAAAAAACCTGGAGGTCATGGACTCTCAAATTCCATGACAGACTCTCTGGCTTTAAATCCTGGCTCCACATTTTCCTATTTTATGCCTCAATTTCCTTAATATGAAAATATTGGTACACAGGCTTCACAGGGGGTCTGAAAAGAAGCAAGTGAGAATTCAGAACAGAATCTAACAAAACAAGGCCTTGATAAGTGGCAGGGTTATTGCTGTCACATCCTTTAAAGAGAATTATAGGTCGTGTGTCCCTTACAGGAAATGCCTGGGACCAGAAGTATTTTGGACTTCTGGTTTTGGAATATTTGCATATACTTAATGAGATATTTGGGGGAGGGGACCCAAGTTTAACCATGAAATTCACTTATGGTCCATTTACACTGTATACACATATAGGCTGAAGGTGATTTTCTGTAATGTTTTCAGTGTACTTGTGGTTGTTTTGGGTGCTGGGGATGGAACCCAGGCCTCGGGCATGTTAGGTCAGTGCTCACCACTGAGCCGTCCTCCCAGGCCGCCATGGATGGGTGCTGATTACAATCTATCAGATGTGGGGAGGTGTGGAATTTTCCATCTGTGTGTCCTGTCAGTGCTCAAAATGTTTTGGATTTTGGAGCATTTGCGTTTCTGATTTTTGGACAGCCTGTGCTGTGTTAAGTGGTGTGTTGTCACCATGTCGTGATTTCACTAAAATAACTTAAGGCACTTCCCTTTCAAGCTCAGGGAGGAGCACTACGTTAATTACGCTCTGTTTCCATGATTACTAAGCAAGCATTTTCTGGTTCTAAGGTTACTTCCAATTCCTCATCTCACATGTCGTTAGTTTTAGAAACCGAATCTGAGTTTCCTTTTTTTGGCGAAACCAAGGTGAAAAACTAATGACTTGAGGTGCTTGAAAGGGGAAGTGAGGAAAAGTCCTAAAACATATCAAAGACAAAAACAACCTCCGGGCTGGCTGGTGTTCTTTTTCCTTCTGTCCATCCATCCATCCTTCATCTTCCCTCTTTCTCTTCTTTCTAGCTATACTGAATCCTAGGTTCCTTTTCTTTTTTTTTTTAATGTTATGGGAAAACACAATGGATTCATTCACAAACAAAATCAGTTATGCAGCACGAACCATGCAACAGTGCACGAGAGACAGGATTCCGGAGCAGAACTTACCCCACGCTTTAGGCTCCTGAAGCAGTGGATTTTGGGTTTGGAGGTCATGAACTCGTTGAAGCGATGGGAGAGGGGTTCCTTTTGCTGCTTGGGAGACTGGGGGCCGTTGGGAACAGTAGAGGGTGAGGCAGAGGCAGGGGGAGGAGGGGGAGGCTGATGGGGGGATGTTAAAAGGGACATAAGCTATGTGTAAGAGATGGAGCAGTGACAGCAAAATCAGAAACAAGAAGACACAAAACAAAAATAAGCATCAAACAATATTTGAAATCCAAAGCAAGTAAAAACACAAACCATTAAATATTTAGGCCATGGTCCAAAAGAAAGTATGTGAACAGGTGAAATGAGAAGGGGACAAGAGGGAGAGGGTTAGTAAGTAAGGCGACAGAGGAGCGAGAAGTGTGTGACACGCAGCTCATGCAGATGGTCCATGCAAGACGCAGCTCTTGGTAGTTATTCTATGACCAGTTTAAGCCGGAAGGGTAAAAATACTTCTCCACCACCTAAACTAACAGCGCTTGATAGGAGAAAAGGAAAGACCTTCGATGCCAAGGGTGTGAAAACAGTGAGACAGTATTTGGAATGAAGCATTCAGTCATTCTAAGGTTAAAGCAGTAATGTCGCCTTGATCCTATTTTGTGTCGTCAGGTTAACACAGCATGCTATGAAAGGAAAATGGAAAAGGTTCGTGGATACACGTGTTAACATGAGGTCAGAACCACGCCATTCACCCATGATCACAAGGTCAATTAGACGTGCTGACAATGGTTATGGAAGTGTCACGCTGTACCCCTCTCCCAACTGAGCTACCCAGTCTAGAAGGACCGGGGTGACAGGGAAGAAAGGGCAGCAAGGTCAGTAATCTGTTAGTGTGGTGACACAGTAGGAGGGAGAATGTAATTGAACAAGACAGAGGGCCATGGCGAGGGCACCACCACCATAAAAAATGCTGTTTAAGATAAAATAGCACGCTAGTTTGTTTTGTTTTGTTTTTCTCCCTACAGAAACTATGGGTTTATGATCTTAGTTTTAAAAAGACTAAAGACCAGATCAAAATGTCTGCACTTTATCAAACTCATTTTGCACTGGGTCCAAACCATCAGTACCTTATTTTTTTTGATGAACGGCCATAGCTTTCCTTTGGACTTGCCACCGAATTTGAGCTCAGGTTTGCCGTCTCCTCTGGAGTTTGAAAGGCTGTTTTCTGACACGGTACGCTTCATTGGCTGGGTGTAATCCTCAAATTCAATGTCGCCTGGGGGTTCAAATCCTGACTTATAAGCTTCTATCACCAGCTGTGAATCCTGAAATCAAACCCACAGACACACAGATACATCAGGGAATACAGAATCTCATACAGATGATATTCTAGAAAAATTAGACTGATAACAGACTTTTGGCTAGCCACAGATTCATCACTAGAAAGAGTAATTAATTCCTAAAGCTCTATCTGTATCTGAGAGTTAAAGATACTTTCAAGGAAAATTTTTCCACATTTAGAGAAAGAAGTGTTAGTCAAAAACTAAATGTTAAAAACAGAGAAATTGCCAGGTGCTAGTGGCTCACGCCTGTAATCCTGGCTACTTGGGAGGCAGAGCTCAGGAGGATCCCTGTTCTCAAGACCCTATCTTGAAAAAACCCATCACAAAAAAGGACTGGTGGAGTGACTCAAGGTGTAGGTCCTGAGTTCAAACCTCAGTATCGCAAACAAAACAAAACAAAAAACCCCAGAGAACACAATAGACCTGATCACAGAATTCCCTAGAAAAAAGTTATAACACAAATACCTGGCTCCTATTAGAAGGGTTTTTTGTCTTTTTTGGTGGGACTAGGGTTTGAACTCAGAAGCTCACACTTGCAAAGCAGGTGCCCTATCACCTCTAGTACATTTTGCTCTGCTTTTTTGGAGATGGGGGTCTCACAAACTACTTTCCCAGGCTGGCCTTGGAGCAAGATCCTCTCGATCTTAGCCTCCTGAGCAGTTAAAGTTACAGGTGTGAGCCACTGGCACCAGCCGTCAGAAGTTCTTAAAGCAATCAGCATGCATGAAGTCAGAGCAAAAGGCAACAGCTCTCTAATGCTGTGCAGCCTGTGGTTCAAAGAAGTTACTGTACAGCTTAATTTCCTTCATGGATCTATTTGTTCATGGTCTCTCTTCCGTTTCTTTCTACTGTACTCTGAGGACATGGGTGGTGCTGGGGATGATGGCCATGGTTGCTGGCTGGTCAATGAGCCAGTGTAGGCTCTACGGCAGGCAGTCTGTAGGAACTTGGGAGTCCACACCTTCTCCCGGAGCCCAGAGGCAAGTGGTAGAAACAAATGCATAAGGAACTCACAGCCACCATGGCTGTGGTGTTGTATATACATAGGCAAACGGACCGACAGACAGACAGCTACCGCATGTGACTTTTAATAGCAGTCTAAGCCCTATTTTCAAATACTCCTGGGAAAGACAGCTTCGACAACTCCAGACTCTCAAGACAAGATGGCATTTTCATTAGCCAGAGTTAGTGTCGTCAGTGCTTGACTTGAAGCTGGCCACAGACTCCCCAACGGTCTTCCAACAGGAACAAAAACAGGCCAGAGGGTAACAGGCTTCACTGCCCAGCCTTTTCTACACCTCCAAATGTCACTTTAAAGCCATGACCATGGGCCATTCTCCATATTCTGCTCTCTGGAAGGTAGATGTGATGGATGGAGCTCCAGGTGCCACACTGGACCTGAATTTGGAGGTCACATCATGGTAAGCAGGGTAATTCTCTTATTACATTTACATAGTCACTCAATCACTGTCAAGTCTTGCTGAAATGGAACTTCCTGCTAAGACTTCCCCACCCCACGCAGGCACTTCCTGTCACCCTCCCCTTTATCTTTTCCAAATGCTCAATGCCTTTCCAACTCTAAATCACATTCTTGCTTGTTCTATCATCACCCGTCTCCTGCATCAGAGCAGGGTGAGTGAGAGATTCACGGATGTGCTAGAAACGGTGCTTATTCTAGAAAGAAACTGAACCAGATTTGGGGTTAAAGTGCATAGGCCTGAGCACCGGATACCACATTCACCATGTCACCTGGGCTACACCGTGACTGTGACCACTCTCCTGGTTGGGTCGTGGTGAGGAGAAAAGACCTGGAAAGAGGCAGATGTTCAGTAAACACTCAGAGAAACATTTTACAAAACTACTGTCTCCTTGGCTCAAAATGAAATTTACAAAAAGGACACAAACAACAGCAATTAAACAGGAACAGGCAGAAATCAAGAGGATGGATGAATGAAAAGGAAAATAAAAACACCCAAGATCATGGCTCAATATGACTGGCTCCGTGAAGAATGGAATCTGAAGAAGCAGATGGACTTGGAAAACACCTCTAAAACAGAAGAGTGTTCTCGAAGATGCAGGGGATGTGAAAGGGGAGGGTTAAGAAAGATAAAGGGTTAAGAAAGATAAAGCCTTTATGTTCTCAAAGAAGAAGCAAAAAAAAAAAAAAAAACTCGCAAAAAAATTTTTGACACAAGAGAGCCATGTGGACATCTGGAGAGAGTGAGACAGAGGCCTGCCTGGGCTTTCAAGGAATCACCTTGAAGGTCATGGGAGCCAGAGCACTGGGGAGAATGGAGGACAGGTGATGTCACAGAGATGAGGGGCGCCAGGGCGAACTTGGGCTTTGCAGCCGGGTGACTTGGGCTTTTCTTCTGTGTGCAATGACATCCTGGCTGGATCTGAGCACAGGCAGGACACAAGCTGACTTGTGTTATTTTGAGTTTTGGTGCTGGGGCTGGAACCCAGGGTATGTGCAAGCTCGGTGTGAGCTCTACCACTGAGATGCACCCCGCTGCTGGCTCACTTTTAAAAGACCTCTCTGACCCTGGGGTCTCTGTGTGTTCAGGGCATTCTGAGAGGGACAGTGGGGAGTCTGGTTAGACAGCACAAGAGTGGTCCTTCTCCTTTTGCATAACGATGGTGCCTTGGAACAGGGCAGGGGCTGCAGAGGTGGTGGGAGCTGGCTGGGCTCCGAATGCAACAGAATAGGTGATAAATTGATAGGGTGTGAGAAAAAGGGAGCCATCAGGGCAACTGCAAGGTGTGCACTGGAAGGACAGAACACCATGGAGGAGGCTCTGAGGACTAGGGGAGGGGCGGATGGGTGAGGAAGGCCAGGCTCCGTTTTGGGTGTGTTAACGTTTAAGTTATTTACCAGTCCCCAGAGGAGAAGCCACTGGCAGGTGAGCAGGTGAACCTGCAGTGCGGGGTGGAGGTCCAGGCAGCAAATGCACAATTTATACTCAGTACTGAGACAGGAGTTTACGCTCCAAGAGTCTAGGGATCACTTAAAGGAGTGAATGTGGGGAGCAGAGAGGTCCAAGTCTCCATCGTGGAGGGCCCTGCAGTGAAGTGGCAGGAAGAAGCTCCCAGGAAGCCCCAAGTGGGAGCTTCCTGGGAGCCCCGGGAAGGAGGGGCAGGGAGGGGGTGCCATCTGTTCACATAAGATGAAAGATTGAGCAACATGAAGATGAGAGAACTCTGCAACACAGTGGCAAATGAGGCTTCCATAACAGGAGGAAAATCCTACAAATCTAGATGGCTCCCAATTTCCCAGATAAAACTGACAAAAGGAACAGTGCTGGGGCACACTCTGGGCAACCTTAAAGTTTTAAGGAAAAAGAGTTTCCCTCCTCCTGGAAAATTAAAATCAGGCTGTCTTAGATTTTAATCAGTGCCAGAAGTCCATGAAGCCGAGTCACGACTCACAGGGTGAATTTCCTTCTGAAGGCATAATTTACAAACCCCACCATCACACTTCCCCTCAACACAATTTATTGGTGCCTATTAAACTGTTAAACAGGGGGATCAGAGGAAGTCCCACTGACATGAATTTTTTTCTAAGCTGCTTAAAACAGATACAGAGCCTAGCATGGTGACTCACGCCTGTAATCCTAGCTACTTGGAAAACAAAGATGGAGAGGCCAGTGACATTCACAAGACCCCATATCGATAGCTGGATGACATGCACCTGCCATCCCAGCTATGTGGGAAACAAAAACAGGAGGATCGCAGTCCAGGCCAGCCTGGGCATAAAAGGAGACCCGATTTGAAAAACAAGGAAGGCAGAAAGGGCACAGATAGTTGAGCACATGCCTAGCAAGCACAAGGCCCTGACTTTAAACCCCAGTGCTGCCCTGCACCCCCTTCCCCCCCAAAAAAAGTGAAAAAGCAATCCAAACAGGTGACACTGGTCATTGATCAGGTTTTTAGTCAAGGACAGTTTTGCCTCTTGGAGGACATTTGGCAATGCCTGGAGATGCTTTCTCTGTTTTGCAGTATCAGGGCTTGAACTCAGGGCCTCATGCTTTCTTAGGTAGGCATTCACTTAAAACACTTCACCAGCCTTTTTTTTGTGATGGGTTTTTTTGAGATGGGGTCTCGCAGAACTATTGCTCAGGGCTAGCTTTGACCCGTGATCCTTCTGATCTCTGCCTCCTGAGTAGCTAGGATTACAGGGGTGAGCCACCAGTGCCTGGCTATGGAGATCTTCTCAACTGGGGGATGAGATAGTGTCCAGTGACACACATCCTACACGGTGCAGGACAGCCCCACAGTAAACCATCTAAACCAAAAGAAACCGTGCCTTGGAGGAAACAAAGGCTTTGCTTTTTCCAGAAGTCAATCAGGACTCAAGTCAGGGAGTTAGCTCACCAACTGACAAAAAAACACATCCATTTAATTCTGTAACATCTCAGACAATTTAATGTGTAAATGTGTATTCCACAAAAGGAATTAGGAATTGGCTCATGTTTGTACTCCCAGATATTTGCGAGGTGGTGAGAGGGAGAATGGTGGCTCAAGGCCAGCCAGGCAAAAAGTTTGAGATCCCATTTAACCAACAAGTGGGGTATAGTAATGCACACTTTTAATCCCAGCTACACTGAAGGCATACATAGGAGGATCATGGTCTAAGGCTAGTTGGCCTGGCAGAACTGTGAGACACCTTCTGAAAAATAACTAAAGCAAGAAAGAGCTGAGGGCATGGCTCAAGCGGTAGAACGCCTGCCTAGGAAGCATGAGGTCCTCAGTTCAAACCCTAGTACTGTCAAGAAAAGAATTAGAGTTACATGGAACTAGATCTAAAACGCCGAGAGCTTCATAAAGGAGTTCTCAGTGGTGTCACTGCTACGGAAAAGTTCAGAGATCACGGAAAATACCCTCAGCATGGGGTGACTGAAGGAGGCTACCCTGCAAGGGGTGGAAGAGTGCACCCCAAACACCGCCCCGTGAACGAAGCCACGCCCAGCACTCACGCTTTTCTGATCGATGGATTCGGCGGCCTTCACTATGCCGTCCAGGCACTTGCCCACGATGGGGATCACCTGCCGGTCCACCTCAGCGTACGTCCTCATGGACTCTCCCAGACGCAGGACCCTCCTCTCCTCCATCTCCTGGATTTTCTGCAAAGTCCATGCACAAAGAATATGGCTGCCTCCCACTCAAGGAAGGTGTTCGCTGGCGACACTGTGGCCTCTGCCGAGTTCTCTAGGAGGGAAAGGTCCAGCCAGAGCCACCACGGGCTGATTGTACCTTGTACCACTGGACTAACCTGCTGCATCCACACTTTACCTACTGTGAATATGACTTCAGGATCATATTCTGTGCTCTCGCGTCTCAGAAGCTGCTGCTCAAACGCGTCCTCGCCTGGGCTCCAGCCCAATTTCAGTGAGACCCCATCCCTGTCACTTCATCACCCACACATTCAGGACTCACTTTAGACGTTTCCGCCACCACAATCTGCTGCTGTCCCTAAAGCATTTTGCAACTGTCTCAGTGCAATGCAGGTGGAGATAAACAGACTGACTCCAAAAGCAAAGTGATTGTTGGTTTGGTTTTTCTTTCCTACAACTGAATTTCAAGTCACAACTCCAGATGGGAGAACATGTGTGTGTCTTCTCTCACAAGGAAGGACATCCCTTCCTTCCTCCCTCCCTCCTTCCTTTCTTCCTTCCCCTTTTTCCTCCCTTCTTCCCTCCCTCCCTCCCTTTGGGGATGGAAGCCAGGGCCTCATGCATGCTAGGCAAGCACTCCACTGCTGAGCTGCACCCCAGCCCCCCCATACCATTTTGACAATTTAAAGTGGCCAAAAGAAAACAATCCAAAGGACAGAACTGTCAATTGGTTCAACTCCACAGCTGTATGAATGCTGCTTTGTCTACTAAGGTTAGGTTGGCATTTTTTTGTAGCTACAATGTCCTTGTAAGAAGGGGAGCAGCAATCCAAGAGTAACAGTTGTAAGACTGGATCACACATGCACACACTGCAAGCACAAGCCAAGGAAGTCCGAAAGGCCATCGAGACGGACATTGTATTTCCTTCTTATTGCTCGTCAGTGCTTGACCCAGACACCTTAAACACTGCTGTGGAAGTCTGGCACTGCTCACTTAGAAACCAGGCCTGGCCACATGGTCCAGAAGCAGTGTGGTTCTTCGCAAAGCAAAGCTGCAGTGCGGAGACCCAGGCGGCTTACCTGGAAGATGCCGGGGATGTGTGTGTGGTAGTACTCATGCTGTTCCTGGTTGAACTTCTGCAGGGTGTTGGAATAGTCTGCCTTGCTGTCCTCTGCCATCTGGTGACGGATCTGGGCTTGCTGCCGGGCCTAGGGCAAAAGCGAGAACCTCCTGTTTACACGTGACAGTGACAGAGAAAGGCCTAGAACCCACGCTGGGGCTGGATCACCTCACCTGCACTGCACTTAGCAGCATTTTTTTCAAAAGTCCGTCTTGAATTTGAGTTCACTTCAGGTAAGGAATGTGTGCTTGCCGCAAGCTCACAGCTCTGTGTCTTAACGTGGCTTATACTTTCTACTTTGGTAAGTGACTGTGGCCAGTTACAAATTCATGCTGCCTGCATGGCTGCTGTGGGAACCTCGCCTCATATATTTATATACACACAGTAATTTGTATATATGCTTGTATTTTGTAGGAGGGGAGGGAGAATCTATACATTTTATTTTATTCTATTTTTTTTTTTTTGGTGAGACTGGCGTTTGAACTCAGGGCTTTGGACTGGCAAAGCTGGTGCTCTACTGCTTGAGCCACACCTCTAGTCCATTTTGCTCTGGTTATTTTGGAGATGGGGAGCTTGCAAACTAGTGGCCCATGCTGGCCTCAAACCTCAAGCCTCCCAATCGCAGCCTCCCATGGGCACGAGCTGCTGGTGCCTAGTTACTTCACACATTTTAAAATTCAGTTCCTAGTGAGGTTGCATATGAATGCTTGCTCAGAGTGGCCCTTCCTAAAACCCTGCACTGTATTTATTTTTAGTGTATATTTTAAAGAAGCAATACGCATGGTACATTTTTTGTGCTTTTTAATGTTTTTTTGGGGGGTGCTAGTTTGTGTTTTACTGTATTGCTTTTCTCCTAAAAAATCAATTACAAGACTTATAAATTTGAGGCAGGCATAGTGTCATGTGCCTGTGCCTCCAGCTACTTGGGAGGTTGATCACTTCAGCCATCAGTTCAAGGCCAGTCTGGGTAATACAGTGGGATCCCGTCTCAAAAAAAATTATAAATTTGTTTCTCTCTTCTAATTCATATTTTGGTTAATCACATACCTTAAAAATGGAAGCAAGTTTTGCCAAGCTGCAGAATCAATCTGGGGGTGGGGTGCTGGGGATGGGACCCATGACCTTGAGCAGGTAAGTTCTACTCCAGGCCCAGGACAGAGTTCAAAGCTCAAAGGAGACCGTCTCTGTACTCTAGAGATTGTTGCACTATTAATCCACCTTAGCACATATGAATAATAATAAAAAAAAATCCACCTTAGACACACGTTGCCCTTTAGAGGTCACGTGGAACCATCATCTATGACGCTAACACAAGCTGAGGTCCACACAGCATCAAAACCACCCCCTGCCACACAAAGACACGGCCATGTCCCTGGGTGACTCGGCAAGCTCACGACCCCAAGCCAAAACACAACAGGAATAGGGCTATGTTCCAGCAAACCACACAGCTTCTTATTTGTTCACCTGTTCTCCTGCACCAGTGTTTCAGAAAAATGAAGACCTTAGAGTGGAAGCCAGCGAGAACGCACAGAGGGAGGACAGAAGAAATGCTGAGGTCATTGTCCCCCTTCCTTGTCGTGTGGGTTTTTATCATCTCCACATTCTTCACTGGTTTCCGGCCGTGGACCTGAGGGTTTAACCTGATTCTCGCTTCCGCCACTCATTTTGGGCTATGCATGTTGGGGAAAGTCAAGGTGGTGGCTCAGAGTTGCTTCCTGTATTTTCTTCCCTGTTCCAGCATTAGCACTTCCCAGTGAAGGTACCAGTATCAATAATCCCAAACACATCCTTATTGCCGGAGGGTTTTTGGTTTCTTAAGGCCCCTAGATAGCTCGGTGCCATTTCATCCACTTCTCACATAACTGTGGTTTATTTTACCTGCCACGCTCTTCCTCTTTGCTGCTGGCCGGTTAACTCCCTTCCTGACCATATGTTCTGGCTTCTGCTTCCCACTGTGCCCACTAGTACATATATGAACTGAGTCCCCGAAATGTTAATCCCCAGCTACCCTCAAAATTCCGCCAGTCTCCAGTACCCTCCTGTTAGAATAACAGCTTTCCCTCCTGCGAGCAATCCATCTGTTCCTCCAATGTGGCCAGGACAAAAACCCCTTTAACTCTTTCAAGTACCTTTGGTTTCGTTGTTCATCATTTTGCTATGATTATTTAACATAAAAAACCAAGGAAATTCCCACCTAGACCTCAAATTTCTAAAACATTCTGTTTCATTTCCACACCGCCCTCAGGAAGGCTCACAAAAGTCCACGGGGGAGGGGGGACCGCCTCATCTCTCATGTAAATAACAGAAAGAACATGAGGGTTTCCATATTTATTTTGGAGAAATGACTCTCCCTCAGGGAACTTTTTTCTTTTTTCTTAGCATGTGTTAATTGCACCTGATGGTTCCATACTGCACTTTAAAAAATAGCTTCAGTACTGAACCAGAGGTTAAAGCTCCACCGTGCTTAATACATGTACACACTGAGGAACCCCCACGTGTGCAAACACGTGCACACACAGGCACTTCCTGACATGAATCTACTCATGGCATCCGTGGAGTATTTTACTCCTGAGAGCTGAACGGAGCTCTTCCGGCACCACTCGGAGGCCACGAGGCTGTGATCCTTCTCTCGCCGGCTCCCGGAATTCCTAATAATGGCTTAGCTTGACTCTGTAACTGCCTTTGGCAGTTTATTAACTGGTGATAACTTCAGGATATGCTTTGCCCAGTTCCACAGAGCAATCCTGAAAACAACTCAGGACGGCAAGATGTGAGCTGTAGAAGCAGTCAGGTAAGGAAGGCCATGCCAGCGTGATCCAGCCTGGGCCGCTGGCCGAGTAAAGAAAAGAAACCGGACAACGCACGTGCGGTGGACAGGTCTACCTTCCACGTTAGCCCTCTGGGAGTTTCTTCTCGAATGCAAATGCCTGGACATAAGGTGGCAAAGTCTATGTATTTCTCCGGGCTGGCTTCTCCCTCTCACCCGGAGGCCAAGGAAGCACTCAAGGAAGCAAAACACCGAGTGGCACATTCTGCAGAGCGGGCAGGAAGTCAGGACTGTCTTTTTCTCAGTCCAGCACGCAGCTGCTTTGAATTAGTACCCACGTCTGCAGCTCAGGCCTAGGAACGTGCTGTGGTTCTGCCCGGTTTCCCTAAGGAAAAGCCACTTTTGTTTAGTAAGCTGTTAAGTTTACCATGGAGTTTAAGATCTTTTTCTGAAAGGAGTGCTCAGTTAGTAACTCATGACTGCAAATATATTTTAAAAAAATATCTCTATGAGTCTTTTCAAAAACTTATCTGGAGTAGCTATGAGGTAACTGTGTTTAGAGCATGTCTCCTGATATCTGAGACTAATGAAGATTTTAAGCATCACCAGTTCTCCTCTCCTTGTAAGTTGGTCTAAAAATAGCGTCTGTTATCTCAAAGAGGTCCAGCATTTCCACTTCCAGGAGAGGAGAGGCTGCATCTTATGGCAGCTCGCTGCAGGGCACAAAGACATCCAGAGGATTGGATGTTGTGTTTTTTTAAAAAATGAGTCAATCTGAGAATTTACAGGTAACAGTCTAAAAAAATCCAAAAGGCCCACAGTTGACTGAAGCCATACGTCACAGATGTCTTTGAATAAGATTTAGATCAGTGTCGTTGTTGGTCAGAACTTACAGTTGGGAATTTCTTTGAGAACCCCCCAGGAATCTCCCCAAACACACCCAAAAGGCCAAGTCTGCTGGGTGCTTCTGTCCAGTCCCTGCCGCCATCCTTAGGGAAGCAAAGCTGTTCTGCAGAAAAGGCCAGAGGTGCCACCTTTGCCACAGATACTGAAGCCCAGCCTGGTGTGTTCAGAGACTCACCAGTTCAAAGACAGAAATACTGTGATCCATGGAGTTAGTGCATTTTAGCAACAATAAGTAGCTACTTCCTGTCTAGCTCAAAATGACTTTTTCCCTAAGTATTTCAAAAGATGAGAAGAGACTAACAGCACTGGTGAGTGGTCATAGGATTGCCAGGGACACAGGCACACCAAGAAATTTGCTGTCACATGGGGAGCAAGACAGGCTGCTTATCTGCACCACGCATCATTTTCTCATGACTGATTCTGGCTTTTGAGCTTTTTTTTTTGGTGGGGCGTGGGACTGGGTTTGAACTCAGGGCTTTACACTTGCAAAGCAGGCGCTCTACCACTTGAGCCACACCTCCACTCCATCCCAAGTAGTCTGGATTGCAGGCACAAGCCACTGCACCTGACACTTTTGAGCTTTTAACCAAGTTGGCAAATGTGGACTGGCTCCATTTACATATGGGCTGAATTTAAAAATGATGAGATGTATTAATTGTTTGAACATGGCCCCAGACCTGTCAGAATTGTGTACATTGCTGCTCCCTAAATGATAAACAATTTCAGGTGGCAGAGTTCACAGCTTTTGGAAAGTCACTTTTTTTCCTTTGTTAAAAGAATGGAACAAATTATAAAGGGTCATCTTTTATTACCAACGTCAGGAGAAAGCAACAAGGGCCTCTAACAATTACAGCCTTGGGCTGTAGCCCAAGCAACAGCCGGTGTTCCCTGGGGTGGTGGCCATCTCAGCACATCACTTCATCATTGTCCTAGGAAGGGGTCACTTGTGTGTTAAAATGGAAGGAAGGGGGCTCTGGCTTTTACTCCCCCGCCTCTAAGGTTGCATTATTTTGCACGCACAGAGGATGCTTGGGATTCTCACGGAGCAATGGGCATCCTGCAGCCCCTCCGCAGGCCTGGCTGACAGCCCAAGGCCAGCCAGGTGGAAGCACGGCAGGGATCTGGGCACTTAGCATGGGTTTCCACCCTCCCTACACTGCCTGAGCCACCACCTAGCTGGTGCTGATAAAATTAGCTTACTCACTTAGCAGCCTGGGTTAGCTGGCCACCTTCCTCCACATTCACTTCTTATTTTTCTCCTGGTCAAAAGAAAATCTGTTTGCTGTAAATAATTCAAACTTAGAGTTTTCTTTTTCTTTTTTCAGCAGTACTAGGAGTTTGAACTCAGGCCCTTGCCCTTGCTAGGCAGGTACTCTACTGCTTGAGCCAGTCCCCCCAGTCTTTTCTGCTTTAGT